TGCCAGCCACCATGCCTGAGTTCCCGATAGTCAGGAGGATGACCTTAGGGATGAACAGTCCCTTAGTAGTTCCATCCATAATTGCGAGGATGACAACGGAGGAAATGCAGAAAGACTTCACTGATGGCTGGGACCCCCTGTTCGTCGGCTATACGGCGGCGGTTTATTTCCACACTAGCGAGGCGAAGATAAATTCGTGGACGACGCAAGCTAAAAAGATGAGAGGCTCGCAGCCCCCCGGATACGAGGTGCGAAGGGTCTTGAGAGCTCTTGAGCAGGAGGGACTTGAAAACATGCTACCAGTATGGGATGATGGCAGGATGATCATGAAGGAGGGGCATATTGCATTGACGGACGACATGAAATTCGCGACACGAAATTATAGGGCACCTTATGGCTTAGAACAGGTGGAAAGGAGACAGGGAAAAGAACTGGATGCAGCAGGTCAACTGTATGTGGCCCTGACGGAGTACAAGAGATTGGACCCGGCGACACCATCACCACTGTCAGTAGATACACCTGGAGAAAAGAGGAGTGGGCCCGTGGAAGACCGGTTCAAAAGAATTCTCGAGATAAGAAGAGCTGAGTCAGAAGAAGAGAGTATGGATGAAACTCTCAGCGAAGCCGGCGAGGACATGGAAGTGGGGAATACGCCTGAACCAAGACCATCAGGGGAGGAGCTCACCACTCAGGAGCTGTTGAAAGACTTGAGCGAGGAGAATTGGGCAGATACTGCCACTCCACCTCTGACCCCGTCTCCCCGGAAGAATCTGGAATTGCCATTGGCGAGCGAGACCTCCAATATGGGGATGATACTCTTGAGTTCGGAGAAAAGGGAAAAGAATACAATCGAAGGAAATAAGGACATGTTCATGGAGACTCTGGAGAACGACGCTTGGCAAAAGTTCTTGAAGGAATTCAATCAAGAAGTGGGCAGCGAGACGACGCTGGACAAATTCAAGGATGAACAGTGGGACACAGTAGTGAAGTTTGGAGAACCGCTTCTGATGGGGACGGGCCTGGATGAGAAGGCGAGAAAGGAGCTGCTGAACAAGCTGATAGAGCTGAGGAAGTCACGATCAAAGACTAGAGACGAAAAATGTGAAGACAGCTCTACTCTGAAACAAAAAACTGTAGATAAAATAGTTGATGATATGAAGGGGGATAAGGTTGGGACTAGTAATATGATTAAAAGTACTAATATCCTTAAGGCTCGAGCAGGGGGAGGCAAGAGTTGGAAGGGTTGGAGGTAGACAGAGAGGTCGAATCAGTGATGATTACCACAACACCCTCAAGCAGAGATGTGAAGACTCGCAAGAGGAAGAGAGAAGTAGAGGGATTGAGTAGTCCTTCAGTGGATGCTGTCTCGGGAGGAAACTTGAGAGAGACGGCGCCCATGGTTTTGGCGCGATGCAAGACGGCGGCATACAAGAGCAACACGGAGCTCAGAAGACCACTCGAAGTAGAGAGGGTAATAGAGGCTTTCACCAGTTCGACATCGGAGGAAGACTTCAAGCCCCAGAAGATAAACGTGAAGAGAGGTCCAACGGACGGACAGACATGGGAAGTGGATGTCGGCGAGGAATGTGTCTCAAAGGGACACCAGGCCACGGGGAAGCAAGTGACGAGTGATCCACTGGAGAGGAGCAAGACGAGAAACACCTCCCGGCCATGGTGGGCGGCCCTCGAGACATTGAAGGAAATGGAAGACTGCTTGAAGAAGTTGGACAGTGGAGTAGCTCGCAAACGACGCAATTGGGCCACCCAGCAAAAGGCGGAGGTTAACAAGATAGAATTGGCGAACCAGCTGAAGAGGTCCTGGCAGATCTTATTGAAGGATCATTTTGAAGAGGCAATGAGGACACCCTCATCAGCACCGCCATTGATGGCGAGTCCCTTCGTTAGAACCGCAGGACAATTGATGTTCACCTGGAGTCTGGTGGGAATAGAGTTGGAGACATTGACCTCGTATGACAGGTTGAAGTTGGGAAACAAGAAGCTAGAAGTGTATCAAGCCAGTGATAATTCAGGCTTGAGCCTGGCTAGGAGGAAGGATGCCACATGTTTCTTGAGATGGATAATGTCAATGATGTCTGATAGCACCATCTTGGCGTGCTACCAAAGAGCAAGCGGAAGTAAAACCGTGGAAAAGAGAGTCTCAACGATCATATTAAACGTATATCAGAGTACTGGAATAGAGAAGGAAGATGGTTCCAGACTATCCCTAGAGAACCACACAAAGCTGGACGAGGTACGGAGGTTTTACAATAAGAAGTTCGAAGAAGAACATGATGTTCACCGTAACCTGGCCTCGCCAGAGCAGTACTCGAGACTCAGTGAGAAGGGGGGATACCAATACGTGTCTGGAGTGATGGGGATAGCCTACAACCCCTTCTTAGACTCAGAAACTGGAGGCGCTCACAGGAACCACGAGGTAGCGGAGCTGCTGAAGTTTTGGACAGAAAAAATAGTGGAAATAGACGCGGTGGAGAAAGAGAGGCCGAGCCTGGGCCTGATTCTTGAGAAAACACCGGAGGTGGTGAGCATACCGCGCTCGAACAAGAGAGTTGAAGTGAACATGGGTGATGGCAATGGCTTGTTGATCACGAACTTGGGAGTGGTATGGAAGTTACTAAGACCCTCTTGGTGCCCACATCCCCACGCGAGTCTGATCGAGGAGACCACCGAGCGGGTGAGGTTAGCACCAACGGAAGATGAAGATTTGGCAAAGTTGAGTGTGGTGCACAAACTGATCTTACATCAGATGAAGGAGTCAGGCGAAAAGAAGATGGAGCCGGGTAGCTGTCTGGATTCTACGTGTGGGAGTGGAGAGCACACCTGCGATGGACAATCATGTGTCAGGATACTGTCCTTTCAAAAAGAAGATCTGGTTACTTGGTTTGAAGACATCACGGAAAGGGAGAAAAGTGAAGTACAAATAGTGGCGGAGTGTTACGCGAGAACTACGGTGAACATAGCGACAGCTCTCGGGTTCTTCTCGAGAATGTGTAGTCTGCAGTAACTGGAGAGGCTAGAGTCTGAACACCATTTAGTGACTGCGTTGAGCGTGGAATCACGGCCTGGGGTGTTGCAGGTGACTCAAAAATATATCCGGAGCTGGAAGGTTGGTCTCGAGGCGGAAATGGGGTTTCCCATGAGCGAAGCTTATGGCCTGCCATTGAACGCAAAATCCCTGATAGGGTCAATGATGGCCAATTTGTGCGGAAGCCACTACCCACTGCACATGGCGATGGTGGAAGCATCCAGCCAGAGGGTATTGGTGGACAAGGCCTTCTCAGTGCCCAAGTGCGTGAGGTTGGCTCGGGTATCGCATCACTCGCACAAGTTGTTGAGGAAAATCAGAGGGACAGTACCGAAAGAGTTGAGAGATGACTTGAGTGAAATCTGGGGAGAAGAGCTTTTGAAATTGGAAAGTGAGAATACAAGCGATCACGAGAGACAAAACATGATCGGAAAACCTGTGGGGGGTGCTCCAAACATGGGAGAGAACGACACGATGCATGAGAAAATGATGGAGCTTGAGCCTCTCTTGGAAGCCTCGGGGGAGCGTAACCTCAGGAGCATTGAGATCACCCATGGATAATGCCCATGCCACTGTTTGGCACAAACGGTGTGGTATCCAGATCACAAGAACCTCTGCCTGGTGTGGGATATGGAAGAAATTCGGTCGATCGGATTACCGGATCACCGGCAGAAGGTGACGCTCTTAGTAGTGAGTACGACGATGGCTCTGAGAAGGATAGAAGAGAATAAAACGAAGTATCGGGAAGCGAAGACGCCAACGGCTGAGTCAATATATGCGATAGACTACAGCAGGAGACTCGAATTGTTTGAGACTGCATGCAAAGTATTCGCCATACCAATGGGAGTCAGACACGTATGGAGCCGCTTGAGGTACTTTCCATGGTTTCGAGCGACACTGACGTCTTGGTTATACATGACAACGAAAGATCACATGAGAAAGCATCAAAAGGAGTATCGACAGTTCCAGGCCGAGATTGGGCCGGAAGCTTTCAAGAGACCCCTGTTCACCCATCGAAATGTGATCACGACAGGATGGAAAAGAGTGGGTAAAATGTCTAGAGACAATACCAAAGCGAGGGAATCGATACTAGAGGAGGACTTGGCGAAGAACGTGAGCCTGAGCCTGCACAACTCCTTTTGTTTGAACCGGGAATCTAGGGTGAAGGCACTACCCAACCAGGCAAAGAGGTTGCAGGAGCAAAGGGAATGGATGCGATCCTATGAACAGCTGAAGGCTTGGGAGGAGATCGTGATTAGCTCCGATGATGAAGAAGAACTGTTGAGACAGTTTGCCGTATCCAGTACTTCAGGGGACGGCACCTCCAAGGCGAAGAGTGCGAAATGAGCGGATGGTTCGAAGAGATCTTGAGTCTTGAGAGGGAAAGGAGGGCTTGAGTGTGAATCCGGATGAAACCTGGGTTCACGAAAAAGAAATTTTAACGAATCAGATATTGTTATTAATATGCTATATTTACTATATAAATCAAAATGCTGCATGACAATTTCCTGATTGAATGGGACAAATTTTTTTTTAAATAATTGGCTTGAAAAGCGAGAGTTCAAGGGTGCAGGTGTGTGCAGATTTTGATTGCGGTTTAGCGATAGTGTGAAAATTTTACATGGCCGTGAATTTTGGGGTGTAGATAAGCTTAAGTCTGCTGCAAACTTCTGTAAATGACCACTGGCACTGTACCTTGAGCAACACTCGGTTTTCTGGGACTCACTGGCAGACGACAGCACGCAATGAGGACATCGATCTTGAGTCCCGGGAGTATGTGCCAGTCGGTCATATTTGGAAGTTTGACCTTGAGAAAAACAAGAACGCTTAATTTTGGAGTGAAATTTGATTTTTCAAAAATTCGAATGGAGCCTGTCATGCACGATTCTCTCGCGATAACTGAAAACCGAAAAAGAGAAATCAAAACGATCGAGTAACAATCGCGGGAAAGTTGCCAGATAAAGCAGTAGGAAATTGCCATTCGCAATTTCCGTCACAATAAAACTAGAGTAGAGCTGTCCTATCTGAAACAGAAGGAAGCGTATTCCCGAGAATTGGACTATTATTGCTCGACTGGATTATCATTTAAACTGGACTAGAGTGAACCTTCGATGGAAAGGTGGACAGCTTGAGTGTCCCAGTGGTTCACGAGAAACTATACTCTAGAATTCAAACTTGTTCCTGTTATTGAAACTAACAAACATTAAACTCATTTAGTTACATTATTTAATTCTCGAGTTGTTTACTAACTTAATTACTCCCAGTTCTTGAGCGTGCTACGATGTGAGTACCCAATTTAAATTTCTAGAGTGTGTTTTATTATTGTTATGTTGAGGTAAGGCGAGTTTTAGGTTGATCCATCTGAAATGGATCAAAGTTCCACTGTCTAATAAAAAGTAACTTAACGGATTGTTCCGACCCGAATTTTTAACGGCGTTCATGTATTTTGGGTATCTAGAGACCTAAGTATGGGGACATTCTTATTTCTAGAGTGGGGGGGGGGATATTTTGGTAGTAGCCTTTAAGCTGCAACGGGTCGTAGTCTCATGTCACAAGCGAACCGAATTGGCTCCGACTGATTTGAGGTAGAAAAACACAAGAGATAGTGTCCCTGACTCTTGAGCCAATGGTTATAGGGCCTATTTTTCTTAAGCCTCATGTGTGACTACAGTAGACGAATGTTACAAACTGTCACACAAAAACATAATGAAATAGGGTGTTCGAGCCGTGTTTTTAATAGCAATCACGTAGTCTGAGGATCCGAGACTCAGCTATGTGGTTGTGTTCGCATGTAAACGAAAGCTGATCAAAAGTCGTTTGACTGATGGCCTAAAAATAGTAACTTTTTACTTAGCCCTAAAACAGACCAGAAAATCAACTGGCAAGTTCGAGACGGTGAAAAACGAGTAGGATTAAGGTAACTGACGCCTGCCAGTCGTTAATAGGTACTTTTTTACGCTCCGTCGCTGTGTAGTATTTGGGCGAATGTTACAGGTGACGACATATCGCCTACCTTTGCTTGGAGACGGTGCTGTAATTTGTTCCATCCTTCCTTGCTGCTATTGACTACCCCGCCGGTTGTCGGTTTTCCTGGCCTTCCCTCAGATGTTCCTGGCCTTCCCCCCTGGAGGAGTATGACGCTTGGGTTATCCCATGCACCCATTTACACAGTTCCGTGTGTTGCATCCATATGCAGTTGCAGCATTTCATTTGTAAAAACTCTTGTTGTTCCCACTATTGAAAGAGGGAGTAACTTTGTATTCGGGTGTTTTAGTTTTTTTGCTTTTTTTCCAGCCAAAATCAGGTACCACAAATAATGATCGGACTGGGTTGAGTGATATATCATATTAAAGCCCTTTCAGTCGTAATTCGAGTCACATTAAAAAATTTCTAAAAAGTTTTCCCGGTGACGAGAAAAACCGGTTTGAAATTTTTGGTTTTCTTAATTCGAGAGAATAAAGCAAGACAGCAGGCTTACAACCTGAATTATGCCTAATTTGACACCTTAGAACTTAATTTTTAGAGTTTTTTTAGCTTCATTTTGGGAGCCAAAAACTTCAAAAAATCGAATTTTTTCTGCTAAGTTTTTTTTTTTTTCTAGTTATTTTTTTTGCAATTGTCTTTGTCCAATTTGCCTATATTACTATGTCTGTCTAATATGCCTTAATTATATTTCTACGTCAGATCCTTTATCACATCCAGCAGAAAAAATTACACTAATTTGTCACAAAAAAACTTAGTTTTCTAAAGACTATGGTGGGAACATTCTGGCTATCCTTGTTGTATCCTCCCTACTTGGAGTCTCTATGAGGTTTGCATTGGTCAGCTTTGTTCATATGTAGCACTTTGCGCATCGGAATTCTCTGTGGTTTTCTATTGATTTCTTGAGCCCGTTCACTACACTTCAAATGTACGTACTCGCATTCCCTTGCGTGGTTCCCCACATGGCTAGGAACAAATGCCGCTCTGGTTTCGGGGGCTCCCCGTTTCCGGTAATTTTTATCTTTGGCAGAAAACTCCCCTGGTCTAATCGGTGTTTTTTTAATCTGCTGCATCTCAACTGTCCACCCACAGTTACCGTTTTGGCACCAGGCAACGCTGGCCATAATTGGTTTCTACGCTGGCCATAATTAGCAAGATAACCATGAAGTGAAGCGACAGATCTGCTGGCTTCTCACTATGTCCCCTTGACGGATGGATGTCTGTTTTGAAGATACTCGGAATTTTCAACTGGCTCAGGGGGCCCCGAGAGCATACGGGATATCCATTGCCTCCTCTCTCAATCTCTCTCTCTCTCTCTCTCTCTCTCTCTCTCTCTCTGTATTGACTGATCTACATGCTTGTCTAGAATGATAATTTATTTTTATCTGTAAATTGTTTCATAAAGAAATTTTTGTTTTAGGCAAAATGATGGGTTCTTGAATAAGAGATGGAGTCGAATAATTCGTTAAATCAAATAGGGGATCACAAGCATTGCAGTTTCTGTTTCGGCTTCTATGAAAGTTCGCATGGACAACCTGTCTGTAACACATGCCATCTGTTCTTATTTGCGCTAGATCCAGGTAATTAAATAAGTTTTGAATGAATATAAGTGAGTCAGGCAGTTAAAACGTAAGCTATTAAGACAACCATTATTTTCTGAGGGACTTCAAAGTCAATTAAAAAACTATGTGAAACAGAACAGTTACGTTCGCCGCTGAAGTCTCAAGATTTGCACGCCTTGTTGACGAGTAAGATGTAACCAAGCAGAAAGCTGCAAAATTGTTGCCTGAAATAATCGTAACCTATTTGCATTTGAAACAATTTTTTAATCTCATATCGATTTTATGGATGGTTACCATTCGGCAAAGACGCATATGTCCCACGTGTCAAACTATTGCTGGTTCCATACATAGCAAAAACAACAGTTTTTGTAACCTGATTTTTTTTCTTCGAAAATTTATCGATAGATCGTACTCCCCAGTTAAAAAATGTTTATTGAAAACCAACCCATATATATATATATTAGCTTGAGCTTGACTAGCGTTGTTTGTAAATTTTTCTTAAATCCAGGCGAACTTGAACGCTCATCTGCGACTGAAGATGATCAAAATGGAGAGGACGAGCAAAGTTTGGACTCTGGAAACGAGGAACCTGTTGATCACCCGGAACTTGTTGATGGAAGCGGCGATCACGAGTTAGCTTTGATGAACGGCATTGAAGACTCCAGAGGCGCGTGTACAACAACAGAGCAGTCAATACATTCAATGCGGTCATCAAGCAATGCAGCTATTCTAGACTCCGGTTAGTATTTAGTTTCTGAGGTGGGCAACAATCTTAAAATTTAGTGTCTGAACAAAGTGAAGATGCTTGTTTAGGTGGTGATGATTTTTTTTCAAGAAAAAGTCATTGTTAACAAATCATTTTTTTTCCACGGTTTGACTTTTGATTTGTTTTCAAGTTTAATTCAAATTCATTTTCTGAAAGGAAGGCAAATTTCACTAGTCAATAACGAAAGTGCAAATGGCGCAAAAGTGTTTTTGACTTTCAGTTTCAAAAATGGATTTTGATATTCTGAAGCCCCAGAAGAACTATCTCTTGGTCTATTTTTCTCAAATTAGATTGTTTTTATTCTAAAAGAATCTGGAATTCGCAGTGCTAAGTTATATTTTTTTCCTTGAAAATGTTTTTTCGCGGTTTTCTTGAGTTTTCTACTCTTCCAACTGTCTGCTGGTAATTTTTAAAGCAATACTAACGGAATGTATTATATAATAATGCTGATTTAAAATATCCGGACAAAACGAACAACAAAAATTGAGTTGAGATTTGACGAAAAGTTAAGAGAACAAAAGTTGCTTAGAATTTTGCCAGAATTAATATGGTACAATTTTTTCTTCGAAAAACTTAAGAAAAGCCATTGTCTACACCCTATGTCTACTTTTTGCTTTCTTGCAGTTCATTCAAGTTGTTACAGTGCTGATTTGAATTAACCGGACTAAATGAATTTCGCCAGAATAAATATGGTACAATTCTTCGAAAAGGGCATTTTGGCTTTTTGAATTAACCAAGAATTACGCTGAAACTACGTTGTTAATAGATGAGAAAATTATATCACAAGAAGCCTCGTACACAGCCCAACAAATCTTTTGGGTCTTTTTTTTTTCTAGTTAATCAAGGATTACGCTGAAACTACTTAGTCGACCATTAAGAAGAGTATACAAACTTTAAGAAGAGTATACACTCAAAAAATTGTATAACAAAAACTACTATATTTTTGTTTGATAGACTAAAAGGTCGTTTTTACAGCACCGTTTTTTTATTTGAAAAGTTTTTTTTTAAACGTTTTGCGTAATTTTTAGGAGTGTATTTAGAGTTTGTTGGGATACGTAAGAGGCTCTATTTGTTGTAATTATATCAATGTCGACTTTGTAGTTTCAGCGTAATTCTTGATCAACTAAAAAAATAAAAATAAAACATTTTTGGGTCAAAATTTTAAGCCAGAATTTCGCAAAATCGTTTGCGCCATATTAATTCTGCTAAAATTCTGAGCAGTTGTTTGTCTTCATAATTTTTCACCTAAAGTTTACCCAAATTGAGAACAACGCGTCCGGATCATTTAAATCAGCACTGTATAACTGAAATGGATTATTGATTAAATAAAACATTAACAATCAACATTCTCTCTAATTTGTTTACGGATAAAATTTTTCTACGCAAAAGTTAGGGGGATTAGTGAATCAAACAGTCGTTTGTATTTCCAGTTATTTTCATTTTCAATGAGATACAAACGTTGTTCCTCCGACTTTTTCAAAGAAAGGATGAAAAATTTGTGCTCGGGTGTGTTTTTTCTTCAGACAAATTTCGACTTTTATAGCCATTTTTGAACGGAGTTGCTCACGTCATCCTAGAGGTACTGACTTCCTGAGACAAATTGAAAAGATATTTCACTGGTAATAGTTTTTTGTAACGTTTTGGAGGTTTGAAAATAGTCAGTTTGACGCGCGATGTATTTCGTGCCTGTAACGCGTAAGCGATAATTTAATCTGGCTCAGAAATCGTTCCAAAGATTTTTCAGAAAAAAATAAACAAGAAAAATCGAAAAGAAGAACTGTTTTTTTAAATACTGAAACTATTAACTTATCAAAAACTATTCGATATAACTTAAGAGGCAGTCGGAACATTCAGGGCGTTGGAACATTCAGCAAAGCTTGTGTGATATTGCTTTTTTTCAACCTAAGTCGCAAATATAAGTGCTTTTTTGAAAGTGCTGTTTTATTGCAGTAAATGCATAAGATCAAGTACAGCAAATGCTAAGGATATTAACACACACTATTCTATTACAAATAGCACTTTAGCTTTAAGGTTTTATGGTTCTGTAGCGTAGAGGTAGGGAAGGAGACCAGCAGCAAAATAAGAGAGTTCGAACCTCAGCTGGGTTGCATGTTTTTAATGAACTTTTTCGTATAGTAGTTAAAATGCGTCTGCTCTTTAAATTGAGGCATTTTATATGGTAAGTTTTTTTTTTCAAATTGACTGGTACTGCTAATGCGTCATAATTGGCTTGCGTCACTTAGCAATTATGTAGACTCATAATTGGCATGCGTCACACACAAAGTTTTACTCATTCAGTTTTTCCCAGTAGCGTTGTCGGTCATATTTTTGCTTGTGTATGCGAAGTGCAACTTCGCCGCTGTGTCGAATTAATTGTATTGTCAAAACTTTCAAAAAGGATAAACTTTTTCAAGTTTTAAACTGATTCCCCACACGCTATGTAAAGTACTAAGTGATATATTTTGCATATAGCAATAAATTAAATAGATAAAAGAGCAAGCCTCAGTTCTATTTGGAAGGATTTCGAAGAAGGATTAAATCTCCGTTTACGCGGTAGTAGCTTGAAATATATCGCGCGTTAATTGTCTCAAATTGGCATCTTTGAACCTATTTTTCGAAAAATGATCACAGGTGAAATATCTTTTTAAATTTGAGCTCAGGACAATACCTTTCGAATGATATTTAAAAAATTATGTCAAAAATTGCTTGTTAAAAAGTCGAAATTTGTTTTAAGGAAATAACCACCCCGAGCATATAGTCGGAACAATGACCGATTAGTTCAGAGCAGATGATGGATTTCTGCGTTTCGGCAGCATGTAGCTATAATTTCTCTAGTCATTTTTACTGCTAGCTGTTGATGTGTTAAATACACAGAATTTCTCATTTCTGCACCATGTGTTTCTGATTTGCGATATTAACTCGTCGTCTTTTTTTCTGCTACGGAATCGGTATACAAATTGAGAATTACTATCGATGAAACAGCGATTTGGAATACACTGTGATCTTTACAGAACTTAGATAAAGAGCCGAATCTGTTGCATCAATTAGAGCTAGGTTTTCAAGAGTGCTTTTGACAAAACGCCAAATTTTCGCTGATATCCAAGTTAGACAGCTGCTAATTAAATCGCAGACTAGAACTTCGAGCCTAGAAAACCGTCGGCTAAACAATTTTTCAGGAAAGTCAAAAAAGATGTACAAAATACTAGAATAGAGTGGATAGACTAAAGGCACAAAAAGCTTTTACCGCGAGTATGCCCGAACACATATTGATGGCAAACTAATAGAAAATTATAAGAGAAACTGAAAAATAAAATATATTATTTAGTCCGCAAAAGTGCCGATTAATGTCATTGAGTTAGTGCAGTAACTAATCTGATATGCTTAAGATTATTTAATTAAGCTTGAGACTTTTCGGGTTAACGACTTGTTTAACATATCTTTTATATTTGGTTCACATCGGATTCAAACTTTTACCGACTCCGGAACACTTAGTCTAGAGTTAAAGAATACGCCTGGGACAGCAAAGGTCTCGGTTTCGAATCTGACCAGGACCTGTTTTTTTCAAATGCAAAATATTCCGTATCAACGAAATTGTCGGCTTATGTTTTGTCGTCTTATTTGTCACATTTTGAAAGATGTCACATTTTTTGCTCTATAATTGTTTTTGATTGTTTCTAAAATGCCTTCGAATGTGTTTCTGAACGTATTTTCAGCAAATAGAACGTCATTCCAGACAATGTTTTGAAGTTTTTTTAGTTGTGGCTTCGATTTTTTTTTGTTTTTAACGTTTTAGTGGCTCTCCGTTCCTTTCTTTTTTGCTAGCTTGCAATGCTATTTTTATGGGATCGCAGGTGATGCGAAGCTCCGCTTACCCTCTTTGTCAAATTTTCAGATCTTTTCGAAGCTGGTTAAAATTGTATAAATTAGATAACTGCGTGTTTAAACTTTCGCATCAGCAAATTGATATTTAGCAATCGGTATTTATGAGCAGGATTTTTAATTTTTTTTTTGAGGTATCTCGAAAACAAGAAAGATTTGGATTGTAACAGTTAGGGCTAGAATCGCAGCCCTAAAACGGTTTTATTATAGCATTTAACCATAGGGTTCAAAATACATAAACGTATTTTGTCAATTAAAAGTGCATTGTACTCAGGGGCGGATCTAGGATTTTCTCGAGGGGGGGGGGGGGGGGGGGGCGGATTTTCGAAAAATTTTGACGACCTTTTTTTTTTTTTAGGTCGACCAAATTGATTTTTCGAGCTCTCCCAAAGCACTGTTTTGCCCCTATTTTGGTAAAAATTTTCTGCGCCGCAGGCAAATTTTTGAAAAAACAGTCAAAAAAGCCGTTTTTGGGCACTTTTTGAAAAATTTTGACAAAAAAATTTCATTTTTTTTGGCGCGCGCTCCCCCTCAAAGTTAGTATATATTGGCGCCGAAGGCGCCTTTAGAAAAATTTTAGGGTCGGTCCGCCAAAAATGGATTTCCGAAAAAGTATCAAAGGGGGGACCCTTTGGGTCGGCAGGGGGTCGAATCCCTGAGGGGGGGGGCGTCCGCCCCCCCCCCCCTAAATCCGCCCCTGATTGTACTTAATCATCGTTTCCAAGTACAAAATTATTGTTGCATTTATTACCAAAAATTGATTCTTCATTTTTTGTCATCTTCAATGTTTTCAGACAACGAATTGTTTTTTTTTCTGATATTCAGAAATTTTGTAGCGGTTCGTTTGTTGCTCAGTGTTGGAAATCCGTCTCAGTTGCTCATGCAGAAGTCGAAGAGCAACTGAGATGTCTTTTTTTGTCTGTTCCAGTTTCAAATATGTTCGCTGTTTCATGACTGTCCTTTAATTTGTTTTAATTAAGCCTGTTTTCTGACACCACTGTTTGCTTTTTCATCTGAATTAGTTTGTTAATTTTTAATTCAGTCTTTACCGCTTCCACAATAACATTGATTGCATTACTTATTTGGGTCTTTATTTGCTCCATAATGTTTGGTGTTCAATCTTGGATCAACTTTGATTAGTTTTTTTATCAGTTCTCAAAAAACAATCATCTTCCGCTCGCTTTTCCAGATTAGTTGGGCTCAGTTTAGAGCATAATCTTTTTTTATACTTGTTTGTTTTTGTGCTGGGTATTGGCGTGACTCCCTGAAACATCAGGGGCAAAATACTTTAACTTTTTTCATTTTGAAATGGAATACCACGTCACTGGTCACTTGAATTGCCAGTGGTTATTTTAACCTCTGCAACTATTAATTATGTTTATATCACAACAAATATGCTTCAATTTTTTTTTATTTCATCTCCATTAAAGTCAATGCTTTTCTGCATATCTTGTTTGCTTGACAACTTGGAAAGCTCTAGTTCGTCGATTAATGACTTTTGATGGAGATATAATAGCCACAGCTGCTATTAGAACCTTCAGTTCGAAAAAACTGAACAATATTCATGCCTCTCTTCTCAAAATTCTTTTTGATAGCAGAAATCTCAGTGTTACTAAAAACTTAGAAACAAATATGCCAACTAGGAAAATTTATTGCACTCACTGGAGACATTTTATTCAATAAAATTGCCGCTTCTGCTGTAATTATCGGAATTAGTGAAGCGCTCATAATGCGTTAGGTTTATGATCCGTCTTGGCCATCTTGTCAAAAAAGATTATCAATTTAGCAACACCATTTTTGGCTTTGAATCATTAGTCGAAACTGATATCAAGTAGATTGAGTTTGACGACTGTTGCCATTGGGTTAGCCTAAGGAGATAGCTGTTTTTTTTCCAAATTTGGGAATATCAGCTCACAGCCTGCGATGAATCACCCACTTGATGGTGGGGTTTAAAATGTTTCAGTATTCCTGTAATATTATTTTTATAATCTCGATGGTAACAGGGGGTAGCGATGACCTGAAATGGAGACCATCGCGTTGATGAAACTTTGTGGGTTTTTAATATTTCAGGTCATCGCTACCCCCTGTTACCATCGAGATTATAAAAATAATATTACAGGAATACTGAAATATTTTAAACCCCACCATACAGGCAATAGCTGACATGGCTTATTAAATGCACTAAATGTTAACGTTTCAAAAATCGATTTATCAACTGTCCGTTTCAAAGGAATTGGAATTTGTTGATGATGTTTTATTCATAGTTAACTTCCAGACTGAGATCAAAGGTTGAGAATGCTTTGTTTTAGTAGACGTACTCCCTGGAGTTCAGGATGAACTGAATAGAAGAATTCGAGCCCTCTCAAATTATAGACCTCCTCATTGCGTGTTCTCAAATTCCTTCAATAACTCAAGTGAAGTCTCGAATTGCCGGACAACATCTACCTCAACTGCTGGACACAATAAGCAAGTGGTCGACAGGGTTCCAGAAGAACTTCTTGTCACTAAAATCTTCCCTCACCTCGACGACGTCCAACTTTTTATGTGCAGTAAAGTTTGTCGTCGCTGGCAACGAATAATCTTGTCTTTAGGTTTACCTTGGCGGAATTTTGTCATGAGTCGCTGGCCTCTGTTTTCTCCTCAATACGAAGTGATCGACTGGTACGAGGCATACGGTCGCTTAGTTGATTCAACATTCTGTCATCGATGTCTATGGTCAATCACGCCCCTTGAACTAGTCAATGTAGAATGTCCTCACTTAAGCAGCGGAGTACTGCAGAACACTACAAATCAGAATCGCGTACAAAATACTTTACACCCCCAAGCAGTTAACAGAGGCTGGTCAATGCCAGCCAGTTCAAGCGCTTCAAACAATTTTGTAGGTGTTACTGGCCGACAGCCTCCTGTTTTAAACCAAAATGTACCTCAGCGAAATTTCTGGTCAACAAATTTCACTCATTCGGCTTCTGCGGGGTTTATTTCGTCAGCGTTAAGTTCAAGAGTAGACCAAGACTCGTGGCGCAACCGGCGACTTCTGAGCGAATTTCAGAATCTTAAATGCGACCCATTTCTAGGAATTGATGCTGTGAGATTGGATCCAGGCGGGTACTTGTGGCAAGCATCCGTTGAAGGTTAGATGATTTGCTGGCTGCAACGACAAAATTCCCAGAGCATTGACGTTGCAGCATATCTACGAGTCAAAGGATATGAACAAAATCTTTTGAACTTATCTTGATCTTTTAATAAGATAACTAAATAATTTCGATTGAACTAAAAATTCAATGAATGTTTTTAAATAGGGAAAAATAGTTCTGAGATGTCTTATGTATTTTTTTTTGCTCCAGGTCCCCTGGGTACGCCTTACGAGGGGGGCGTTTTCTTCATCTTTATGTTCATTCCGGAAAACTACCCTTTGAAGGCGCCCATAGTTCGCTTCCAGACTAAAATCCTGCACCCCAACGTCAGTGTGCACGGAGACATCGGCATAGAGTCCATTGGAGGAGCGAATTGGATCCCAACCCTCACCCTCTCTAAGGTGCTGCTGAGTGTGTTATCTCTTCTCACGGACCCAAACTGTGAAATATTTATGAATGCAGAAGCTGCGAGACTGTACAGAACTGACCAGAATAGATTCAATCGGTTGTCCAAAATATTCACATACAAATACGCCATGATTGATTATATAAGTAATTGATATGAAAAGAAGGAACTTATGTTTTTTTAAGTGTTGATGAACGAAGTGAAGTGATTCATCGCCGTTTTAAGTCCAAATTTTTCTAAGACAAATTTAAATTTCATTTCGCGACTTGGTTTTTCAAGTTCAGTTCAAATTTATTTACTTGAAGGAAGGCAAATTACGCTTTCCAATTACAAAATTCGAAATAGCGAAAAATTTTGAACGTAAATTTTAGTTATTGATTTGTCAGCGACTTAATAAAAATTAAGTCGCTGACAAATCAATAACTAAAATTTACGTTCAAAATTTTTCGCTATTGACTTCCCACAATTACTTTGACTTCCCTTAATTACTTTTAGACTCAGTTTTCTCTAAATTGTTTGATTTTATACAAATATTCTTTTCCGTAAAATGTTCTTCAAAGAGTTTCAAAGAACTTTAACGTCATATTTTTTGGTCTGAAGTATTGACGGTGAAAGTTATTAAAAAGATACTTTTTTTTCGGTTTGTTTGAGTTCATTGACAGTTTTCCAACATCTGCTGGCGATATTTGTTTTGTGTCACGTCATTTTCATTTTAGATTGAATGATTACTTCCAAAATTGTAGTTAGATAAATAGTTCTTTAAACTGAGAAACCCATTAAATATTGTGCGTAATGCTTGGTTGAAGCAATTTCAGTGTTCTATTTTGATAAAAAAATTCATTCGAAACACTAGTGTTTGATCTTAACTTGATTTTATTTTGGTTGCTACTCAATGTATTCTGGTAAAATGGCTTTTCAGGTTCTTGTATGTATTAACTACTAATTCTGTAACTAGAACATGCGGTGATCACAGTGGTCAGGATTTTTGATCTATGATGCTCGAGAAAAAAATCAGATCGGTTAACCGCTATTTCGTCATTATCAATCGATAATAATCTATGCACAAAAATGAAGTTGAAACCTGGAGGCAGTCAGGGCGATTTACGCGCTGGTGGATCTCTGACAAACATGGACAACGCAGACTCGAAGAAGAATGCAGCTAAGCAAAATGCACACAAGAAGAGGGGAAGTTTTGGCGGGTCAACTGGGACGGACAAAAAGAGTAGAAGGTCAATTATAAATGGGTTCTCGTCGCGCAAAGAACCGGTCGATGGCGATTCTCTGTTTCCAATGATGTCTTTCAAAGCAAAATTGGTCGGATCAGAAGCTTTAAATGAAGCGAAAAGTAAGCATTCTTTATTCACGAATTATCTTTCACCAGAGCTTAAAAAAAGGCGGTAAATTACTGAGATTGTTTCCTGATTTATCTTAACTTTTTCAAAATAATTAAATTGACTTCTTGAGTAACCCAAAAGAGACAATTATGACTACAAAACTGAATTATCTCACAGAGTCTAATGAATGTGGTTGTTATTTTTACAACCAAGAGATGATGAGGAATTATGGTTTAGCCTGGATTTTAGTGGTTAAATGTGAAATCATATGAAAGACCTCCATCCATGCACAATTTTAGAGAAAAGCTGGTCTGAACGTTGGCATTGCGAGCTTTCAGTATTATTATTATACAGTGCTGATTTAAATTAACTGGACAAAACGCGTTAAAATCGAAGTTTAAAACCCGTTTTTCTCAAATTGGGTTGAGTTTAGGTGAAAACTTATGAAGACAAAACTTGCTTAAAATTTTAGCAGAATTAATATGGTGTAATTTGTTTTGCGAATTTCGGGCCCGAAATTTTACCACAAAAATGGGTCATTTTGGTTTTTTTTAGTTTATCAAAAATTACGCCGAAAATACCCGGTCAATCACAGACATAATTATTCCAAAGGGAGCCCCTTACGTAGCCCAACAAACTTTATGCAGGGTATTTTCTCCAAAAAAAATTGCAAATTGTTTAAAAATTGTTTTTAAATAAAAAGTTGGTATTTTATATAGTAAAAATGACCTTTTTTGTCTATCAAACAAAAATAAATTAACCTATACAATATTTTGGAGAAAATACCCTTCATAAAGTTTGTTGGGCTACGTAAGGGGCTCCCTTTGGAATAATAATGTCTGTGATTGACCGGGTATTTTCGGCGTAATTTTTGATTAACTAAGAAAAACCGAAATGACCCATTTTGGGGTAAAATTTCGGGCCCGAAATTCGCAAAACAAATTACACCATATTAATTCTGCTAAAATTTTAAGCAAGTTTTGTCGTCTTAAGTTTTCACCTAAACTCAACTCAATTTGAGAAAAACCGGTTTTAAATTTCAAGTTTAACGCGTTTTGTCCGGTTAATTTAAATCAGCACTGTAGTTACTGCTTTCAACTGTTTCAGATGAAAACTAGCGTTGACAAGAAAACTAGACCTAAATTGTTTAAGATCATAACGCCTTTTCCAAACTTTAAAGTGTCGACAATTTCAATTGTTTTGGCGAACTTCAAAGTTGCAAAATAGTCACTGTCCGAAATCACTTTTATTAAGATAAGCCTAAACTTTCGTTCGATTTTTCCGAAGAATAGAAGAAGTTGTTCTTGATTCAATATCTTCTAGCTCAGAGCCAATTCGGGAAATCTTTTGCGGGAGCAAGTGACTTTAATCGGGAACTACAGTGCTGATTTAAATTAACCGAACGAAAGCGTGAAATTTAAAACACGTTTTTCTCAAATTGGGTTGAGTTTAGCTGAAAGCTTGTGAAGAAAATACTTGTTTAAAATTTTAGCAGAATTCATATGGTGTAATTTGTTTTGCGAAATTCGGGCCCAAAATTTTACCCCAAAAATGGGTCATTTTGGCTTTTCTTAGTTAAATGAAAATTACGCCAAAAGTACCCAGTCGATCACAGACATAATTATATCAAAATGAGCCCCTTATGTAGTCCAACAAACTTTAAGAAGGATATATTCTCCAAAAAAAATTTGCAAACCGTTTAAAAATTGTTTTTAAATAAAAAGTTGGTATTTTATTTAGTAAAAACGACCTTTATTGTATATCAAGCAAAAATAAATTAATTTATACAATGTTTTGGAGAATATACCCTTCTTAAAGTTTGTTGGGCTACGTAAGGGGCCTATTTTGTTATAGTTATGTCTGTGATCGACTGGGTATTTGTGGCGTAATTTTTTTGATTAACTAAGAAAAGCCGAAATGACCTATTTTTGGGGTAAAATTTTGGGCCCGAATTTCGCAAAACAAATTACACCATATGAATTCTGCTAAAATTTTAAACAAGTTTGGTCCTCATAAGCTTTCACCTAAATTCAACCCAATTTGTGAAAAACGTGTTATAAATTTCAAGCTTAGCTCGTTTTGTCCGGTTAATTTTAATCAGCAGTGTAGACTCGTTTTCCGTAAACAACTTTTCTTACATTTAATGCTGATCAATTTCTGCTGCTGTTCAGATATGCTCAATTTCCTGATAATTCACATGAAACTAATTAGTTCAATTGAGAAAGTAATTAATTTTTTAATGTTTTCGATCCAGTTTTCTCAAGTTGGTTAATGTTATCAAAAAAGCCCCAATCATAAATCGTTCTTAAAATTCAAAGAGCTGAAAGGGCATCTATTTTTTTCTTTGAAATTCGGAAGTTGAGATGTTTTCTACAAAGTCAGTGTTTTTTTTTCAACGAAGTCAGTGTTTACTTGCGTTCATTACTCTACCAATCTTTGATTGGCTATGTTCGTTTTTTTTTTCACATGCAATTTATTCTATCTGATACGCTTTTCAAACAGATTCATGCCAAAGCTTAGGATTGCTATTTATGATTCAAATAGTTTGTTTTTGTTTGATGAAAACATGTATTCTTAAAATGCATGGTAATTGGTTTTATTTAATTTTTTTGAGAGTGGAATTTTTTTCACTTTCAAAATTTTTTTATTTTTGCTCCAAAGCTACTTTCGATTTGCAAAAAGGTGGTACCGATGGAAAGATCAATCCCTCCCCTGTGTGCTTGCATATATGTCTACCCCACTTTCTACAGCTTTCGAAAAAATACTGTGAGGGGAATTTGGACCTAGACTTTAGGATTTTTTTATTTTCTCGAAAACTAGAATTTGGGTTCAATAGATAGAACAAATTGTGGAAACCTCCACCGCTGAAGCGTTTGCGCAATATTTTTCACAATGTTATGGCCATCGAAGTAGAAAAAGTGCTGTGTTTTGATCGTTTTTTCAAACTTTTAGCTTTTTTTCTTGAAAATTACGCTCCCAGTTTAAAGAATTTTGTTTCAATCAAAAGCATTGGTTGAGTGAAGCTCCACTGCATGAGCGGCTATGCCTAAATTTCGCCACAAAATTTTTATGGCCCTCGGAAAATTCAAATATTTAAACTTTGAATTTCGCTAAAATACCCTCCCGAAACGGGTGTTTTGCGATCAAAAGAGATTATTTTTTTAACCAATTTTTTAACTAAAAAACTATCGTCTTTAGAAAAGTCAAAATTGTGATTTGTTGACCATTTTCTAAATTTTTAAGAGTAATGAACGTAGTGAGTACTCCTACATTGGTCTTGGTGATATTTGATAACATTCGAATAGTTATAAATTAACACAGTTGATGCATTTTTAGTTTATCAAGTGAACCGAAGAAAGCTATGTTTCAAACAACATAACAATAATAAAATTTCGATTTCAGAAATTTTCTAACTCAATATATCTCGCAATTTTTTGAAATGCATAATTTATACATAATGGGGCTTTATCATTTGCGATTTTTTTACATGCAAAATTGTATCTTTTTGTATTTGATGCTACTTTGGCTGCATCGAATTGGCTATTTATTAGCATATGTAGCTGCATTATTGGTGGCTAGTTTTTGAGGATTTTAAGCATCCGTGGCTGAATGGTTTGCGTGAGACTCAAATTTGCTAGGTTGCAGATTTTTGCTAATTCGAGTTTTTGCTAAGCCTCGAGTGTTTGCAAATTCGAGGCTTATTTCTACTTTTTCTTACGTCACTTGATAGAGCTGCTTTTTGGTCGCGTTCTAGCAAGTGTTTGCGAAGCGCAGCTTTGCCTCTGTGTAAAAACAAGGCAAACTCCTCTATCAAACAGCAGAGTGTAAAGGTCACGAAAAACGTGATCGACTTATAATTTCGAAAATGGAAATTAATTATCAGATTTTCCAGCGAAATGAAAGTTTTACCTCTTGATCCAGTTTTCTCAAATTGGGTTAATTCTATGAACAAAGAGTCAATCATAAATTGTTCCACAAATTCAAAATTGAAGGTTTTACCAAAAAATCAGTCCGTTTTTTTTTCAGTTTCCTTGCATTCATTCCTCTTTTCCAACCGTCTGTTGGCTATGTTAAGCTTTTTCGCAAACACTACCCTCGCAAATCAGAGGTTTTGAGTTCAATCGAACAATCGGGTTTTGTGAAGCTCTCCTGTATCAGCTGCTTCGTCCAAATTTTTGATAAGCTGGTTTGTTATAACACAAAAAGTTATGGCCCTCGGAAAAGTAAATTTTTTGACCCTTTTCTAAACTTTGATTTTTCTTCAAAATACGCCCTGGAATTGGTTAGAAAAGTTTTGTTTTTGGGAGTTTTCACAATTAGTTAATATATTAGAGAAACAAGTTAGGTTTTGGGTGATAAGTAAGGTTTTAAGTAAGGTTTGGGGAGATGTTGTATCGGCTTGGTCAACATATGTTGCGTAGTTTCACGGGCGAGTTTTCGGAATATTTTTGCCTGTTTCAGAGGGAATGGGTAGTAAAAATTTTGATAAAAGATTTTATAGCTTGAAATTTTTTTGACTGCACATTCGTTTTCGGCTTAACGAGGGTCGACCCAAGTTTTTCGCCTTTGTTTGTCGATCGGACATTGATTCTCAATGCTTGCCAAGGCTGTTTATGAGCCTCATCCGAGACAAAGGTATAAAGTATTGGACTGCTATGGTTTAATTGTATCGCAAGTGTTGCGAAGCTCCGCTGAGCCTCTGTTTTTGTACCCGGCTTATCTAGAGGCAACATTCCGGATTTATCCGGGATAAATATATTTTTCCGTAATGTATGTGTAAAGGTAAGGTTCTTCGGTTTTCGATTTAAATTGGCATTGTTGAGACCCAGTTGGTTTTCTTACGCTGAAAGGTTGGCATGTAAAAGACCGGTCCACTTTAAATGTTGTCTAATCACAACTGTTTAGGGAAAAGAACTAGCTAATTTTTTTTGGAAAACCAGAGTGAAACCAGAGCAATAGAGCTACTATAAAACGTGGTTATCATAAATATTCCTATTTCTTCCGTCAATATTTTCTTGAAAATTAACTAGAAAATATACTGTGTTTGAGTTGAACACTATCGGTTTAATTGTATGTGCTTTGGTTTTAGACGCAGAATTGGCAGTTACATCATTCGCGGTGCTCAAGAAGAAAGCTAACTCGATGAAAGGTCACAAAACACGCATTCTAATAAACATATCACTAAAGGAAGGCGTAAAAATATCGACAAATGAAACCAAGGCTGGAAAGCTAAAATTGTTGCTACAATGTGCTGCTAACAAGATAACATATCACACTATTGACAAAGATTGTCAGAGAACTTTTGGCTTTGTCGTCGCAACTGCAGAACTGAAATATCAGTTTTTTGCAGTCAAAATGGAGAAATCGGCTAGTCACGTGAAGGCGGCTTTTGACGATCTGTTGGCGGTTGTTGCTAGGATTGTTGAATCGAACGGTGTACATGGTCAAAGTCCTACTCCGAAATGGCAATCTGAGAGAGCGATTGATGTTCCCTTGGGTTAGTATAATAAAATCAGTTTTCTCGAAACTTTCTAGTTGAGTTTTTCAGATGGTTTCGGAGGAGTAGAGTATTTGGTACTGTTATACGACATTCATTTTTTAGTCGACCTTCCCTGAAATTTTTTAATCAACCAAGCCTAATTGACCAAAAGTGCCCTATAGCGTCATTTTGGTCTGTTAGCAAGCGTTATCAAACGAGAACGTGGTTAAACAACTTGTCCACACAAACACTGAATCATTTTATTGCTTGATTTTTGTCAAATGAAATTCAGTCTCTGATTTTGCGCATGTGGCGCGGAGGTAATATTCATGTCAGCGACAACAAAGATCAATTATTGAGCAATTTTAGCCGTATTTGAAAATCATTTTTGACATATTGTCTTGGTGCAATTAATTGAGTAGTATAAAATTTTGCTGGTTTTTGAAATTTTTTGCTTATAAAGAACTTTTTTTCCATTTTACTCTTAGTTTAAAAAACGATGAATATATCCAAGTCGTAAATTAATTAAAATTGAGATGTTATTGGTTTGGTATCAAGGGTTTTCCTTTCTGGCATGATTCCGTCGCGTAGTTTGAGTTTTTCAAGTGAGCTTTTATGAATTATGAGTGAGTTAGAGAATGGAGTGATCGCAACTTCTAACTTCTCTCAAATTTTCTCTAAAAGTGTGAAACATAATGCGTAGTTTTTCTTCAGTAAATTTTTTTTTGCTAATAGTGCCAAGCTCAGCTTCGCCCTTGTCACAAATTTGCCCTGGCATTATAAAGTTTCTGTAGTGTTTCGGGAGAGATCAGATGTTTATTGTGACCAACCTAAAAGAAAAATCTGCAATTTTTTTTGAAAGTGCAACCCATCCATAAAATCCGAGATCCTTGCCTGGTTTGGACCATAAAAGGAAAAGTCTTAAAGGCTCATATTTATTTTTTCGCGGTTTGATCTTATGTTCAGTTCATGTCCGTTGTGAAAGGGAAAGCAAACTCCCGTAACGAACAGCAAAAGTGTATAGGTCACGAAAACTGTAAATGACTCGAAATTGTATTTTAATTATCAGATTTTACTTTTTGATCCAGTTTTCTTAAATTTGGTTATATTTATCAATCAATTTGCCAATCATAATATGTTCTAGAAGTTCAAAGAGCTTTAAGGGCATTTGTGTTTTCTTGAAATTCGAAAGTTGTGATTTTTTCAAAAAAAAAAATCAGTATTTTTTTTACTTGCGCTCATTGACTCTCTGGGAACTGTCTGTTGGCTATGTTTTGTAGTGTGACAGATTTTGCTCACAATTTTGAGAATGAATCGTTTTAAAACAAAATGATTTGTTGCTCATTTTTAATATACCTTTTTCGTGCTATGTATTTTTTATCATTCAATTTTGAGCTGTGTAAGTATAATTTAAATCCTATCGTATCTGTCAGTGAAGAAAAAGTTAAATTAGATGTCTGCAAGATAACGACAGCATAGTTTCTCGCTTTTTTGTATTAGTTTGTTCAGTCTTAGTTTCTAGCAACCTTGCGGTTATATATGGGAAAATTTTGAGACAAATCGATTCAAGGTAATGGCACAAGGTAATTAAGCAAAAATTGAAAAATGCAATAATTTCTGTATATTTGCTAATATCGTCAGCTTAGTTACTTAAGCTCGCTCTTATCTTGATGGTTCAGCTGTTTTAAGTATTTAAAAAAAAACAATATCGATTCAGCTTTAATTTTTCCGCCTTAAAAATTTTTCCGCAGCAAAGGTTTCTTACGCTTAAATGGTTTCGGTTTGTAATCTCGCTTTAGTTGCCTCATAATGTGTTGTCTAAAAAGCAAACCAAATTGGTCGTTTGAAATGCAAGCTATGTTCGTGTTCTTCAATGAGGACATTAAAACTTCTGCATGACTGTTCTCCACGCACGGTGTTCTACCCAATTTCTGTCTGCTGAGCTCTCCCGGCTTAAAAGGCGTTTACCCAAGTTTTGTTTGCATAGTTACGGTTCGGTTTAATTTGTCGCAATGCCTTTTCGATGCTGGCGCTCGTGTTTTTTCTGCTTGTGTTTTTCGTGACAGGGTTTTCTTAAAGTGATTTTTATTTGAGATAAATAGGAATATTTTTGCTTCTATTTTTTCTACTATTGTATCAAAAATTGTGCTTCGCCTTTGTATTCATCACTTTCGATAATCATAATATTTCACCTCAGCGTTTTCATTTATAAGAAGGAACCACTCAGTGTTTAAAAGAGTCAATGAACGTAGTTCAGACTCTTACATAAGTCTCGATGATTTTTTTTTTGAGCAAAAGTCTTAAAACTTGTCCAGCCTCATGTTAACGTTTTTGCAGTTTGACCTGATGTTCAGTTCATTTCCGTTGTTAAAAGGAAGGCAAAATCCAGTAAAAAACATCAATAATGTAAAGGTAAAAGGAACCATCAAATTATTTCGACTTCTTGTTTCGAAAATGTATGTTATCAGATTTCCCAGCAGAAAATAAAATTTACCTAATGATCCAGTGTTCTCAGTTTTGGTTGGTTTTATAAAAAAGAGTCAAATATACGCTGTTCTAGAAATTTAGAGCTTCAAGGCAATCTATTTTTGCTCATCGAAATTCAAAAAGGATTTTTCATAAAAATTAGTCAGTATTTTTTTCTCTGTTTACTTCCGTTCATTGACTCTTTTTCAACTGTCCGTTGACTATGTTTTTACTTAGGTGAGCAAGCTTGTTGTAATTGGGAAATACACTTGAAATAAATCTGTAAGAGTTTGGCCTTGCTTATTAATTTCAGCTCAATAACTTCCAGGATCCTTCTCACTTTGTCTAGTGGTTAAACGCCTGCATTGGTATATCTACGGAATATGAAATTTTGGTGATTTATTAGAACAGTTAACAGATCCAACTGATTTAACTCAGCTCAGCAAAAGGTGGCTCCCACCGGTATTCGAATCGGGGTATATGGTCCTTGAGTCCGTTAATTTGGCCAAACAGTCAGCAATTCGAAAAAAATCGTTTGTTCTTAACTCCATAACCGAGAACTACCAGTTCAACAGCAGTTAAAGTATGCATTTGTGCATCGAAATAATGCTACATTTTAAGATTTCTGAGTTGATTGATAAATTCTAAATTCTTGATTTTTGCAGCCTGGGAAGTATAGAGCTTATCACAGTTTACTCCGAAACCGTACCTCTGGGCAACTCTGTTAACCACAATACTACAATACTAGCCAGGCTGCAAAAATGGAGAATTAAACAATCAACTCAGAATTTTAAAACGTAGCATTTTGTTTTGAGGCATAAATAAATGCATTAACTGCTGCTGAACTAGTGATCACATTTATGATGCTAATTTCAAAGTTTTCTCTTCGAATTGCTCAGACTGGTTGGTATAGTGGCCAAATCAATGGACTCAAGGACCTATCATAAAATTTTATTGCGTCAAATTTGTGCGGTCTGAGTGTAGAGTGTTGATAACTGTGTCTAGCAATAAAATATTTTTGAAATGAACTGGTTTGTCCGTTCTTTTAGTTTTGCCAAGTTTAAAGATCTGAACTTTGTCTAAGTCTTAGTTTTTGTTTTTGCCCCTAGTCAAACATTTTATTGATTCCATCAATGATTACGCTGACTGGTTCAATCTGTGATACCAAGTTCCACAGCAACCGTTTCTCGTTGTTTCGTCCATTAGGAACTTTGTATTCAATGTATTGTAGTTTTTTCCTAGCAAAATAATCAGGTACCAAAAATAATAGTCAGAATGGTTGAATGATTTATCATATTAAAGCCCTTTTAAGAGTAATGAAGAGTCTTATATAGGTCTTGCTGACATTTTTTTTGTTTTTTTTTAGGAAAAGTTCTAATAACTGCAGGTGTGCATTCATACATATTGATGCATTTATGAATGCACTTAGGTATATATGCACTTTTTGAGTTCAATTGAAGTTCATCTGCTGAAAGTTACGCAAGTAGGACTCTCCAAATACGAACGTGGAAATGGCTCCAAATACGAACGTTTAATTTTTGGATTTCCAGCGGAATAAAAACTTTACCTATTGATCCAGTTTTCTCTAATCGGTTGCATGTTATCAAAAAAAGCGCCAATCATAAATTGTTTTAAAAATTCAAAGATCTTAAATTTTTTTCTTTGAAATTCGAAAGTTGAGATTTGTTCAAGAAAGTCAGTGTTTTTTGTATGCTTACTTGCGTTCATTACTCTTTTCCAATCTTCGATTGGCTATGTTTAGTCGTGATTCAAACCACATTTCAAATTTTCAAAAAGTGTTTCCAATTTCAAGACAAACGGGTTTTGAGTTTTTGAGAATTAGTTGCCCTTTTTGTGCCAAAAGGTATCCTCCCATTTCTAGAAAAACTGGCTTAAAGATTTTGTCTTGTAACCTTTGTGCTTAAAAAAATCGGAACAAATTTTAGAACTTTTTTCGAACTCATGCGAGTTTTGCTTAATTCGTTCCTTTCTTACGCGTCGTTCATATAATTTTCTCATCAGAAGGCCCACAAAAAACAACACTTATTTGAAGAATTTTTTTATGAATGTGGTCGGAACATTCTGTGCTACATGCTCATCAGCCGGATATCCGTCTGTAGTTGGTATTTGTTTCTCGCGTTTTCTCTTGAAAAGAAGTTCATTTGCTCGTCCGTTGTTTTTTTGTTTATTAGTTGAGATTTACGAAAAGTGTAATATCTATATTTCGGCTGATAAAAATCTGGAGCTTGAAACTTCACGAATTGATTTTAGACCTTCAAACAAAGTCGAAGGCACACGCAAAGCTGCATAGCCAAATGGATGAAGTCAATGATACCTTTCTTCCTGCTATTGCTCTTAACAATGAAGACAGCAGTTCACATGTAGGAAATCTTTCAAACAGTCCGAATCGCTCAAGTTTGGAAGTATCGACTACCGATTCCCAAACTACTTATCAACAGAACAAAAACCGACATTCTGGCCGCAAATTAAAAGGTGCTTTCGCGAAGATTTTCGGATCCAAACGTCGAGGAACTTCGATGATAGACTTATCAGGGAAGGAGCAAAATGGCACAAAAGGTTCGCCAGTTGGGCGGAAGTCTTTGCAAATGGAATCCGCAAGAAAACCTATCCAAAGGAGTAAGCGAGTTTCAAGAAGTATGGTCAATGTGAATTCGACAACGCCTGAGCGTAAATCCAAAGAGGGTCAACTGAAAGATAACACTGCGCCAGCTGATGAAGATAAACGAAATAAGCAGTCAGAAGGACTGGAATTTAATGTTTCTCTGGATAAAACTTCAAATATGGTTGACCCTATTAAACTTGATCCGAGTCAAGTACTGACTCCAGAACCGATTCGTTCTGAAACAACTGCAAAGCCCATTCCAGACAAAACATCAGATAAGAAGTCAGTCCCCAACCAAGAGACCAATGTATTAGTTCCAGTAACTGTCGAATTCCAGTCCGACCCTTTCGGAGCGGTAACTTCCTTTGACGAGCCAGTCAGCATGTCGGGGTTTGATTCTGACTGGGCCAGTTTTGACTATTTAAGCAGCAGCAAAGATGTCCAATCTGACTTGCTGAAAAGTAGTTCAAAGTTTGATCACGTGCAGTGTAAAAGTTCTCCGCTGTGGTTTGACTCAACTTTCGTGTCCCAAACTACAGCTGAAATGAGTAAAAGCTTTAACCAAGTCAGCAGCAGTACGCCAATTGCAATCGCAGGCAAAGAGAAGGAATTACTCGACTTGTTTAATTTAACGACCGAAACCCAAGAAAAAAGTCCGGAAGTTAACAACAATACGAGTATAAACAGTTACAACACAACTACAAGCAATGCTGCTACTCTACATAATGTAAATAATACTCCTTCTGTTAATACAACGAGTGAAGATGCCTTCGGAATTTCTTCGACCATTCAACAAGAGAGCTCGTACTTAGCCGAAGGCTTTGGGAACGAAGACTTGTTTGCTTCGTTTGCTTTTACCAGTGAAGCACGTGAACTATCAAAAGGATTTAGTGAGATCTCGACTGATAGATTCGACATGGGAGATTTCTCCCGCTCAACTGAGCAAAACTCTGAAAGCCGAACCATTAAACGAGGTCAAAAAGCGAAGTCGGCTTTCGATTTGTTTGTTGATGTTTCCGACCAGCCGAACTTTGATGTGTTTACCAATGAAATGGATGTGGATAGTGACGGAGGGAATTCTTCGCCCTACGAAATGAGGCCATCTTCTGCAATGGATCGGGATACGTCCCAAAGTGCCTGGAACTTCAACGAGGACGAAATGAAGATGTCGCTAGATACAGCGAATCCGAAGAGTCGTCAGTTTTTCATGCGACCTACATCAGTTAGCGGGTGTCATTCTGTTTCTAATTTTTCCTCCGCATTTGCAGGAAGTCAAAATAGGCTGGACAAACCAATGGTTAAACATCTGGAAAAGAGTGAACAACCTTTTGAAGATGATCCATTTTTCGCATCATAGGAACTTAATAGTTCCGATAAAAGCCAATGGTCCCATATTTTTGCTGCGTATCATCTCTTACAGTGTTCTTTTGCATATCATATCAGTTGTGTGTTTTTGATAATATTCCCTTTTAACGGATTTATTGTCTGTGTTATTTTTATCAGCTGTGTCCTTCGTAATAAATAGATTTAATATATTAGATTATAGATTTTCATACCACTCAACTTGAATTTAGCTATGCTTTGCTAATTCTCTTTTCCTAGCCGGTTGTATTTGAAGTTAAAAAAATGGCGAGTTTAATTAAGAATTGACAGAGTGAGTAATATTTCATTGAGAGTTTAATTAAGAATTGACAGAGTGAGTAATATTTCATTGAATATTTTCAATTTTCATGTCTCAGGATAGCATCAATTAGCAAAAAAAGGATATATTTTTCTAAAAACGCAATCAAAATATCACAGGCATAAGAATACAAGTTGAAATAAAATTTTAGGAATAAAGATTAAATCAGTTCTATTGTTGAAAAAAAAATGAAGATCGTTTTTTTTTAAAATCACGATCAATTTTTTCTTCAATTAAATTTGATCGGTAAATGAGTTTGCACCAGAACAAAATTTTTTCGAAATGTTTTAACTGTATGATTTGAAGGGGCTCGTCACCGACTAATGAAATTTTTAATCAGTTGGAGTAGAATTTTAAATCAGCTGGAGTTTTGATCAGACGGCAGCCAAAGTATAAATAATTTATTTAGGAATCTAAATAAATAAAAAAAGTTCTTAGAAAAAATATCAAAGGAAGCTAATTTTAGCGACTATACAATTTCGTATTACGTTTAACCTAGCCCCGAAATTGTGGATTTAGACTCAGCAAGTCTCTAGCTGTTGTGAACATGTGTTGGTACTTTATGGTAAGAAATTACGCTCGATCTTTAAATTTCAGATAGATGTAGACAGGCGTCCTTTGGTCTGGCGAAGGTTGACTGACATGAATTTTCCGGCCGAGTTATCTGTGTTCTGCTTATTCTTCTATTTGACAGTACTCAATTTCTTAGTTCCGTCTGCTGAATCGAAAGTTTCGTGCAAACTCAAGGAAATTGAGGAGCAAAAAGATCTAAAGAAATTTGTAAAGAGTCGTAGAAGTATTTTGGTTCTCTTTGCAAAAGATGAGAATGAGTATAAAAAAGCTGCAGGATCGTTCATATGCGAAGCGGTAGAAACGATGCGCGTCAATGTAGACGCTGCCTTTGTCAATTGTGAAGGGATCAAAGGAAAACGTCTTTGCAGACAAACCAAAGTAGACCCTACGCACTTTATTCTACAATTCTATCTAGACGGCCAACTTAAAAGTTCCAACTATGACAGGCAACATTCTGCAAAAAGCCTTATCTACTTCCTGAAAAATCCCAACGAAGAGGCGCCATGGAGCGAAGATCCTGCGTCAAATTATGTATCTCACTTAGAATCCATTGAAGACTTGGCTAATATTTTGAAGCGGAAAAGTTCGGTTTTGATTATGTTTTACGCGCCGTGGTGCGGACACTGTAAGCGGCTCAAGCCGCAGTATGCGACGGCAGCCAAAGACACGATTGACGGAGCAGTGACTCTTGCCGCGATGGACGTGAATGGAGACGAGTACCAGAACGTCCGAATGCATCTAAATATCACAGGATTCCCGACTTTGATCTACTTCAAAGAAGGTAAACCGGAGTTCAACTACGAAGGTGAATATACTAGAGACGCTATTTTAGAGTGGACAAAAGACCCAAAGCCATTTGAGAAGAAAAACAACGTCGAAAATAAAGACATAGATTGGTCAGCTTCTGAGAGTGCCTCGAATGTTGTTTTCCTCGACGATGAAACATTCGATGAATACATATCAACTCATAACTCTGTATATGTAATGTTATATGCCCCTTGGTGTGGTCATTGTAAGAAAATGAAACCTGATTACGAAGATGCCGCAAATGAGCTTGCAGAAGTCAAACCAGATGCGGCCTTAGCTGCAGTTGACGCAACTGCTAGCAAATCAGTTGCTGAAAAGTTGAAGGTAAAAGGATTCCCAACTATGAAGTACTTCATCAATGGCACTCTTTCGAACGACGAAGTGAACTATCGATCCAAGAAAGATATTGTAGCTTTCATGCGGGGTCTTAAAGTGCCAGATCCAGTTGAGTCCGAAAAGCCGATTGAGGATAATTGGGAGTCGGAAAAAAGTAGTGTCGTTCATTTGAATAGTGAGTCGTTTTCGACAGTCCTGAAGAAGCGCAAATTTTCCTTAGTCATGTTCTACGCTCCCTGGTGCGGACATTGTAAAAGGTTGAAACCTCATTATGCACTAGCAGCTCAGCTGGTGAAGCAACAGCCAAAAGTTCTTCTAGCTGCGGTTGATTGCACGAAGTTCACAGACGTGTGTTCTAAGTTCGAGGTTTCTGGATACCCTACTTTGAAGGTGTTCAAATATGGAAAAGAGCCTTTTGACTATAATGGTGGACGGGAGTCGCAGGATTTTGTGAGTTTTCTCGGAAAATTGATGGAAAACGATAATTCTGAGAAGAGGGTGGAACTCTAATAACTGAAAAACTTGTCAACTTATGTGATTTGTATTTAGCCTATCATGTTTGTGATTGGGATCATTGTAAATGGTAAAGATGTAAATTTGTCAGATTTATACTTTCTATAACTTATATATGTTACAAACTGAGAGGCGAGAATTTAAGTTGGAAATGTGAATGAATCTGATTTTTCAAGACGAGTTCCTCCAATATGAGCTGAAAATTAGATTCGATGAGAGCTTAGCCAAGGTGTCAAGATAGTGAGTTTAACCAGTCGTGGTTTGAAACCAGCTGATGCCATGAATTTTTTTCGGAACAGGTAAGTTTCATAATCCTGGTGAGTTTTGTTTGCTCTAAGCTAATCGTGACTGTGAATTGGCAACAGACAACATTACCAAGCGCAAAAAATTTCTTTTTATTTTTAACCACGGTCACAGCTGTGACAGAAAAAACAAACAGCCTGTATATTGATCCTTTCCCTCGTGGATAAGTAGACTTAACTGACATATCAAATGTCTTATTAAGGTAGATGAGAGCCTTGTATGCTTCATTTAAACTTCGTTGAATGAGCTATTCGAACACGTGGTTGCAATTCGTGCGCTTCGATAGTCATACCAGTGAAGTGGCGTGCGGAAAAGTTTTTTTCGACAAATTAAATTTCTGAAAATATAGTCAAACGTTTTGTTTTGGTCAGACTGCTCAAAATTTTTGACCGCTACCGAAACCCTGTAATTTGTTTCAAATTTGGAATAAAAGCCGTTTTTGAGCTTTTTCTGGAAGGATTTCAGACTGATTTTTGTTGATTCATAGACTGCTTCTTGCTGTAGTATAATTAAATCAAAATAAAGTTTTTGAAAGAGGATGGCTGGTTATTGTGCAAGTAGCACAAAATGTTCCGACCATAGTCTTAAAAAAACATTTTGCAGAAAGTTTTTGAATTTTTTCAAGTTTTTGATTCCCAGAAGGGATAAAAAATATTTTACGTAAGTTAAACTGAGTTTTCATGGCTTGAATTAAGCATAAATAAGCTATTGTTAGCCTGCACGCTCACCTTATTAGCTTGAATTTAGACGAAAAATCAAAATTTTCAAACTAGTTTGTCTCGACACAGAAAGTTTTTAAAAGTTTTTTCAATGTCGTCAGAATCAAGTTTGAAAGGGCTTCAAAATGATATATCACTCGACTCTTTCCGATGCTTATTTGTGCTACCCGATTTTGCGTGGAAAACAAAAACAAAAAAAACTAAAGCCTACTACAAAGTTCCTCGACATTTTTCAAATGGTGAGAACAATAATCTTACTTTGATATTTACACTGGCGATTAGCAAAGGCTAACAAATCGAAATATAGACATTTTTTACTATAATTAAAATTGTTGTGTCGCCGTTATGTCAAATAATTGCGTTCCACAAAATCTCAGTTTTTTTGATGTTTTGAAGTTTTCATATTTGTAATAAAATGATTTGCAGCTTGTCTTTTTTCAAAAATTTTTTCTCTGCAGTCTTCTGTTCTTCAAAAGTGATCAATATCTAGACTTTTCTCTAAAAATTTTTGAAGCTTTGATTTACTCTGATCGCAAATGATTGATTTTTTGTATGTATGCCAGTATAAGGCTTACAAAATGTTCTAATTTTCCTCCTTTCTTCACAAAACTTTCATTCCCTCGATTTGAGGTCTTTCTTTTTTTCAAAAACATTTTTTTTTCTCTGAAAAGTTTGTCTAACAAAAGCGCTTCCACCAGCTTGCATACGTCTAAAGGATGATAATTAAATAATATCTATTTTGCGTTTCCTAATTAGTGCAAAGTTTTTGCTCACTCTTTTCATATTTTTTTCTCAGCGTTGGCTTATAGTTTCGAAAATGGATTTTAATTTTGTTTTCTCAGCGGAATAATAAATTTATCTATTGATCCACTTTTCTCAAATTGGATAAATTTTATCAAAAAATCAAGTCAGTAGTTGATTTTGGTTCTATGCGTTCTTGGACTCTTTTCCAACTCTTTGTTGGCCATATTTGGGTCGTGTTTCACACCCCATAAATTGTGCTAGTGTGCAATTTTTTCGAATACTTTCGGGGAAAAAACCGAGAAATCTTTAAAACTAAGCTTATCATTTGGCTTTTAACATTTAAAAAAATATTTAACGGATCAAAAAAGCACATCTTTTTGATGTGCAGTTTTTCCAATGAGAAATTTTCAAAAATAATGCAAATTAGATTTAAGTTTTTTGTGTTCCATGTCACATTTTTTGTGTAAATATGTATTTTAGTCAACACAGATCCAATACTAAATAGAAAACGAATAATCATCTAATGCACACATCATGATAATTGTTCAGAAGACGAAGTAAGGAGAAAGATTGTATTCGGGTCTGATTTCCTACGAAAATCAGGAATACAAAGACTTGGAATATGAAATTGGGTGATATATTAGCCTATACTAGTTTTTTTTGTATTGCTCGAGAAAGAATTGTCTGAAAGTTTTGATTTGCAGACGACTCGAGAGTAACCAATTGAGAAATGTTGTCTATTTTATCAGTTAAGCGGCAATTTTTTTTTAATTCATTGAGATAATTTAAAGTTTTTCTGGATGTTTTCCTTTTTTAAATGGATGTTTTCCTTTTTTCTGGATGTTTTCCTTTTTTAAATATTTTTTTCCTTTTTTAAATGTTTCCAGAAACTTACGATAATGTGAGCGGGAATTTTTCTGATGCATGAACAGTAAGCCGCTGTTCATCAAATCATTAAAAGCTTGGCAAAAATTTACATCATAAAATCACGGCGATTATTTTCAAATTTACAGTACATCTAATCGTGTGGTAAACGCATGTTCTGTAGAAATCAGCTCAAGTTAAGCTAGCTTGAGAGATAAAAAGCTTCTATTTTTTGATTGTATGATAATTGGTCAACGAAACCACATAGTTAATGATCTTCTGGTCGTCTTCAAAATGTGTACAGAATCAAGAGTTGTATTTTAAAAATGAAAGATGGTTTTAATGGTTTTGAGCTAAAATGCAACTGCTCTATAAGTCTTTTTGACAAAAATTGGCTAGCTTGCCCAAGTTTGTTACTTCGTAAAGCATCATAGCTACAAGTCATGTCTTTGATTTTCATGTGCTTAAGAAACTATCATCAAAAACTATCTTCAAAATTTATACTGACGCACTTTTCGAGTTAAGAATTGACAAAAACGTGACTTAAAACTTACTTAAGAGCGCATCGTTCGTAAAATTGTCACAGCAAACGTAGATACTGGAAATATGAATGGTTGTTGTGGCTTTTAAATTATATGCGCTCTTGGTTAGAACTAATCAATCTATTGTTATGGAGCGTTGTGGGAACTTTTCCCCGCGGATTTTGCTGCTGGCGATATTACTTGTCGTGTTTGTTCAATTTAGCGATGCCACGGCACCAAGTAAGTTTCAACTTTTTTCGCTCAAAATTTGAAAGACCGTTCAGTGTTCTGCGTGAAAAATACGGATTCTTTATTGAGACAGGGCCAGGGTAATTGTTCCGACCATTAAAATTGGGGAGGAACTATATTCGGGTGTGATTTAGCTTTTTTCCACGAAAAATCACGAACCACAAATAATCATTGAAATGGGTCGAGTGATATATCATATTTAAGCCCTTTCAGTCGTGATTCGACCACTAAAAAAATTGAAAAATTGTCCAGGCTTCGGGAAAAATATGTTTGAAATATTTGGTTTAATTTCGCGCTTATAAGGTTAAATCATTTTTTGAAGCTCTTAGCGCCATTTTTGGAATAAAAAAACTTCTAACACTCAAAACAAATTCTGCAAAAAAAATTTTCTAGTCATTTTTTGACCAAAATCGTTGCCCGATTTGCCTAGTTTACTGTGACTGTCGAATATGTCTAAATTTTTGGTTATCATCAGATCATTTTATCGCACAACGCACAAAAAACAATACTAATTTGAAAGAAAAAAAACATAAAAAAACTTTTTAAATTTTTTTTAAGAACATAGTCGGAACATTCTGTGTTACTTGCATAGCAACCGGCTATCTTAGTTTAATTTGGATCTGAGATATCCTCCGTTTTTTTAGAAAAAAATAGCATAAATGAAAATATTCTGAAATTAATAAAATACCTTCTACACTTTTATTTAAAAAAAAAACAAGTGGAACATTTCTTGGATCGTAATCAGCAGCGATTCAGAATGGAAAAGGGACTGACATCGCCCTACTCGAAGAATTCGATACAGTCGGCAACAAAAATTTCCTTCATTTAATACTACTGCACGAGATGCGATTCGGCATCAATATATTAAGTACTGGTTGAAATTATTTTCTCAAACGCATAATTCTCATAATCGAACTGGTAAAACGCACTCCAGGAAGTTCGTAAAGGCTTTTAAATGTCCACTCCTAATCTTAAAAACCCTTGAACCCCCCCCCCCCTTTGGTCCTACAAATGACTAATACTGCTTGCACTGTCTCCTCAAGTATGTTTTTTTAGGCTAGCATTTTGGCAAATACTTCTCTCATAATCTGATAACTAACAGAAAAAATCTCAAATGATGTCGAGTTTTGCGTTTCAGCTCTTTCTCAGCATGTGGAACAAACAGGAACAGATGCCATTGAAATGTACTTGGAGTTTGCGGCGCCCGCGACTCTAAGAAGAGACGGTAATTGATGCAAATCGTACTCTGCTACTGGTTGTTTTATTTTTCAACCGAAGAGTTACTTTTGAAATTAATCCCATTTAAATTAATTTCCGTGTTCAGCTCAGCCCGATGGGCAAAGGACGCAATATTGAATTCTGATTTTTGTTCCGATTTTCGGAGAAAAAGGGGAATACTTATGCTTGGGGTGGTTTTTTTTATCAGTCAGATATCGACTTTTGAACTAAGCGTTTTTGCAGGATTGTTTTATACTATCTGGAATTACTAGTGTCTGAAGCTCAAATTTAAATAGATATTTCACCTGTGATCAATTTTTGTAATATTGCAGTGACTTAAAAAATATCTTACTTCGCTAAATTGGGATAATTAACGCGCGATTTTTTGTGTTCTTATAACACGCGTGAGCGGCGGATTATTGTGCTCCAAATTCGGTTGAGACCAGCAGCTTAGTCTTATGAAGACAAAACGGGACGCTGAATACACCTTCCCTATTTCTAATATCGTGGAGGAAAGGGTGATAAAAGGAAGAAAACATGGAAAACTTTTTTTTTCGATCATTTCTCAAATTATTCGAGCCGAAAAGTTTTTTCTTGGACTTATTTTATTGGACTTACTTTTTTTGGACTTACTATTTATAAGAACCCCTAGGGGGAAGATGCATCCGCCTCAACGCCCCCCCCCCTTCCTCCCTAAATGCGGCCCTGGTGTTTATCATGATACTTTTTATGCACAAAAATCGCGTACTATCTTATAGTTTTGTCTCCTACCCTCTTATCCCGTGCATGCTGCGTGGAGAAAACTAAAACACAACCCAATACAATGTTTAATCAAAATTTCAAAATTCATTCAAACAAAAATCAATCAAATTTAGAGTTTTTTCAATTGTAAATCTATAACCCGATCGCTTTGCTCAGCTTTTTTGAATTGTGGGAACATAAACGCTAACTTAAATGATCTACCAGCCCCTATTCCTTACCTAAAAAAGGTGGTTGTGATTAAATTGCTAGTGCGTAAGTCAAGGTCGTGCATTCAGTACGTTTTGCGGTAGACTGCAAAAAGTGTCCCGACAGAATGCTGACATAAATTTAGAAAGTATTATATTTTGATGTTTGAAATACAATTGAATCAAACATAAATAAGGCAATTTTTACACTGGCCTAGCTTAAACTAGACGATGCTCTGCGAAAGTAAATATCAATTATTTTTCGTATTAAGACGTTATGTTTGAACTCTGTCATTTAATACGCAGTATTTTGCTTTTTTTCGAATTTATCGCCACTCGACTTTTTGAAAAATTTCGTTTTTCACCGAGGTGTCTTTTCGCAAGCTGCTCACTACTTTCCAAATATAAGGGTGGGCCCCGCTGGAATAAGATTGAATGCCTAAATGCCATCCTTCGACTGCATTTGTTGTCTTAGCAAGCCACTCACAGCCTCTTTAGGCAGATTCCAAAATGAGAGATGGAAAACAATGTTGGGCTCCATGCTTTTTATTTATGTAGAGCCGAATGAAAGTTACAGCTCGTCAATTCCTCAATTTTTGTAAGTTATAAACAGTTTCGGTCGCATACATTCTAGATTTTGTGAACGATCAAATCATAGGACTCGCCGATTTTTTTCTTTTCATTTCTTTCGAATGCAGGAGGAAAGGAGCACTTTTACGGCTAAAGCTAAATCGTGATTCAGTTCGTAGGTCACTATGGGACACAGTTTGTTGATTTTTTTTCAATTATTTCAGTGAGAGATAGAAAAAAAACACCCGATAACTCACTCCAGTTTTTTTTGGAATGACTAAAGAGCAGCTTGCTCAAAATCTAACAATTTTTTTTCAGGCCGTCAGTTTGGCGCTAAATCAATCAAAGCTTGCAAAGACCGATTATAAATTTTTTGGTTTTGCTGAAAAGAAAGGCGCATATACAAAATAGTGCGATACCAGGTTCACTAATGCGAATTGAATATAGCGGATTGAGTTTTGAGAGACGTTTTATAGGTTCCCTCGGCTGACCAGTAATTTTTTTTCCAAAAGTCGAAGCATTTTGATGTCATCTCAAAAAATGGTTCACTCGTGATCATTTAATCTGCTGTCATACCGGATAAAACTGAAGTTTTCATGAATCTCGAAAATACGAGGAACGGGCATGTGTGTCATGCTTACATCTTCTACCTGCTTGAGCAAAACAGTTTTCGTTAAAAAGTTTTTTTTTTCGCTTAAAGTAAAAATCGGGCATGCAGCTATAAAAACGTATTTTTAAGATAAAACTGTGAATTCAAAACAAGACTGATGTGTTACTTGTTTAAAGGATTTGCGTCTGTAAATGGCTTGAGCACAGCTTAAAATGACAGTCAGAATTTATATTTGTCAGAAACAAAACGTCAATTTGTTATCAAAATAGCACAAACAGGGTTTTTAAGTAATTTTGCCGATTTGGTGAATTTTTCAATCGGATTTAAAAAACAAACTGGTGAATAAGAGTATTAAGCGATTTACTAAAGCTTTATGTTAGGATTTACAACTGAAATAAACCAAGCTTTCCAATGTGATGCGTGCGTTAATTGCAAATTTTTTTTTGTTGTGATAGGAGTTGAGATAAGGCGTTTATGCAGCTTTAATTGTGGTGTTAAGCTATTAAGTCATGCATCAAAGCTGTTTCAGTTTCTCGGGGGCTATCAACAGTACATTAATTTATGAAAAGCGGATAAAGAGGCTATATTTTGTTCCGACTTGGAGGTTTGAAAATTTGGCTAATTTGTGACAACTAACGCTTTTTATATTTCGTTCTTATAGCACGCGTAAGCGACAAATTAATGCGTTCTAAAATGAATTGAAGCAAGCCGTTTGTTCTCTATTTTTTGATATGATATGCTTAATACATCCTTTTGTGGTATACATTAGTGTCTGAAGTGATTGAAAAGTTTCTTCTGTTTTTTTTTGTTCCGTCAATTTTTTAACCGACAATTTTTTTTAATTTTCGCCTGATAAACTAGTTTTCTCTTTTTTTCATTTCTTCGGACTTCAAATTTACGAAATATGTGCTCGGCTGGTTTTTTCTCCAGACAATTTTGACTTTTTAAATAGCATTTTTAGACGGAGTTTTTGATATCATTCGAAAGTTTTGTTGTCTTGATATGTAAAATATGTAAAAATGAAGGTAAAATATGTTTCAATTGTGATAGTGTTTGCTAACCTGTGGTGTTAAATGATTGCCATTTTGGGAAAAATAACGCGCGCAATGTGGATTATTTTAACGCGTGTGTGGGATGTTTTTCAAAACATTGTCCTAAAAGAAATTTTTCAATTTTAGAAATTTGCATCAAATTTTTCCGATGCGAACACTACTATATAGATCTTTCAAGGCGGTCGGATTATTCAAGGCTTCGCCTTGATACCAGCAGTCTTGTTAAAAAAATTTTTCAAAAAATTGTTTCATGATATTTTGACCTAAGTATGGAAGAATTTAAGATCATGTTATCTTCCTAATGGACAATTTCTCTGTTTTTTTTTTGTTCAAATCAAATCAAGCTAATTCTTTGTCTTTGAATTATTTTGTTAATGCTGGGATAAACGAACGACTAACTTCTCAAGTCCTATTCCTCGAGGAGTTGTGCTGTGTAAGCAATCGGCCAAGTGTTTTTTGGGCAAATTTGTTGGACAAATTTGCATACGAAAGTAATTTTGACGAATAATTTTTGGCATTCGCCGTCAGCCAACCAAAAATTAGCGGTCATCAAAAATCCAAAAAATAATGATTTTTTTTTCGTGTTTCTGGACCGTGCTGAATTTACTGTGCTCGGAGACTTCTGTGCTTCTTGCACAATAACCGGCTATTTTGGCATTTCAGCTATTTTGTTTCTTGCATGGTTTTGTCAATCTGACTGGCTGTTTGAAAATGGTCTTTTGATTCTGCTGGTTGGGTGCCTCTGATTTTTTCGAGTCTGTTGGTGCAGGTGTAATCATTGCTACCAGTGCAGCTGGCACCATCGTAACTTCATCCAACTTCACCGACTCTAATTACGTCAACAACATTGACCAGCCAGATGCTCTGGATGCTGGAAGCAGCTACAGCTACTCTCTGGACGACGCTTCTGGTCTTGGTCCTACTGCTCAGATCATGTGTACCCGTTAGTTCAACTTTTTAACTTTCATAAAAAAAAGACGATAGCTTTAATTATATGACACGAAAGTTTGATGTAAAAGAAAACATGGATCTGGTTAACTATACCCCCATTGCAAACGGGGGAGGCGATTCGTTTCAAGGTACCAAATTCTTATATCCTTAATCATTGGCTAGTAGCTCATAATAGAAGTGGTAGTTTTATACTGTGTACCATAGGGGAAAATATTTAACTAGATCTGAAAACATAATGTGAACTTTTTTATAGCCAACCCGTACCCAGTTTCAAGAGTTGGTAATCAATAATATTATACTATATCAATTATAATGGATAATAAGAGATTATAATCGCTTGGAAAATATCACGATTATAATCAATTATAAATCCTGTAAACACCTAACTTTGGTAATTATGATCAATTATAATTGTCAAAAAATCATTATAATAATAATCCCTTATAACTGATTACTTACGCGTAAACTTGGATGCCGGAAACTTTGTTGCATGCCAGATCCAGACCTTGTTTGTGTTTTTTGTCATTTTGTGGTTGAAGTCATCCTTCACTCTCGAAGGAGTATAAATCATGGTTGGATTCGAACTTGAGATTTCGGCATGTATTGAAAGTAGATTTTGTTCAACTTGCTCACTGTTCCTTCTAACTTCATATAATATTTTGCGATTTCGATCCTTATAAACACCAGCAGATTTAGGACGGGGGAAGGAAGCAGCGGACTTTTTATTCCTTCAGGGATTCGACCCTCTGTCGACTCAAAGGCTCCCCCTTTGTACTATTTTTTTTGGCTGACTTTGGCGCCAAAATATACTAATTCTGAGAGGGGAGCGCGCGCCGAAAAAAAACGCGATTTTTTGGTCAAGGTTTTCCAAAAATTGCATAAAAAACCTTTTTGGCCTGTTTTTTCAAAATTTTGTCTGTGGCGCAAAATGTTTGGTCGAAATAGGGCCTTTATAGTGTGCTGGGAGTGCTCGGAAAATCAATTTGGTCGACCAAAAAAAAGGTCGAGAAAATTTTCTAAAAGTTTTTGAGAATCCCCCCACCCTCGAGAAAATCTTAGATCCGTCCGTGATGTTGAACGCCCAAATGTTAGCATTATTGGCAGTTTGAGCAGTGTAGGTAAAAAAAACTGTGCTTACAGGCCATCAAGGTTTTCTGACACCCATTTTCGAGCTGAAACGAGTGAAAAATTAGTTTTCGATTTCAAAACAAGTACTTTTCAAATAGTTGACCAAAAATAAGATAGCCATTTTAAATTGGCGGTCACTTTAATTTGATATGAAAGCTGTTGTGTTCTTCAGGTGCACTGCCGCCATCTGCCATTGTCGCAAGTGCGATGAATCAAAGCGTGGCCAAAGTCTTCATCACTACAAACCCTGGCAACCCCTCAAACTTGGATGGTTTCAATGTGCGCTCTTTGGATGGATCCATTGACTCTAACGAGAGTTAGTTCGATACTTTACTGCTTCTATTTATCATCCCTTACTTACCATCCCCTACTTACCATCCCCTACTTACCATCCCTTACTTACCATCCCCTACTTACCATCCCTTACTTACCATCCCCTACTTACCATCCCTTACTTACCATCCCCTACTTACCGTCTCCTACTTACCATCCCCTACTTACCATCCCCTACTTACCATCTTCTACTTACCATCCCCTGGGGTGTTAAGTAACGATAGCCGAAGTTGGGTTTTTTCTCAAGCACCCTCAAATAAGTGGTGGAATGTCGAAAATATTCTCCCAAGTTTTGTATCATGCTGTAGCCCTGTCAGCCGTGGTTTGAATAATCTCGAAAAATAATAATTTAACTAAATAAAAGTCTGGATATTTTTCTGCTATTCGGGCGCATTTTCCTAATTTGTTCCTAAGAGAGCAGATGAGAAAAGAACAGACACTTCCGACATGATTTAACATTTGTTGTTGTCTTTTAAATTGTATTGTTTTTGTCTCAAATTTTTACTAAGAATGAAATGAATCTTGTATATTGTATCTCCTTCTTATGAAAATGGTCTGAAGGTAACAAGAAATGACATGAATTTTGTACAAATTATTTACTTAAATGGAAAATGACCGAAAATTCACAAAAAGTTACATAAATTTTTTATAAGTTAAAAATTGTATCAGTGAAACAATTTCGGATTGCTTTGACATGCCTTTTGCTCGTAAACTGTCTTTTCTCGCGCAACATATATTTTTTGAGCTTTTTCTTAAAAAATGCTGTAACAATTTTTGATATCTTTTGCTTATAGTTGTTTTTTTTTTGCGATTCGCAGAGGACCTAAGAAACGCTATCCGAGCCAAGCCTGTTTCTCTTATTTCCCCACATTCTAGACTGTGATTTTTGTTCGGCGAAGCTCTATTTATGCAACTTTGCAGTCGAAATCGGTCAAGCTGTGGTAAACCTGAAGCTAGAGGTCAAGTGAGAGCTCGTCCTCTCACACTATCATTGCCATGGCAGGGCTGCGATTACAAGATCTGACGATCACGAAGTGAACGCCTGACTATTATGCTGAATGCCTAGAATTGGTTGTGACATTAATGAACAAAATTTTGTTTCTATTTCGTTTAAATTCCAATTATTGGTTTTGGCATGTGTCAGATACCTTGAAGTTTTGACCAAAACTTTTTTTGTTTCAGCTAATACAGAGATAACACTTGATGGATTGCCTGTCCCATTCACTGAGTACGAATTTGTAGCGAATCAGCTCTTCTTTTGTGCTGCCGGGGAGGATATGAGCAGCGTCAACACCTCCTCCAACAAGATCCGGCTGGCCCCGGCGACTCCAAACATTTCGGACGTATACGCGGTCCCCATAACCACCGACGTCCATTTGAACTTTAGCTTCTCGAGTGTAGACTCGGACGTGAAATACAACTTGTACAGAGACGGGGTGCTCATTGAAGTGTTCTCACAGACGAACTACTCTAGTTTTGGATCGACCGGATTTGACTATTTGGATCCAGGTATCAAAGGGTTGTTTAATGCATTAAATTTTCTGTATTACCCAAAGATCTACACTTAGATGTTAGCAGCAGTGTTCCGAGGAGCCGTTGGCCTGGTTTTGTACAAATCACTGACCTAAAAGTTGGCCGACCTGAAAACTTTTCAAAAATTGCCTTAAAACGTTCCCTAAAAAAATGCCCTGTGTTAGATAAAGAATGATGATATGCTTTATGAGCTATCGTTAAACTGTTTTAACTGTGATTTTGAGCTACGTTTTTGAAAATATGAGTAATTTTTGCAGATCTTGAGCACGGTTACGTGTACACGTACATCTACGAAGCAGAAGACGAGTTCTCTGGTCTCAAAGAAGCCTCCGCCGAGAATTCTGTCTGCACATGTAAGTCGTTTTTTGTATAGTTAATGCCGAATTGTTGATAATGTCCTTTTTGGTCTACGTGTTTCAGCGAAGTAAATAAACCTGAAATTGCTCATTTTGGTTTGCAAACTAATTTCTCACTCATTTCAACACGTAGAAAACGTGCCAAAATATCTTCACTCTAGAATTTGCTATTTTTTTTACCAATAAATATTCTCAAGATCGACGATTTTGTCAACAATTTTGCTTTAACTATATCATGTCACTTCAACAAAAACGGTTTTCGGTCTAAACAATCTTTCTTTTTTCAAACGTAGAAAAGTTTGAACGGTGGTGTTTGAGATTCCTTAATTTCAAATTTAAATTTGGTAGTTGAAGCTCATTTAGTAGTTATTTACACTTGCGAAGCAAAGTGTATTAGTAGGAATCTTCTTTTTTTTCCAACCTAAGTCGCAAATAAAAGTGCTTTTTTTGGTGGCACTTTTGAATCGGTAGGCTGCTGTTGCAGTATAAAATCATATGTGCTTTAACATTTGATTAGCAAAAAAAAGTTAACACAGCTGATGCATTTTTACTTCATCAAATGAACCTTAAAAAGTTACTTATTTCAAACAGCAGTACAATGATTACACTTTCGAAGCGAGTGTATTAGTACAAACCTTCTTTTTTTCAACCTATGTCGCAAATATTGGTGGCACTTTGGGGCACCTTTACAGCTTTTTGATAGCATGTGCTTTGACATTCGAATAGTAATAAGTTCACACAGTTGATGCATTCTTAGTTCATCAAACGAACCGAAAAAATTGATTTATTTCAAACAACAACAATATTAAAAACTCTATTTCGAAAATTTTCAAACTCAATATATCTAGCAATTTTTTGAAATGCACAATTGGCTTTATTCTTTGCAAATTTTACATGCAAAGTAAGTGTGGATGCCTTGAAATTGTTACATTCCAAATTTTTATTGAAATTGTGTCTATTTGTATTTGGTGCCACTTTTGCTGAATGGAATTGGCAATTTATTGGCATATGTAGCTGCTCTCTTCGTGACTAGTATTTGTCGGTGGTTAAGCGTGGGTGGCTGAGTGTTTATTGCGTGAGACTCAAATCTTTTTATTTCAGTAGGTCGCAGATTCGAATCCTGCACGTAACCGAGTTTTTGCTAATTTGAGGCTTATTTCTACGTTCTCTCTTTTCAATGGATAGAGTTGCTTTTTGGTCGTGTTCTAGCGAAGCGTAGCTTTGCCTCGGTGTAAAAAGTTCTATTTCAGAAAAAATTTAAACTCAGTGCATCTCGCATGTTTTTGAAATGCATAATTTATACGTAATTTGGCTTTATGCTTTCCAATTTATTACATGCAAAGACGTGTCTTTTTGTAATTGGTGCTTCTTGTGCTGCATCGAATTGGCAATTTATTAGCATATGTAGCTGCATTATTGGTGGCTAGATTTTGGGGTTTTTAAGCATCCGTGTGGCTGTGTGGTTAGTTCGTGAGACTCAAATTTGTTAGGTCGCAGATTCGATCCGACTCGTAGCCGAATTTTTGCTAATTCGAGGCTTATTTCTACTTTTTCTTATTTCACTTGATAGAGCCGCTTTTTGGTCGTGTTTTCGCTCGTTTTCTCGTAATTGCATCTGTGTAATCGTTATATTTTGCATCAGATAGCTTCGCTCTAAGCTATGGTGTGGATCATCACTACCTTTTCTTCTCCCATCAAAATCAAGTTAAAAAGTTTTTAAAAGTTTAAGAAAATTTTAAAAAAGTTGACATCTTACAACTTCCACAAAAGTGGTAAGTTTATGTTCCAAGGCCAAGCTTCGACAACCAAAAGGCCATACAGGTGGTTAATTTGAAATGAAATGGTTAGAAAAACAAATGATATTTCACACTTGTTCTAAAGATATTACATGTTTTGCCATATGGGTTGTTTTGAAAGAGTTACTTTCGTAAAGTTAGTTCGAGTAGCATGGTAAGAGCTGGATGCCATCGCCAAAATTGTCATAATGTTCAATGTATAAAATGCCTGATCGTGGAATCCAGCACAATTTCTTAAATAAATTTTTTCGATAGTTCAATTTGTGGAGCTTGCTGCTCATGCGAAATATTGTGGCGCCGCAAAAAATGAGCTCTTTGAGAACGAATTCAAAAATACGAGTGTAAAAATTTCAATGTTTAACAAACCTTAAAGAGTGATATTTGTTCTCAAATGCACCAAAAAATACGATATCACTTTTCCTGTTCTAATCAACACACCCAACACTCCACTACGGCGTATAGGGTATTTTTTTCAGCGCAACTTAGGTAATTCACTAAAGCTCGGTTTCATAGACTTAATGTTAAAGCCAAGGTGTTTTAAGTCGAGAAAAAACACAAATTTAGCGATGAAGAAATAAGTTTAAAAAATTCTTTATTTAAAAGAGGAAATGTTTTTTGTTTCTTATGTGCTGTACAGCTCAAAAACTGTCCATTAGTCTATTTACACACAAGTGGAGCGTTGTATGATACTACGACGAGGCGACTTTGTTCCAACTTTCGATCCATAATAATCAAATGATCCGTAAGGAAACTATTTTCTTTATACCAAAGTATAATAAGCGCATACAAATAATCATTTCAAATTAAGTTGAAGCAATTCATGGGTCGTAATTTTTGTTCCGACTTTCGAAGAAAACGGAATAACAGTTTTTACAAAATTTTTTTATATCCCATTGAAAATATCGACTCCCTGAAATCAAAGGTAAAAAAAAATTTTTATATCCGATCGTTTTTTGCGAAGTTCTGGGAGTTTGAAAATTGCTAATTTGGCCATGCTCTGACTAATTTATGTGCAATTAGAACATTTTATTCATAATGTTGAAAACGTAACGCGAATTAATTATGCGTGGCGAATTATCCCGCACAACAAAATCGTTTCCAGGGGCGGATCTAGGATTTTCTCGAGGGGGGGGGGGGGGGCGGATTTTCAAAAAATTTTCCAAAATTTTGACGACCTTTTTATTTTGAGGGCGACCAAATTGATTTTTCGAGCTCTCCCAAAGCACTGTTTTGCCCCTATTTTGGCAAAATTTTCTGCGCTGGAGGCAAATTTTTGAAAAAACAGTCAAAAAAGCCGTTTTTGGGCACTTTTTGAAAAATTTTAGGGTCGGTCGGCCAAAAATGGATTTATGAAAAAGTATCAAAGGGGGGACCCTTTGGGTCGGCAGGGGGTCGAATCCCTGAGATGGGGGGGGGGGGGGGGCGTCCGCCCCCCTCGCCTCCTCCCCCTAAATCCACCCCTGATCGTTTCAAATTGAACTGAGGTTATAGCTAATCGATCGTATCAATTTCGTACGACTCAAATTTTTACACTTGATCTTGGATATTGTCCAAAAATTATAGATTTTTAGTATTTTATTTTCCCAAAAACTATTCGATAGAAATTAAGATAGTCGGAACATTCAGGAGATAGTCGGAACATTCAGGAGATAGTCGGAACAGTCTTGTTTCGTTCTAGACTCAATTTATAATTTTCAGTGCTTGTCGTTCCAATTTTCGAAGACTTTTTAACTAGCTTCTCTTGACAAGATTTCTGAAATCATTTGAAAAATACTCTTTTCTTGAGCTCAAATTTATAAAGATATTTTACCTGTAATCACTTTTTTCAAAGTTTTAGGGTTTAAAAATTGCCAATTTGACCAACTTGGTCAATTAACGCGCAATAAATTTTTTGTTATTTCAGCGTAAGCGGCAAACTAAATCGTTGCAAATCTATTTGTAATGCGTTACCAGGCTCAATGTTTGTCAATTTATACTTAACATAGCATGTGGGGGAATATAATGAACGAAAAACATTTTTTTAAAAGATTTTTTCCCAATTATTTAATCACTTTTTGTTTTTTATCACAAACTTTTTCATTTACGTTAAGCGAAAATTGGAACATTCAGGGCCTTGCCGTGATACGAGCCTTTTAATACTTTTTGAAACTGATTTTCTTTGCACGCAAACGTTTCGTTTTTCTTTGATTTTTCTTTGTATGCACTTTTTCAACCATTTTTTTAAGGCAAATTATTTTTAACGCTTATTTTTTAACGTAAAAATATTGAAAAATTGTAAAAACTGAATGACTGAAAACTGCACATATGTAAATTAATTGATGATAATTTTAAAGTACTCAAAAAGGACAAAATTGACTATTGATTATTATACATAAATACCGCCGAAGGCGATCAACAAATGAGTTTTCGGACGACCTTTGAACAATGCAACCAGCCCTCTTCCTGAACTTTATGAAAGTTTTTGAACAAGTTTCAAGTTTTTCGGTTTTCTCGATGCTCCTTACTATTTCTTTCCTTGATCGGTTTGTTTCGTGATGCGATCTATCATCACCCCCATCTTTGTGACCACCGTTCGTTTCCGCTAGCTTCTCCGAGACGTCGTTGTTTCTCCGATATCGTTAGAGTCCTGGCTACTATACGACACTAGTCGCTGTTTTCTTTCACGTTTCTTCGCTGTTGTAGTATCGTCCACCTTCTTTTTCTCTTGTTTCGCTTTATTTGCCTCCTTTTCCCCTTCTACGTTTTTTTCCGTTTCCACTAATTCTATTGGCGTTTGTAAATCCGTTGGCGTTGCTGGCACTACTGGTTGGAAAACCCCGGAAGAATTTCGGGTTCTGCCCTCTGCAATGTGGCCGATGCCACTGGTGCCGATTGTTGCACCGATTCAGGTGATTATTCTCCCCCCGATTCTGGCAAATACGTTTGCCTGCTGCCCCCCTGTCGACTGATGGATAGTGGTACGTTTTCACTATCGTTTTCACTTTCCGACTCGCTTATCGGTTGGAATCGGCGGCTCGTGGCAGACTGACTCAGGATTCTCGGTTTTGTAATCTTGCTATCCACTTTCGCTTTCCTTTTCGTTAGCTCCTTCTGTTTAACAACTTGAGGTGTAGGCGGCTGAGGAAGATTGGCAGGGACCTTCTTGGCTGTTTTCTCGGACAACGCCACCGCTGATTTCCTAAGAACAACGCCATTGTTTAGAGTAATTTGTGTGACTGCTTGTTGATTTCACCTTAGAGGTTAATTTTCTATATTTTGGAGATTCCAATCTCCCGTGCGCTGGTACAACTGGCCAGATGGACCTGGTTTGGATATATTTGATTGAAGGTAATTGATATTTTCAAACATTTTTTAAAAACTTAATATAATTTGAAGTAAAATAAAACGTTAAAATGCTCGAAGTTGGATATATTTGAGGGTGTTTGATATTTTCAAACATTTGTTTTAAAACTTAATATAATTTGAAGTAAAAAAACGTTAATATGTTCGAAATCCGCATTTAAAGAACATGTAATGGAACTTGAAAAACGGTGTCCTTTCTAGATCCCGGTGACGTCACTGACTTGAGTTGGTCCAACATGGCTGTTCAGCAAGTGAGTCTGGTGTTCGGGGCACCCTCTGGAAATTACACCAAGTTCGTCTACAGCTACGAGGGATCTGTCAGCTCGGGATCAAACAATGTCTCTGCAACAACCACAATCGACGTGGCGTGAGTGATGAAAATATCATCAAAATGGTATTCACACATTTCGCCCCTCATAAATTACTGGCACATTTCGCCCCTCTTAAATTACTGGCACATTTCGCCCCTAAAATGTACATTAAGAAAGCGGCGTTAATTAACTGTGTAATAAGTTAGGGGCGAAACGTGCGAGGACGAAATGAGTGAAATTATTAGGGGCGAAATGGGTGAGGGGCGAAACGTGGGACATTGCATCAAAATATCGACGATTTATGGTTCTAGAATTTTGTCGCCGATTTTAGTTATGGGATTATAGATTTTTGATCCGGGCATAATGTGGAATAGAGCTTTATCCGTGAGAGTGATTGCCCTTGGCGTGCACAGGAATTTTTGAGCGGTGCGGTTTTCTTTAAAATTTCTTAGATCTATCAAATTGACTTTGCGAACATTATTTTGTAAAAACATGGCAAAACGCCGCTTTTGGGTATTTTAGGGAAGGGTTTCCTAAAGTCGCGTTTTTGGGCGCACTTGCCCCTCAAAATTAGCGGCCTTACACACTCAAGGATTCTAAATTTCACCTACTCCCCTCCCCTTACTGGATCACAAAATTCATAACTTCTGTAGTAATTTCAAAAAAGATAAGTTACAATAGCAGATAGATTTTTTGCAAATAATCGTTCCAGATGTAATCAAGCTCATTCTTCTTCGTGTTCTGTTTGATCCAAATCATATGATGTAATTTAGTTTCTTTGCCCGTCTGTAAAAAATCCCTGCACGTGTTTGTGTTTTTTCTTAGTGGACTTGGATCTGCGGAAACTGTCACCTTCACAGTTCAGAGTGTGGTGGATTGTCTCGGGGGCTCGCTAGATGGCAACAACTCCACCGTCACCGCATACACAAGTCAGCACTAATTTACTGCTTTTATCTATAGGGTGGCAATTCTGTAGTAGATACCATAGGTCCCCCTATCTTTTTTAAATTTAGGTCCCCAAGCTCCATCTATCACTGCTACTGGCATCAACATTCGAAGGGAGGGCTTGAATAAAATCCAACTTGTATGGGCTGGTAACACAGGCGATGTCAACACAGACCCAAGCCTCATAAAATCAACCGTAAGTCTTTTTTTCTCTGAACTTTCATCAAGTCATTTCACTTGCAACCACAAGACTTCAGTTACTTGGACCGGTATGTATCTTTAAGTGTAACATTTGCACAATTATTACTAACCGTGTGTGATCAAAAGCAACAAATGTCGTAAAATAGTAAGCTGATATAACATAACGTTTTTATCTGAGAGACAAGGTGTTTTTTTTCAACATTTCTTAATTTAAAAAAAGTTAGAGTAATTGAAAAAATTTAATAATTTGCAGATCTTTAGTACAGCTAAATGGTTCACTAATTTTAGTCGGAAGGGTCTTTGAGATGAATAAATAGTTGTGTTGGTCGAGTCAAAGTGCGATAACAAACGAGAACTGATAAAATTTCTTTTATCGAACAATTCGGTTCTCCGATAAACATGACAAACATGTAGTTTCAAATTTGCAACGTTTTATAAGTAGAAACAAGACGAAAATTTGAAAATTTTTCTATGAAAATCATCCCCCCACACGCCATATAAAGTACAAAACAATAGATTTCTCTCCTTGTTACAAATTAATTATGGCAAATAAGCTTCCTTCAACCAATTTGGAACGATTTATAAGACGGATTAAATCTCCGCTTTCGATGTAATAGCGCGAATTATATCGCGCGTTAATTGTCCCAAATTGGTCAAAATGGCCAAAATGGCAATCGTTAAACCCTCATAACATTACGAAAAATGATCACAGGTGAAATATCTTTTCAAATTTAAGCTCAGGACAACAATACCTTTTGAATGATATAAAAAAATTCCGTCAAAAATGGCTAGTTAAAAAGTCGAAATTTGTCTGAAGAAAAAAAACCCACCCCGAGCTCAAATATTCCGTTACTTTCGTATCGAAAGTCGGAACAATAACAAACTTATTAAGAAGAGTGATAATCTGGCCGAATCAAATTTAATCAACCATCATATCAAATGGGTCTAATATTCTCAAGATTTTTTTAAAGCATATTTCGTTGAAAATACAAGTGTTCATCAGTGAATTCAAAATTTAAAGCAAGTTCAGCTACCACACACACTCTTCATCAACGATGATTCAATGGAGCTCAACAGAAATTTCAACAGGGAACTTGAAAAGAAAATGCAGACATCCTGAACAAAAAATCTGTACAAAAACTTAATAGTTTTTAAAATTCCAAATTTTTTTTTGAATAAAAACATAAAAAATTAGTAAGCAAACTCAGATAATTTAGTTTCATACAAATATAAAAAGTTCCTTGCTTCTCAAGGATTTTTCTTTTCCGTTATTGTTTGTCTTCATCTAAAACATAGAACATAACTTATTATGAAACTAATCACATATAAATCGAAAATATAAATTTTTCTTAAATTATCAACCCTGTAATTAAAAACCGTATCAAGGCCTATCGTTGTATAATTTAAACCAAAGTTTTTCTTTTAATCAGGAAAACATTAACGATCTGTTTACTCTTTATCTGACTGGTTGACGGCAAACAAGTTGAGTTAAAGAAATCAGAGAAATCATTCAAGTTAAAAATAAAAGCTCGTCTTCTCAAACGTATTCCAGACAGAACATTTTTTATTTATCTGGGAATTTTTTTGAATTTAAGTTTTGAAATTTGAGAAGCACATTAGCATTGTAGATCTTATATTAAATCATATGAATAAATAGGCATTATGTACCCTGAATGATATTGCTACATTTTTTTGCAATCAAAAGTTAAATCTTTGAATCGATGCAGTAACCTAATATAACTTTGTGTATGCTTCAATCACTTTACTTTTACGCATTTATTTACTTTTTAAACAAAAAAGCAGTTCCTATTTTCCTAAAAAAAGATCCAAGAGAGTGTGACAGTTTTCATTTGAAGCTAACAACTTTCGGCAAAAACGAACATTATTTATTTAAGCTTTTAAAACTATTAGTTCAAACCATAGCCAAATTGGATTGGAATGAACTTTATTATAACCTTGTTAAAATAATTTTTTTTGAAAAAAAGTAGAACATCAAAAAAGGGCTTATGAATATTTTGTTTTCTAGAATTGAAATGCAGAAAGTCTCAAAAAAGTTTCTGAAAATCCGAGTTATTAACTTGTTGCAATAGACTAGATTTGTGTCATAAGAGGTTCAAAGTTTGAAAGTATTTAATTTCAAATGTTGTACGCTATGTGAAGGATATTTTTATCTTTGAAATCGACATGCTTTCGAAGTTTGCCTCTAACTGATTAGAATCTGAACTGGCCTGATTATTTATATTTTCCCAATTGTTTGCAATGCGTTTGCTTACCGTGATTCTGGGCTTGGGTTTCCATCTTTCAAACCAAACTCATCTTGGACATGTTTATGGTTACTGGTGCATGGACTAATTTTTGTGTCCGCTGTCTAAAAAAATAAATCCAGCGCTAAATTAAAATTATTTAATCAAAAAGTTACAAGGGCCAACAACATGAGATATATAGAACAATAAAGCTGTTTTCCTTTAAATTTATCTAAAACTTTTTTCCTTTTTTTTCAATTTTATTCATTTTTTGTAATAAGTTTTGATATGCATTGTCAATTTTCGTGCTTGCTTATTTGGACACTACTGTTGATTTAAAGCAGTTTATGGGTTGGTTGGCTGTCGTCTCAGAGGTAGTTGTTATCCTTAAATTCTTTTGAAGTTGTTAATTGTTCATATCTATTGAGAATTGTATCTTCTTCTTCTTCGTTTTCTTTTAGTTTTTTTTACGCTTGCGATTAGCAAGCGTTATCAAATCGGAAGGTAGAAGTTTTTCGGGTCAACAACTAGTTCAATAAAATCAGTTGAATCATTTATAGGTAGATTCTTGCTGGGTGGGTGCTAAATTACTATTAACTATTGGTTGGATGGTGTTACTAAATGTTTCAATGGGACATGAAACATCTAAAAGTTTTTCATGAAAGTTTTCCTGCTCAATTGGTGTCTGCTCAAAAATGGTCGGTTCAGCTTTTTAAAACTGTGCAGTTTCTTATTTGATTTTGAGATGTCTTTCTTGGCATGCTTGCCTAGAGTTCCTGTTCCCTTAAAACAGTTATTATGAAAATGTTTGGGATTGGGTTTTTTATGATTTTTTTCAGACATTTTCAAAAATCTTATAACTTTTGCAAAAAAAAAAAATTTTGTTTTCTCAAAATTTTTAAACCGATTTTCAAAAAAGAAAAATCCATAGAAACACCGCCTTTACCCTTGTGTGCCTACATGCTCCCTTGGTCTCTTTTTGCTTTACCACTTTGTCAACAGCCTACAAAAAAATCAGTGAGGGGGGAGGGGATATTTGACCGACGTTTTTGATTTTTTTTCCTTTTCTCAAAAACTCATCAACCAAATCTGCGATTTTGTTTCAATGAAAACAGCGGGTTTGGAAAACTCCGACTCATATGCGGCTACGTCCGAACTTTTTTTAATATATTAAATTCTGGTCCTCGGAATAATGAAACTTTTGTTTTTCAGAGCGGTTTTTTGAGTTTTTTTTGTTTTTTTCTCCAATCACCGAAACCTGATGTTGTGGATTAAATGGAGACGCGTTTTTGAAACAAGAAGCTATGATTATGCGCAAATTTTTGGAAACGAGCAAATTTTTCAAATTTGTTTTTTCGTTTTTTTTTGTGATTGTGTTGCATCGCCGCTGATGCGAAGCTTCGCTTCGCCTCTGTGTCTAGAAACTTCGTTGTGTGGTTGTTTCCCATCGCGAGTGAACCGAATGCATGAAAGTTTCTGACCAATCAGGGTCCTTTAACTTAAACAATCCGTTACTCGGTTTTTCAAGTTTAGTTTGTGCAATTTTTTTAAATACTGATTTCTGATTGGCCAGCATAATTTCCGGGTGTTTGGCGGTTTTTCTCCTACGAAAATTACCCCACCAATTTTTGTGCCAGGAAATAATATTGTGGGCCAATGCACTTAGTATGGTGCGTACCCACAGAGCCGCATTCCAGGATAGCCGAAAACACTAAATCCGGGATTCATTTTTGTTTTTTGGGTATTCGGCTCAGCGTGAAACGCCACCCTTGGTATTATCCCGTTTTAAACACTGATCTGTGGTATTACATGCAGGTATTCCGCAGCTCTGACGGTGGCGTGAGTTACGTCGAGGCGTACCCAAACACGACTCTGAATTACATAATAGACGAGGGACTGTCTCCGGCGACAGAGTACACCTACAAAGTGAAGACATACTACAACGGATACCCTTCTCCAGATTCGACCACCACCACTGCATGTACTTGTAAGTGAGCAGACATGCTGAATGCAAATGCGTGATCCAATTTTCGAAGAAATTAACGGATTATTTGTGCTCAGTGCGATATTTCCTCTCAACTTTCAACTTTTTATTTATCGTTTGTTAACTTAATTTTTAAGGTTCGCCCAACAGGGCCGAAGAACAAATAGGCCGGGAAAAAAATTGCTCAAGCATAAATTTAGTTCAGAACTGCCGAACAAACAAAACTTATAATACAAAGAATAATACAAGTTTTGCTCATTCAAACGATCTAGTCGTACAAATTGCCCTAGATTGCACTTATTTTTCTTAGTTGATTGGTTGTTTTTTTTCTCGTATACTTTTTGCTCTGACGGAGACCCTACAATGAACGCATTGCACGAAATCAAAAAAATCGTGAAATCCTGAAACGGTCCTTAATTTTCTTTATTTTCTCAACCCAGACCCTACAAAGCCGCAGAACGTGACCTTTACCGCAATCAACTCCACCGCTTTGATCTGCACCTGGTCCGCCCCCAGTGTATCTGGACCTGCTCTGAGCGACTACGAGGTCATTTTCAATGACTTATCCGCCACTCCTGAAGTTCTGGACCTCGGTAACACTTCAAAGGTGGTTGACTTGACCAGAGCGAGTGTAGACCGGAATTTGCCTAATGTTTGCTATGTCAGAACACGGTTAGTTTTCATACTTATACTTTTTTATACCTTCTCATGTTTCGGTCCGAATTATTTTGTTTAATGAGCTCTGATATGGTTGGATTTTAAGTTAAGTTGTTTTGTAAAAAAAAATTATTAATTAAAGTAAGTTGCGCAGGGGCGGATTTTTTGGAAGGGGGGAAGTGGATTTAGGGGGGCAGGAAAGTACCTTTGGTACTTTTTAAGATATCAACTTTTGGCTGACCTCTAAGACTTTTGTAAATGTCTGGTCAAAATGTTCCAAAAACTGCCCAAAACGCAAAACATTATATCAAAATACGGTCTTTATAATGTTCTCGGAGCGCTCAGAAACTCAATTTGGTCGACCTAAAAAAAGGTCGTCAAAATTTGTTCAAAAAATCCCCCACCCCCCTCGAGAAAATCCTAGATCCTTTCCTGAAGTTGCCTCATAAGTTTTGCCACCGGTTTGTGGACCATTTTCGGAAGTTTTTGAATAAATTGGAATCACTTATTGATCCAGTTTTCTCAATTATCAAAAAAGTGTCGATCATAAATTGTTTTTGAACGTCAAATAACTTTACGACCGTCTATTTTTGAAACGCGAAAGTTGAAGATTTTTAGAAAAACAAGTGAGTCATTTTCTTCGGTTTCCTTGCGTTCATTGACACCTTTCCAACTGTCTGTTGGCTATGTTTCCAACTGGACACCATATTTCAGGACGGGGTGTTCTGTGGGGGGTAATCTGGAGGGCAAGTGGGCTAGTGCAGTGGCCTACTTCGCCCCTTTTGAGCCCTCAGTGTCGGCCAAGGCCATCTCGCAGACGGAAGTGGAATTGGAAGTGATTCCAGACTACGAGTTCAATAACATTCGTACATATCTTGCCACCATTTACAGAGATGGAGTTTCAATTGGTGAGAAAAAAAAACATAAAACCAATTCTCTAGAGTTTCAATTTGATATATTCTTTTCACTAACGCGAGCTTGCTGTCCATTCATTTCGTACTGTCTCTTCATTTTCTTTTTAAGCGAGTTGTAAGCTTCGAACTATAATGATTCAAAAGTCATTTCGAATAGGTTTGAGGGAAGCTAATTGACCGCAATAGTGTTTATTAGAAGCAAAGTTTATCATATCTTTCAGATGATCTAACCAATTTTCTCAAAAATTAGGTTTGAGTTCGAAATTTCTCTGAAGAAAAAATCATCTCGAATACTAAACTGATTCTATTTTCTTTCACCAAAAGCTATTCCAGAAACGTTTAAAGGCAGTCAATACATTCAAAGCTTCACCCAGAAGCAAATAGTCTGGATTATTACAGCTTTTGAATAGTTTGTATTCGAGATGACTTTTACTTCAGAGAAATTTCGAAATTAAACCTAAATTTATGAGAAAATTTATTTGATCATCTTAAAAATATTGATGTATTTAACTCGCAAAGTTGACACTCCTATTTTCGGTTAAGTTATGGGGTTTAAATGTGGGGTAATTAATGCGTGCTAATAAATATTCCGGCTCACATAATTTTTTCAAATTGAATTGAGTCAAGCTAGTTGGTTTAAATAACACTTGTTTTGCGCTGATACGTAACGAAAGTAACGGAATATTTGTGCTCGGGGTGAGTTTTTTTTCTTCAGATAAATTTTGACTTTTTAACTAGCCATTTTTGACGGAATTTTTTTGTATCATTCAAAAGCTATTGTTGTTCTGAGCTTAAACTTGACAAGATATTTCAACTGTGATCAATTTTTGTAAAGTTATAGGGGTTTATGTTGCTATTTTGTAAAGTTATGTTGCTATTTTGGCTAATTTGGGACATTTAACGCACGATATATTTCACGCTATTAACGCGTAAGCGGAGATTTAATCCGTCTTAGAAATCGTTCCAAAATGGTTAAAGAAAGCTTATTTGCAATAATTGGTTTGTTACTAGGAGCGACTTCTATCACTTTGTACTTTATATGGCGTGTGGGAGGATGAATTTCACAAAAAATTTCAAATTAAAAAACAAACATTTTTATTTTTTACATTTAATTTTTTTCAAGTTTTTACTGCTCAATAGACCTTAGGAGGCAGTCGGAACATTCAAAACCTCGCCTTGATACGAGCAGTTTTGTCTTAGTTTTGCCTTGATACGAGCAGTTTTGTCTTAATACTATATGACTTTCTTGTAGAATATTTTTTTGCCGTTTTTTGAAGCTAGTTTTGCTATATACAGTCCTGGTTTGAATTATCCGGACAAAATGAAAAAAAAAAGAGAGCTGCAAAAAATGATGAGAATAAAATGCATAGAATTTCTCATGAATTGTCGTAATGCAAATTGCTTAGCAAAATTCGGAACTAGAATTTTAACCCAAAACATTTGGCTCGTTTTAGGTAATCAAGAATAACGCTAAGACTACCAATTTAAATGATGTTAAATTTATTCGTTTGGTAAAACCTTGAAAAATTTGTTTAAGAAAAAATACTTTTGGTTAATAATTTTGGTTGGCAAATATCGATATACATCATTTTAAACAATCGAAATTAAAATCTTTACAATGAATGCCACCCAATCCCGATAGATACCGTTAAGTTAAAACTGTCGCACTGAACATGGCCTACTAAATACCGCAAACCTTGGTCGTATATCTGAGCGATAATAATTTAGTTTTTTTTTTAAAAAGTGCTTCTAATTTCATCATTGTACTTCAATTGTACTATGAACATTAGTAGTTCAAAGTACACTCTCATAGGGAGTAAAAGTGGTATCATAATCACGCCACATTAGTTATGCATGGGATTATAAACACGGGCGGATCTAGAATTTTCTCGGGGGGTAGCGGATTTTCAAAAAAATTTTCGAAAGTTTTGTCGATCCTTTTTAGATCGACCAAACAAATTTATTTTCCAAGCTCTCCTAAAGCACTAAAAGGACGCTGTTTTAGCCAAACTATAAGCGCCGCAGGCAATTTTTTGAGAAAACAGGATACAATCTTTTGATAAAATTATGAAAAATTTGTTTATGTAAAAATACTTTTGGTTGATAGCCAAACAAGTCATTTTTACTATATAAAACTCAAATTCTTCGCTTAAAACCAAATTTTGAACGTTTTTGCACCAATTTTAGGAGATTTGATTTTAGCCCTGTAGATAGGTGTTGGGTTGTGTAAGACTTTCTTTTAAGTTAACCGGGTAGTCTTAGCGTTATTCTTGACTAATTAAAAAACTAAATTCCCCTTTTTTGCGGTAAAATTTTTGATTCTAATTTTTGCAAAATAAATGCATCATAATAATTTTCACATTAAAAAAACTTAGTAATCAAACACTCGAAAGAAATGAGCGTTATTAAATGGAGTCCTTTTTTAACTCAAAGGATGTTGATTCTGCCGATATTTTTGGCCATTTAGTCCGTCTGTCATGAGAATAGCGCTCAAAATATTTCTCAGATCACAACTAAAGCTCATTGTTATCTTATGTGTGAAGAAACTTTGTTAGACTAATCAAAAACGGATTTTCTTACGCAGTTGGACCGTGGGGTGGGTATTTATTAGAACCAGCAAATCAGTTTCATTTTTATCAAATTAATAAATCAGTCGCGTTAGCATCAAAAATCTTTCATTGGACAAAAGTAGACTCGACCACCTAATTTTAGTGTCATTTAGGTGTATGCAATTTCGAAATTTTATTTCATATCAAGTTATAGACCGCTAAGGCACGGCCTGTTAGTTGCTGAGCTATGGCTAATACAAGGATAGCTTGTTACTGCGCGCAAAAAAAAAGCATAGAATGTTCCGATCATAGTCTTCAAAAAAACACAAAAAAAGGTTTTTCAAATTAGTTTTTTTTCTACGTGGTGTGATAAAAGTATCTGAACGAGTATATACAGTTTAGGAATAGTAGTCAGTCATAGTAAAACAGGTGAACAGTTTTGGTAGAAAAAAGATTACAAAAACAAAACAAAAATCGTTAAAACAATTTTAAAAAAATTCAAAAAAATGTTTTTCTATTTTTTTGCAGCATTTTTTGAAAATTTCAAATTATTGACTCCTAAGTTTTTGCTTTGAAAAATCCGAAAAATATTTTTTTTTTAACTAAAAAATAGGTTTTTAGGGCTTAAATTAAGCATTAATAAGCTATTTTAAGCCTAGCTTGCTTTATTTGATCGAAATAAGACCAAAAATTAATATTTTCCGACCTGCTTTTTCCCCAACTAAAAAAAAATTGGAAATTTTTGGGTGTGGTCCGAATTAAGACTAAAACAGCTGTAATATGATATATCAAGCAGCCCAGTACGATGATTATTTGTGGTACCTGACTTTGCCTGGAAAGCAAAAATAAAAAATAAAAAGAAACACGAATACAAAGTTTCTCCCCATTTTCAATGGTCGGAACAATAAACAATAAGTAACTTAATCATCTGATTTATTTTTGCAACTTTTCGGTTATACCCTCTCTAAATGAATTGTGAAAATGACAATTTTCATAAGAAAGTAGGATCGATGCTAATTAAAAATGCTGGGCTGATATCGCGAACGTTTAGCTCACGATATCAGCGAACAAAACGAAAATGAAGAACGCATTTGGTCTCATTTTCGCGAAATTTAGTTGGCAAAAAGTAGAAAGAAGATACAATTTGAGGCTAGTTTCAGCAAAAAATTTTCGTAAACAATTGATAGGGCTCTTACTTTTCTATATCTGCCAAATATTCTATGTTTTAAAGTGAGAATGGCAAAAATTTGAGCAATCAGAACGAATGGACAAAAAAATTGGTAAAAATAGGATCAACTTGTCATTTTGCTACAATTGAACCTTGGTAAAAATAAAATTTCACCAGTCGGACCAAAACTGTGTACACGTGAAAACAGTGTCACTGCAAATTAATAAAGCACACAATACTTCAGCGTTTCATTTATTTTCAACCAATCAGGTGCAAGGTTTCCCTGTCTTCAGATCGGTTGCAACCGCTGAAAATATACAAGTCTTGGAAATTTTTATTAGGGGGTTCAGCCTAGATTAGCACAACATCAATCCTGCTTACCTTCTATATATCCGAGAGATAATGAAACCTGTTTTGACTGTTTTCTCTTTCAAATTTGGTTTACAACACACTTTTTTCAAGCTCGTTAAAAGTTGCAAAGTATTTCCCATGAATAAAAAAGGAAAAGGGCTCAAACCATCCAGTTTTAGATCAATTTGATTTTCAACCGTCTTTGGAAAATTACTCGAACAATTAATTTACCACCGAAATTCTGAGTTGTCATTTGACAACCTATACTACATTCAGTTGATGCAAAAAAGTTCAGTTGATGCTATTGCTTCTCTAATAGAAAATCTAATTTGGATTAAGATAACCAAGCCATTAAAACTCAGTGAACGTTTCTTGATTTAAGTGAAAATTTGAAAATAATTACCTCCTAGAAATCTTCAAATTACATATTAAACAAACAAAAAAGGGTGATATTTTCTAAAAAATACCATATGATTTCAATTTTTACCAGAATAAAATTTTTACAACCATCTCACAAATCTTTTTCCTATTTTTTTAAAATGATTTGCAAATCGACGCGAAATGAAATCATTATTTTTTTCCCATACATTCTCGAAACTATAATAATAGGAACTTTATAATGTCATATTTTAATCTTTTCTCATAGTATCGGTTTTCTCCATTGTAAAGTTGGTCTGAATTTGTTCGTTTTTCCAGGCTAAATGACACACATTTTACAAAGACACGAAAGGAATATGTAAATTTCCTCTCAATGCAATTCTCCTGCAATGTACTCATTATTTTAGCTGTTTTATCATCTCAATAGATTGCTTTCATTGCCCTTAAAGGGAGAATAAACAATGGGAGATTTAGTTGAAATCCTGATAAAAACATTTGAAAAAGTAGAAATTTTTCATTTTTTTAATTTTGTTTTTTAAATTTATATATATCAGTTTATTTGATCCAAACGTTTTGTGCTACTTCCGCATTAACTGGCTTTCCTTGCTTTGCTCCTAAATTCTTTTTGGCGTTTCAGCTGAAGACATTGGGTTCCCGTGGCACTACACCGATACCGGACGAGTGGCAGGAACCCAATACTTGTACTCCGCCGAGTTCAAAGCGTTCGGCAGCTCCTCTGCAGTCTCAAACACAACTGCGACTTGCACGACTCCTAAAGAAGTCACCGACTTGCAAGTTTCCTTCTCAAACTCTAGTCACCTGACCGTCTCTTGGACCATTCCTGCGGGTGTGGTTGAGGCGTTTGTAGTGCAAGCGAACTCGTTTATAGCAGAGACAAACATGAATCAAACAGTGATAAATGTGACCGTAGGACTGGATGACTACTCTATAGATATCCCCACTTTGGAGGACGAGTCCTGCTTCAATGTGCTCGTGATGACACTAGTTTATTGCGACCACTGGATGCTTCACAACATCAGCAGCCCGGGACGGCATATCAAAGCTTGCACAAGTGAGTCTTCGGATCTTCGGCAATGAGTCCTATACTATATTGGGTTAAAGCTAGCAGCAAAGATACTGGTATACGTACAGCTCGCTGTTTTCATGGATTTGCTTCGAGCATGTTAACGATTACACTGCAACATTGTGAAAGTTACATGCTTCTTTTTTTTCTAAATTACCAACTTCCCATGTTTCAAACCGGCTGTTTCAAAAACTGCTTCGATTATGTCACGATTACAACCACGACATAATTAATGATACATACTTGCTCTTTTGACAGTTAAATAGCTAACGAATGGGAGAAATGAAGCACGTAAAACCGCTCCCAGAAACCACTTTCAAAAACTTGCGGTTATCCGAAGTCATAAATTAATATATTTTAAACCGTTTCAGCTGTTCAACCGCCCAACATAACAGTAACTGCAAGTCGCTACAACGAGATCACCATTATATTTGAGGACACTGACCCCCAGTATACATACCATTTGTGGAGGGGGGCTCTCAAGCTGAATGGGGTGGGGGCAGTTACAATGGATACAAATGGCCTCACTGCGGGAGCTGAATACTGCTACACTGCGGCTATCCAGAAAAATGGCGTCATGTCTCCACGCTCCCATTCCGTAAAAAAATTCTGACTGTATCAAACTAACACTTATTATTAGTTTCTACAGTTTTGTAAATCAATCATTTTGTTTTCGACCAATCATTGTTATAGTTCCAACCGCTAAAGGTGTCGAAAAACTTTTGATTCTGGTGTTTTTGAACACACAAAAGGGGACCACAAATAAACGTCAGATGTTGTCGTGTCATATATCAGATAAAATCTCTCTCAGCCTAGATTCGATCATGGTCAAAAAAACTTCCAAAAAATGTCTATAAAATTTTAGCTTGCTGGGTGAATATAGAGCGAGGAGCCTCTTTTCGTTCCGACGATGACCTGAATAATTTTTAAAGAGTATTTTGAAGGTAGCTTGTTAATAACCGTTATTTGGCCGTCAAAAATTCCTTGATTTTATTTGCTTTTCATACACAAATTTATACTGCGGTGGTAGTCACTTTTTATCTGACTTAGTGAACACACTAAATATGCTAAATTTATGCAAACGAACACTCGTGATACTACAAGTTCACTTCTCTTAAACCAATTAAGTACATTTTTGGTGGAAATTCATGTTAACGAATCCCGGATTGTAACTTATTTTTTTCCAACATTAGAAGACTCCACAAATTTGAATCTGTAAAGTTATTGGATCAAGTTAAAATCCTCTCCTCTCCTCGCCCCCCCCCCCCTCCCCTCAAAAAGACCAAGTTAAGATCCTCCACCCCAGCGCTGAATTTAAATTTAATTTGTTGAGCGCTGCATGTAAAATGCTCGATTCTGATTGGCTGAAAATTCCCAACTTAGAACCAAGTAAACATCCTCCCCCCTAAACGTGTTTAGGGTGGAGGATGTTAACTTGGTACAAATTATTTGATGCAAACTAGAAATTAAAATGGCAATGGACGCAAAAAATTTTCCTGACTTTTCAAACGGTAACAATTTTTTTTGAAATGTAATTGATATCTTTGAAACCTGATTATCGGCACAAACGTGAATGAAGTGAATCTGTGGAATGTGAAAATCTAAAGTACGCATTAATACTGAAGTTATTGAGTTGTTTTAATCTATTCAATTAGGTAAAACATTGTCATTCAAAATCAGTTAAATCACTAATTAAAACAAATACATCAAAGCGTAACTACATGAACGCACGCACGTCCTTCAGCACACGCGTATTGGCTTCTGCCTGGAACCTGTTTGCGCGATCGCTCAAAAGAGTTCCAGGCAAAAGCTAATGCGCGTATACTCAAAGATGTGCGTGCGTGCGCTCATTTAGTTACGTTTTTTGTTAATTTGCTTAAGTTAGCTATTTAACTAATTTTAAAAGGGATTTAATAACTGATTGGATATAAACAAAACCATAAATTAGTTCTTGGTCCATGTCAAAAGGAGCCTACGCCGTTTCTATGGATCAAATATCAGTTTGGGGCCAAGTCACATGGTATTTTTTATGTGACGAGAGGTCCAACCAACTGTACAGATTCAAAATTTTCTTCAACTTCAGCTCTGAAATAATGTCAAAATATACTTTTTTTCTTTTGTTAGTTAGATCTACTTAACAATTTCCCCCCTATGTTACCTACTTAAGAATCTCTCCCCCCCCCCCTTATAATTTACTTGCTCATTTGCTAAGTTAATTTTACGTGCAACAGCTGTTGCCAATTAGAATTTTCTCGTTTCAGAGTTTGCTGCATTCTGATTGGCTGAAAATTCGACTAATTTGCTAGTAATTTGCAAGCTTAACCTACTTAACAATCCCCCCTTTGTAATAGGGGGGGGGGGATTGTTAAGTAGATCCTGTTAGTTTTCACCATTTTTATTTCAGAGTAGAAATCTACGTTGAAAAAGCATTCAGTATGTGCATGGATTGATGTCGAAAGCCGGTATCCTTTAAGCAGAATATTGCCCATATTTCTGCTCATATAAACTTTTTTGAAGATATGCTTGGGATGGTTTTTTCATTTGTCCCAATTTAGTCAAAGAAAATTATTGCTTTCAACAAGAATTTTCTTAACCGCGAGAAACTATATCGAATCTCTGAGTTCAAATAAGAAAAGCTGTTTTGCCTGTGATTAGTTTTGATGATGTTAGAAATTTGTGGATGATGGGTTTGAACCCAAGTTCGATTTCTAAATGAGTGATAATTTCTTAATTTGTTCAACCAAAATTATGCGAGACAAGTAAGAGGACAGTCGGAGCATTTCAAGTTTTACCTTAATAAGAACAGTTTTTGCTGCATATGCATATAAACCTGCGCCAAGATACAATTGATACTGAGGATATTAGTACGAGGTTATTTTAAGTACATCTGATTTTTGAAAAAAAGTACAAAACGTTTTGCGGATCAAGTTAACATCCCCCCCCCCCCCCCCCCAAAATAGACCAAGTTAAGATCCTCCACCCCAGCGCTGAATTTAAATTAAATTTGTTTAGCGCTGCATGTAAAATGCTCGATTCTGATTGGCTGAAAACTCCCAACTTAGAACCAAGTTAACATCCTCCCCTTAAACGTGTTTAGGGGGAAGGATGTTAACTTGGTCACGTTTTGCTTGATCTGTTTTTTTCTCCAGATATTTCAGCTAGCCGTTCTCAGCAAAACTTCAATACCATCTGAAGCAACAATGCCCTGAGCTGCTGATGCAAAAATTGTGTCACATTTGATCACATCTAAAAAACTTATTGAGATTTGAAATGGTAAATTTGGCCCATTTGTGATAAATGAACTATGTAATCAGCCAAAAGACGTCGCTACTATATTAAATTTCTGTAACAATTAAGTAAAAGTTTTGCAGGTCATGCTTGTTTCACTCGAATGAAGTTTTTTTGGCCTGTTTGGTAAACTTTTTGATATAATTTTTCTATTTGGTTCATATACTCAAATCGAATATGCCTGAGTTCCGTTCTTGTTTAGTTCTGTGCGTGCTCGATGCCATCTGCAGTGTCCAGTGTGAACATAGATGCGGCCACTGATACTTCTATCACAGTGGGATGGGTGGAGCCGAGTGACGAGTACGAGTTCGTGCGCATTGTCGTCAACAACCTCCACTCGAACATGACTGTGCTCTCGGATCAGTTCACGATTGGAGTCACCAATGCAGTCGATATTCCTGCTCTGCAGCCCAACACGCCATACAGCATCATCATTTCGTAAGCATTATCATCGTACAGCATCATCATTTTGTAAGCATTATCATCGTACAGCATCATCATTTCGTAAGCATTATCATCGATCGCACAGCATCATCATTTCGTAAGCATCATCATCGTACAACATCATCATTTCGTAAGCATCATCATCGTACAACATCATCATTTCGTAAGCATCATCATCGTACAACATCATCATTTCTTAAGCATTATCATCGTACAGCATCATCATTTCGTAAGCATCATCATCGTACAACATCATCATTTCGTAAGCATTATCGTCGTACAGCATCATCATTTTGTGAGCATCATCATCGTACAGCATCAACATTTTGGAAGCATCATCATCGTACAGCATCATCATTTCGTAAGCGCAATATCATTGTACAGCATCATCATTTCGTAAGCATTATCATTGTACAGCATCATCATTTCGTAAGCATTATCATTGTACAGCATCATCATTTCGTAAGCATCATTATCGTACGGCATCATCATTTCGTAAGCATTATCATTTTACAGCATCATCATTTCGTAAGCATTATCATTGTACAGCATCATCATTTCGTAAGCATCCTTATCGTACGGCATCATCATTTCGTAAGCATTATCATTTTAAAGCATCATCATTTCGTAAGCATTATCATCGATCGCACAGCATCATCATTTCGTAAGCATCATTATCGTACGGCATCATCATTTCGTAAGCATCATCATCGTACAACATCATCATTTCGTAAGCGCATTATCATTGTACAGCATCGTCATTTCGTAGGCATCATCATTGTACAGCATCATCATTTCGTAAGCATTATCATCGTACAGCATCATCATTTTGTAAACTCATTATCCATGTACAGCATCATCATTTCGTAGGCATCATCATCGTACAGCATCATCATTTCGTAAGCATTATCATTGTACAGCATCATCATTTCGTAAGCATTATCATCGTACAGCATCAACATTTTGAAAGCATCATCATCGTACAGCATCATCATTTCGTAAGCGCAATATCATTGTACAGCATCATCATCTCGTAAGCATTATCATTGTACAGCATCATCATTTCGTAAGCATTATCATCGTACAGCATCATCATTACGTAAGCGCATTATCATTGTACAGCATCATCATTTCGTAAGCAATATCATTGTACAGCATCATCATTTCGTAAGCATTATCATCGTACATCATCATCATTTCGCAAGCGCATTATTCTTGTACAGCATCATCATTTCGTAAGCGTATTATCATTGTACAGCATCATCATTTCGTAAGCATTATCATCGTACAGCATCATCATTTCGTTAGCATTATCATTGTACAGCATCATCATTTCGTAAGCGCATTTTCATTGTACAGCATCATCATTTCGTAAGCATTATCATTGTACAGCATCATCATTTCGTAAGCATTATCATTGTACACCATCATCATTTCGTAAGCATTATCATTGTACAACATCATCATTTCGTAAGCATTATCATCGTACAGCATCATCAGTTCGTAAGCGCATTAACATTGTACAGCATCATCATTTCGTAAGCACTATCATTGTACAGCATCATCATTTCGTAAGCATTATCATTGTACAGCATCATCATTTCGTTTAAGCATTATCATCGTACAGCATCAACATTTCGCAAGCATCATGATCGTACAGCATCATCATTTCGTAAGCGCAATATCATTATACAGCATCAACAATTCGTAAGCATTATCATCGTACAGCATCATCATTTCGTAAGCATTATCATTGTACAGCATCATCAATTCGTAAGCATTATCATCGTACAGCATCATTTTGTAAGCGCATTATCATTGTACATCATCATCATTCCGTAAGCATTATCATTGTACAGCATCAACATTTTGCAAGCATCGTCATCGTACTGCATCATCATTTCGTAAGCGCAATATCATTGTACATCCTCATCATTTCGTAAGCATTATCATCATACAGCATCATCATTTCGTAAGCTTAATATTGTACAGCATCATCATTTCGTAAGCATTATCATCGTACAGCATCATCATTTCGTAAGCGCATTATCATTGTACAGCATCATCATTTCGTAAGCATTATTATTGTACAGCATCAACAATTTGCAAGCATTGTCATCGTACAGCATCATCATTTCGTAAGCGCATTATCATTGTACAGCATCATCATTTCGTAAGAATTATCATTGTACAGCATCAACATTTTGCAAGCATTGTCATCGTACAGCATCATCTTTTTAAAAACGCATCATCATTGTACAGCATCATCATTTCGTAAGCATCATCATCATTTTGTAAGCGCAATATCATTGTACATCCTCATCATTTCGTAAGCATTATCATCGTACAGCATCATCATTTCGTAAGCTTAATATTGTACATAATCATCATTTCGTAAGCATTATCATCGTACAGCATCATCATTTCGTAAGCGCATTATCATTGTACAGCATCATCATTTCGTAAGCATTATCATTGTACAGCATCAACAATTTGCAAGCATCGTCATCGTACAGCATCATCGTTTCGTAAGCGCATTATCATTGTACAGCATCATCATTTCGTAAGATTTATCATTGTACAGCATCAACATTTTGCAAGCATTGTCATCGTACAGCATCATCTTTTTAAAAACGCATCATCATTGTACAGCATCATCATTTCGTAAGCATCATCATCATTTTGTAAGCGCAATTTCATCGTACAGCATCAACATTTTGCAGGCATCGTCATCGTACAGCATCATCATTTCGTAAGCGCAATATCATTGTACAGCATCATCATTTCGTAAGCATTATCATCGTACAGCATCATCAATTCGTAAGCGCAATATCCTTGTACAGCATCATCATTTCGTAAGAATTATCATCGTACAGCATCAACATTTTGCAGGCATCATCATCGTACAGCATCATCAATTCGTAAGCGCAATATCATTGTACAGCATCATCATTTCGTAAGCATTATCATCGTACAGCATCATCAATTCGTAAGCGCAATATCCTTGTACAGCATCATCATTTCGTAAGCATTATCATCGTACCGCATCAACATTTTGCAAGCATTGTCATCGTACAGCATCATCTTTTTGTAAACGCATCATCATTGTACAGCATCATCATTTCGTAAGCATTATCATCGTACAGCATCATCATTTCGTAAGCGCAATATCATTGTACAGCATCATCATTTCGTAAGAATTATCATCGTACAGCATCATCATTTCGTAAGCGCAATATCATTGTACAGCATCATCATTTCGTAAGCATTATCATCGTACAGCATCATCAATTCGTAAGCGCAATATCCTTGTACAGCATCATCATTTCGTAAGCATTATCATCGTACCGCATCAACATTTTGCAAGCATTGTCATCGTACAGCATCATCTTTTTGTAAACGCATCATCATTGTACAGCATCATCATTTCGTAAGCATTATCATCGTACAGCATCATCATTTCGTAAGCGCAATATCATTGTACAGCATCATCATTTCGTAAGAATTATCATCGTACAGCATCAAAATTTTGCAGGCATCGTCATTGTACAGCATCATCATTTCGTTAGCGCAATATCATTGTACAGCATCATCATTTCGTAAGCATTATCATCGTACAGCATCATCAATTCGTAAGCGCAATATCCTTGTACAGCATCATCATTTCGTAAGCATTATCATCGTACAGCATCAACATTTTGCAAGCATCGTCACCGTACAGCATCATCATTTTGTAAACGCATTATCATTGTACAGAATCATCATTTCGTAAGCATCATCATCGTACAGCATCATCATTTCGTAAGCGCAATACCATTGTACAGCATCATCATTTCGTAAGCATGATCATCGTACAGCATCATCATTTTGTAAACGCATTATCCATGTACAGCATCATCATTTCGTAGGCATCATCATCGTACAGCATCATCATCATTTTTCTAAGAACTTTTTTTCTCATAACGAGGCCATACTGTGCATTTTGTGCGTTGTAAACGGATTACTCAGCAGGCCAAAATCAGATTTGTCGCGGAACTCGCTACAATGTTACTTTTCTCTGATCATCATTGCGATTTTGAATTCCGCAAACAAATAGCTTAAACACTGCGCCGCTCAAAGGTGCTCCAAAAATAGCGCAAATGCGGATTCCGGAACAATATTTGCGGAAACCGGAATAATTTGTTAAGTCCACAAAAAAATAATCAAATATAGCTATAGTAAAGTTGAGTAGTTGCTGAATCCGCAACTGTAAGCGGAATCCGCAAATGTAAGCAAAATTTGCAAATTGTAAGAGGAATCCGCATTTTCTTGTGGATTCCAGTAACATAATTTTACGTCTTGAAACTAAATTTTTAAATTAAATCTACTTTCGTCGGTTATCATTAAGACTGTACAATAGTTCAATCTCATTTACTGCCAACAGTTCGAACTTAACGAGCTCATTCTCAAACATTGAAAGAATGAACCTCTTTCCAATCTCAAATACTGAAAGAATGAACACCTTTTCGATCTCAAGTAGTGAAAGAATGAGCATCTTTCCGATTTCAAATACTGAAAGACTGAACCTCTTTCCAATCTCAAATACTAAAACAATGAACACCTTTTCGAACCCAAATACTGAAAGAATGAGCATCTTTCCAATTTCAAATACTGAAAGAATGAACCGCTTTCCAATCTCAAATAGTGAAAAAATGAACACCTTTCCTGTCTCGAATACTGAAAGAATGAGCTTTTTTCCAACCTCAAATGCTGAAAGAACAAAAAAAAAAACTGAGAAGAACCACTTCATAGGTTATAGTGCCCTTATTTATTTTTTAAACGAAAGGAGTACCTCGACGATTTCAATTGAAAGTAAAGTTGGTTTAAAGGTGATATTTGGATTCCACTAACAATAGTTAAATCCTTGCTTTTAAAGTCTTAATTTAGCAGATAATATTTCTAGCAAAAGCTTTTAGTTTTTCACGCAAGGATTGTTCATTTCAGTATAGGAAACAAAACTACGATCCAGTTATAATTATGGAATTCGCTCCCAATGTAGGAGTCAGCTTAGATTTTGCGAAATCCGCTGATAGTTGCGGAATCCGAACAACCAGCTATATTCTTTTTTTTTGTGGAAATCGCTACAAAGCAAATGTGCCCACAAAATTTATGGTACACGCATTTTTACCCGTAATCCACGGAAATCGTGTAAGTAGAATCCACTCACATTTGAGAACACATTTAAAGTCTTGTCTCTGGAATCAAAAAATACACAGACAAAAACTTGTGCGCCTATCCAGTGCACAGTCTAGCCTCGTAAGATTTTTGAAATGAGAAGGACTAGGAAGGAACTTTGACCTAAGGTATGTTTTTTGTTTATTTTCCAACCAATTTTTCTATCTCAAGGAAAGCTCGAAACGGGTCCAGAAGAAGTCATATTACAGCCCGTTTCTCACAGTATATCTGAAAAAATTGGTAAGAAGCTGACTTCTTGATTTTAATTCTATTATTTTACTACAAATGCTCATCGTGCCAGCTGTTATGTCATTATTTTGCTATTTTTCAAGTGATTCAGTGTTTTTTTTTTCTAAAAAAAGACAGTCAGAAAAAAAGAAACATGCAACTAAATCGTAGATATCCATCATGGTAAATCGGATTTTGAGCTAAACGCTGTTTAGAGAACAAAAAATGGTTAATATAAATCAGATTTTGAGCTCAAAAATTTTCTATAAAATCGAATAAAAGAATCATTCTAAGCCCAATTCCGAGCAAGTTGCTATATAACAAATCAAGAAATTAGTCGATATAAATCAAATGACAACCTAAGTCAATCCAAACTGGATCGAAGTTTGAACTAATTGGTTTTTTTTATTATACTACCAGACGCTATGGATGTAAATTTAAAAAGGAATAGCAACGAATAAGTGTAACAAAAACTCAAATTGATGAAATCAAAAAGTTCGCAAAAAAATTGATTTGAATCATCTTAAATTTGTTTTAATCCCTTGAAAAAAAAACTAAATAAACTTACAACTGAACAGCATTGAGTTGAATTGATTTAAAATCAATTTGGGTTGATTTTTTTTAGCTGGGACTAAAGATCAATTTAAATCGACTTTAAATTGATCCAAATCAAACTTCAATTTTTCTATTCAGTCTTCATAGTTTTTCCATGCTTAAATCGATCTCAATTTAATCTACATTTTTGTTTCACGCTAAAATTAGTTGTAAATCATTTTTTTTTCAGTGCGTGTAGGAATTCATTTAAGCCCACAAATTGATAGGTTTCAAACGCACTATTCTCTCCGTCAATCTTATGGCTTTAAGTTGTTGGTTATTATTTTGTTCAGCCAGCACAGCCAGCGTCTGAAGAAAACTTTCGTAAGTGCAATGAAAAAAAGCCATTTCAACGCTTTTAAGAAAAACAGGCAGATAAACGATTAAATTAATCTCATTTAGAACTCCATCTCTTTTGATTTAAGTCGCGCAGGTCGCGGTGGTTTTTTTCAGTCGCGCTGGTCTTCAATTGCCAAGTTTCGGTCGCGCCGGTCTGGAATTGCCAATATAAAGTCGCGCCGGTCTGGAATTGCCAAATTTGAGTCGCGCCGGTCTTTTCTTAAGTCGCGGACCTCGACCCGGGTTGATAACTACAATTGAACTAAATTATTCATCTGAAATTGAATGAATGTGTTTAGAAACGAGGTCTACTGCAATTCTAAGAACTACACTTACAAACTGATATCGTCGGAGCCGAAGTCAATTGCAGCCTACACCAACGCACAGAGACCTGTGCTGTCTCTCTACACAAACCCCCTTCAACCCCCTGCCGTGTCTGTCAACTTCTTTCTGCCTCTGGGGACGGAGGGCTACTCATTCCAGCTGGAGCGAAACGGAATCGATATTCCATCCATCACAAATCCGTTCAATGATGTGAATTTGGAACCAGCCACTGAGTACACATACAAAGGTAACTAAATGCGGAGCAATAATTAAGTGGCCCTTAATTTAGTTTCTATACCTTGTGGTCTGAAGAAACTTTTTCCATTCTAGTAATACTCCCGAAAATTGAATGTAGATCTGAATCAAGTAATCAACAGTAGTTGGTTATGAACTAACGGGTTATTTATATAATTTGTTAACACTTAATGTTAATGTTCAACAGTTTTTTGAATATTGCACTATGATCTTTTGATCGGTACTTTTTACATGCTTTAGGATAATTTTCATCGTCTTGCAGCTAGCTAAAACAGCTCTAAACAATAAAAGTTTAACATATCGCCCAAAATTTCAAAGTGATTTGCGCTCTGACTTTTAAGGCATTGATGAAGTGGTTTTAAATCCATTTTTGCCGCATTTTGAAAACCGTTGTTTTCTTCTAGTTCTATCTGAATAGCTTAAGAAGAGAATGAATTGAATGCAGCTGTCTTGTTCCATTTTGTCGACTTATTTTAGAGATTTTTTCGGCATAGGGTGGGTTGTTTTTGCGCGACGATTATGAGTTCCTCGAGGAAAGAATGACTACCTCGAAGAAAAATCATAAGGAATCAACTAACAGCCAATTAATATATTGATGAGAATGTTTCGAACTACTTGCACAAAAGCCAATTGCTCATATTAGAAACACTCAATTGGTGGTTCATTTAATTTTAAATCTGTGCAAAAACTTGGAAGCACTTGACTTCCACTGAATTTTTTGTGTGTTTGCTTGTAGGACACTTAGTTGGCCACAGTGGGTCGGAGAGTCCTGTGAGTCAGGAGGTGGTTATCTGCACCCATCCTGACAAAGTGGTCAACCTGAGACAGACAGGAGCCACCACCACCACAGTCACAGTCGCTTGGGACGCTTCTGCATACCAACCCAGTGGTCAGTCCAAACTATAAGTGACCATTTTTTTAAAATCTGATAAAATTTAGTGACATTCAGTGATTTTTATTTTAAGAAGCGTTTAATGTACAAATGGCGAATAAATCGGTTAAATTTGTTGTCGGTAAGAAACTGTTTTTAGTCAACAGTCAGCCGATTTTATGCACGCAAACAAAATGGCTCTTCAAGTTTTTGAACTGAATAAATATTTTCTAAAATTGAGAAGCGTATATAAATTGGGTGCATGTTTAATGCCTAAAATGTGACCTAGGTTTATTTGAGAGAGTTCCTGTGGATGAGTTTCTGTTTTTTTAATTAACAGGTTACTACGCAATGCTGCACAATCTGACCGATGATTTCGTGACTGGAGTCGACGCCTCTGCCACCGCAAGCAGACTCAGTTGGATGTCCTCGACGTCCTCTCTTTCTGCCCGAATAGGCGTGAACACCTTCACGGCCACGCTGAATTCATTCGACGGAGCAGCTATGAATCCGGCACAACATTTTGTAGTGGGACTGTTGTCTTGTTTGGACTGCACCGAGACGGACTCGGCCGCACTTGTCGCGGATGACTCACTGGTCGCTTCGGGTCAGACTTTGGGTACGATTAGGCTGATTTTTGTTTTTATGTTGTATGACTACGTTTCTGCTCAACCTTTTACTCATACACTACTCATTTCTCTGAATTTGATGAACCAATTCAATAAGATTAGAAAAACGGATTCTTAAATTGCTGCATCAACATTTTTGAGACGCAGTAGCACTTTTGAAAACCTGTTGTTCTTATGATGTTTCAAGATAATTCAAAATTCATTAAAAAAGGTTACCGATATCAAATTTATAGGGAGTTTTTGTGAAGAAAATGCTTACAACTACCTATTTCAGCCCATGAATTATGCAGCAACTTCGCGACAATCACCGTCTATACGAAACCAGAAACACCTGCATGCATCGCGCATACAATTGGCACGAATGAGATTCAACTCAACGCCACTCTGAATGATCTAGATTTGAACCCTGCTACAATTTACTTCAAACGAAGTGGTATTGGAGGCTACATTGTCTCGGACTTGACCTTGAGTGACCTCCCGTATTCGGACACTCGTACTTTGGTTCCTGGCAGAGAGTACACGTACACTGTGACCAGCCAGATTGGAGGATTTGAGAGTGCCAGTTCAACTTGTGCTCAGTGCACGAAGCCTAATCCGCCCGAGAACTTCGACGGGTCTTTCCAGGATGACCAGGCCGTTAGAGTTACTTGGGATGCCTCAGGCATCAACGGAGACTTCGACTGTGAGTCTATCATCATAATGTATAATGAGTTTGAAATTTTGTTTCCCAAGACCTACGAATAGTTGCCTACGAATCGCGAGTTTTTGAACCCAATTTAATGAAAAATTAGCTTTACCTTTACCCATACCAACTTTCTTGGCCTTGCCAGAAAAATTGAGCTTAAGCTCTGCTATGTTTCTATTTGTTACTCAACATAGTTGAATTTGTTTCAATAATCGGCTACAGGTAATTTTTTTTAACGACTAGGAATTTTTGTGTTCAGAAATTTTGTAGTTCATCATGTTTTTTCAAGTGTATATTTTGTTATAAGCCATGTTGACATTGCAGTATTTTAATATTCGAATTTTTGGGCAGCATTTTGAGACCTTTCAGGGTCCATTTGCTGCCCTCTTGGAGTTGAAATGAGGGTTCTCGAGAGGGGGCAGATTTTCAAAAATTTTCAGGAAATCTGTCGTTCGTTTTTTTGTCGAGCTCTCCCAAATCATTAAAAAATTTTGTCGAGCTCTCCCAAAGCATTGAAAAAATTTGCTTCGGCTGAATGTTTTGCAACGCAGGCAAAATTTTGAAAAAATTGGCCAAAAAAGGCGTTTTTAAGCACTTTTCGGAAAACTTTGACCAAAAATTCTCATTTTATTGGCGCGCGCTCGCCCTCAAAATTAGTATATAATGGCGCCAAAAATTGATATCTCAAAAAAGTACGATGAGGGGACCCGTTGGGTCGGCAGGGGGTCGAATCCATGAGCGTATTTTACTTTTGATCATTTTTAGGAAAATTACAGTGTTTTGAAAATTTACAAATACAAATGCCAAAATCTAATGCAAGCTATTTCCCAAGTGTCAATTAATGCGTAGCGTCGACGTTGATAGAATTCGACTCACACATCCCCCGGGTTGATCAAAGATACTAATCATACAATTTTCAGATATGGAAAAATCCTTATTATACAGTTTTCATGCAAATCCAAAAGTACAGAATTTTGCTTGAAAGGTTTCCTTCTGATTAAGGAGTTTTCATTTATTGAAATTGCATGATTTGCGTTTTTCTACTGACCAAAACATATTTTTGTTTTTGGTCAGTGGAAAAGCGACAAACACCTTGATTACACAAAGCTAGGTTCACCAAAGGATTAACAATCTTGCTTGTACAATGCTTTGGAAACGACGAGAGTTTAGATGTCGCACACGGGCAGTATTATGAAAATAGCAAATTTGTTAGTTTTTCCGAACATCATCAAAGGTTCTAATTTGTTGAGCTTAAAACTTTTACCAATCATACATTGGCCAAGATATTCAAAATATACAAATAAGTAGGCTTTTTGAGCGTTTTACAAAAAAAATATCTAAAAAACGGAAAATTTAATCCAAATTCTGTGTATCCAGTTATGCACACGAAATTTAAATTGTGCCTGCTAATTTTGTTTTGCAATTGAAAAAATGCAACACATTTGTAAAAGTAATTCCAAACTATTTTTTAAAAATTTTGGCGCCGCTATCAAAAAATTGCTAGTCATACAATTATAATTTTATGGATAAGGTAGGATTAGCATTTTTTGCTGAAAAATTTTTTTTTGTTCCGACCTCTCAAAGTGGGAGGAAATTAAAATTCGGTTGTATTCCTTTTTTGTTTTCTACTAAAAATCAGGTACCTAAAATTATCATCGGAATGCGTTGAGTGATATATCATTTTAAAGCCTTTTCTGTCGTGATTCAAACGAAATTTTAAAATTCTAAAACATTTTTCCCAGTGTCGAGAAAAACTGGTTTGATTTTTTTTATATTTTTTGATTTTTTCAGGCGAATATAGCGAGCGAGCAGGCTTATAATTGTTAGTTTTGAATTTTAAAGCTAATTTTTTAGTTTTACACAAGTGAATTTGTTAACAAGAACCTTTTTAGCGCTTTCTTGCAAATAAAAGCTTAAAAACAAATTAAAAGTCTTTCATTAAGATTTTTTTACCAGTCCAGAAACAAAAGTCAACGCAATTTGAAAAAAAAATGTGTTTTTTTTTAATTTGGCTGGAACATTCTGTGCTACTTGCACAGCAACCTGCTATCCTCGTTTATTTATGGTGATACACCGAACTTTATGCTAAAACAAGAATAAAGTTCTGTTAAATTTCGGTGTTACTATTTTCGCAAAACCGCATGAAATTTGTTTCATTAGGACTTTTTCGTAGATTCAAGTTCTGGAGTTGCATGATTGGCAAATTTTGTCGATGGAGGTCAACCCGGGCCATTTCCTCCCACCGCCGACACAAGTAGATTTTGTGGGTGAACCATGACTTTTACAATGTTGATGATGAAGATCTAATAAGTTTGGAATTCCCTAATTACCATGAATGCCAATTTTCAAAATAATTGGGAAGTGCTATTGTAAGTTTGACTAGATAAGAACGAATTTAAGCAGGGGCACAACAGCGGTTCGCCGTGATGGGCTGTACAGCTCGTATGTTGGTCCTATCCCTCGTGGATAAATGATCTTAAATTTTAAATGGAATTGAGGCAAGATATTTTGGCTCATTGGTGCGTTAGTAGACGTAAAGATAAACATATCATATAGCGTGTGATTTTTTTTGCATTTCTTGATTATTTTTTGCTTCGAACACTGTTTCATTGAGGTTAAAAAGCGGTCAATAGGGAGGATGTTCACTTAGTTCTGAATATGAGTTCGAATTTTCAACAAGCAGAATGGAGCATTTTACTTGCAGTTCTTAGCAAATTTAATCTAAATTGAAAACTGGGGTGAATGATCTTAACTTGTTCTATCCGGGGGTGGGGGAGGGGGGATATGTTAACTTGTTTCTTACAATCTTTATTTCGAACTCAGGGAATAATAATTTAATGTGCCATCTTATAAAGCAGTGTGAATTATTTCAGCTTTCGAAGTGTCCAAGGAGGACGAGGCTTTTACAGCCGTCACGCCCACCACTCAACTGTTCTATGATTGGACTGGACTCAACCCCTCCACCTGCTACAAGTTCCATGTGCGCACTAAAGTAGACTGTGTCGCCAACTCCAACACACCCGTCTACTCTGATACACTCACCATACGCAAGTGCACTCGACCCTCCCAGTGTCAACTCACTAAGGTAATCTGCCACCCAGAGTATCGCAGTACTTGAAGGGTAACATTTGCAACTCAATGGATAGGACTCCATTAAAAAATATTTTTTATTCACTCTAACCAAACTAACTCAACTTTTTGAAGTGTTAATTGTTCAAAATTTTGAGGGAGACGGTGGCCTATGAGAAAAAAGGTTCTTAAAAAAAGATGATTTGTTGATCGTAATCAATAACAGTGGACGAATCATACTATTACTATTTATAAGGCTTGATCCCGTCATCTGCAGGTTCTATGTTACAAGTCCACTGCCCGTTTCTTGGGGCCGACCAATTTGATTTACTTAAGTCTCCTTGAAAAATAAATAGATCTGCTGTTCGCCAAAAAATCAAGATGTCAAAAATTGATTTTTTAATGAAAAATGATAAACACCTTGTTAGCTTTCTTAACTCTACAAGTGTAAAAAAGCAGGTAAAATTTTGCGTGCTTAGCTACTTTTAATCAATGGTTCTTCTGCTTCAATTAGGACTTTTTTAAACCGACCAGATTGATTTTCCTAGCACGGTCAAAATGTCGTTTTTGGGCATTTTTGGAAAATTTTGACCAAAAAATTGCTTCCCTTCAAAAGTATCATAAATTAGCACCAAAGGCGCCTTAAGAAAAATTTTAGTGTTGGTCGACCAAAAAGGAATGTCATAAAACTACCAAATAGGGAACTATTTGGTTGGTGCGTGGGCCGAATCTCTGAGGGGGGATGCGGCAATTGAGGTGGATCTCCTCACTAAATCCGCGCCTGGTTTCAATGATTCCTTGGGCTTTTTAGGTATCGCCTGTTGACCTCTCGGAGGGTGGATACTCGCGTAAACTGGAGCTGAACTTCACTGTGAACTATGAGCACTCCTACAAGATCTTCAAGTCGGGTGAGGCTGAGACACTCTACGAAGAGATCGCCCAGGTGCAAGATGACTCAGGTGTATATCTGGACACAAATGTTCTATCCGGAGTGGGCTACTGCTACAAGTGCACTGCCATTGCCAATGGTAAGAACCTTCTTTCAAACGGTTTTTGATGAGTGTGAAAAAGTAGTAATAATTGAGGTTTCTTCGATTCGCAGAGGTTATATGAAATGCCAGCAGGCCTGTCGAAGCATAGTCTGTCTCTTTAAAATAGTCAAAGCACCCTCAAAAAAAGTTAAGGAAATTTACCTTGAAAAATTCCCTAAAACACCTTAACAATTAAGGCAAATTTGCACTACCTTAAGTACGCCTTAGCTTACCTTAAAACACCTTAAAAATTAAGGCAAATTTGCACTACCTTAAGTACGCCTTAACTTACCTTAAAACACCTTAAAAATTTACCTTAACAAATACCTTAAAAATTTTTATCGGTAAATTTACCTTAAAAATTTACCTTACAAAATTAGGTAATTAACCTATATTTACCTTAACATTAAAAACACAAAAAGTAAGGTAAAAACCTTAATTCTCTTCATTTTTAAGGATTTTTGTATATACCTATATACATAGAAACCTTTGTTCCTTAAATGATTGAATTGAAATTTTGACCGGTTGACTACGAAATCCAATGTTTATCTTAAATTCCCTCATTCCTAATTAGTTAAATTCATTCCTAAATTTTTAAGTTAAAGTTAAGGTTAAGTTAAGGTAAGTTACCGATATTCAGTTAGGGTAAATTTTACTTTAATAATTTTTTAAGGTAAAGTTAAGGTAATGTTAAGGTAAATTTTACCTTATTTTTTTTAAACTTAACTTATTTAGGGTAATTTTACCTTAACAATTTTTTGAGTGCATGAACAGACCAGAACTGGGCGTTATTACATTAGTGCATGGGGCCTCTTTTCTAATATACTTCCATTAGGTGTACTTTTTTCGTTAACTTAGCTAACTAGCTTGTTCGAATTGGATATTTTGTAATTCTATTGCGTTGATGCGCAAAAATTTTGAATGTTTGTGCTCGGATGCTCTTTATCACGAAAAATTTCTACTTTTAAGCAAGCAGGTTAGTTATACAAGTTTAACTAAGGTAGGGCTATTTTAGTAGAGCTCACCGTCAAAACCCCTGCTTGAAAATCCTGTAAAGTTGTGTTGATAATATCCCTGAGATTCTCAAACAAATCATAATCACTTCAAACTTCATTTAATCAGGAATTGAGAGCATCAGATCAACCAGTATCTGTTCGTGCAGTCTGCCAGCTGCTCCCGCCGATTTGACCTTCAATGCTCTCTCAGACAGTTCCATAGAGCTGGCCTGGGCGTTCCCAGACAGCAACGGACGGTACACCGACTTCGAAATCACACACGATCTACACACTACTACTGCCAGTTGGTTTTTGTCTCATTTTAATTTTTTTTGAGGCAAAATCTCATTTTTATTTTTTAAAGGCGAAATTGTAGCTCATGGAAGCTTCATAGAGCCTCGACGTAGATTTCAACATTTCTAAACTTTGGAGCTAAGCTTAATTGGCGTACCATTTTTAGGTCGACCAAATTGATTTTCAGAGTTCTCCCAAAGAATTAAAATTTTTGAAAAAACAGGCCAAAAAGGCATTTTTAGGCACTTTTTGGAAAATTTTGACCAAAAAATTGCATTTTTTCGGCGCGCGATCCCCCTCAAAAATTAGTATTTATTGGCGCCAAAGGCGCCTTTAGAAAAATTTCAGGGTCATCGCCAAAACTATATATCTCAAAATAGTACAAAGGGGGACCGGGCGTACATGTGTTTTTTAAAATAAATACCAAGTTTGCACTTTTTGCAGGAAAATCAGAAAACAATATCGGAGTCGTTCGCAAAATTCATTATTTCCTTCTGCCGATTTTTCAGTGACGAGCAATACGTTCACTTACACCTGGAACACGAATCTTCTACCTGGATCCGCCTACAAGTTTTACATCCGAACCCATTTGGACTGTACAGCCGCCAGTCCAGATATCGACCTCTACTCGCGATGGTCTATGGTGCAGGCCTACACGGAACCGTCGACACCTCTGTTGTATCCGAATGTGTCGGACACGAATACGATCACCCTGCAAGTGGCCAATGCCTCCAGCTATGATTTGATAAGGTGCGCAAATTTCATATACAACAGCCACAAATCATCTGTTATTCTCAGACTCCAGTGTCAATTAGAATTTGTAGAGTAAATTCTACAAGCAAATCGCAAAGATGTGATTAATTGATACTAAAAATTAGCGGTATTTCAGGTGTCAATATTCCTAAATACATAGAAACTCTGTCCTTTTATGCCATTCAGATCTTCAAAATAATTTAGAAAAGGGAATCGGAAAAGAACCGACTCCTGTTAGGACTAGAAAAAGAACGTTTCGACTGCTAATTTCACCATATGAACTTTTTTTATGACGAGAGTACAAACGCAGTCAACTTTTACACAGTCCCAAATAATGATAATTTTCAATCATCTTCAGATTCAGTTTTCTGTTTGAAGGCAGAGCAGCAAATAAAAAAGAAAACCTGTAAAGCAACTTGAACTGAAGTTTTTTTTTTTAATTTAATACCATTTTGTGCTTTGTTTCGTCATTTGAAAATGTTTTTTTTTGTGCGAAGTGTTATCAGTCGTGCAACTTGAGTTTAAATGACCTCTTTTGTCTTCAGGCTATTCCAAAATGGCCTTGAACTTCTGCCGGTGCCCGCATCCTGGCCCCATCGGGTCACCAATTTGACCCCTGGAACCTCCTACGCTTTCTACGCAGTGGTGCAGATCAACGGTCTCTCGGCTCAGAGCAATGAAGTCACCTTCTGCACGACTCCGGAAGTGCCGACTGCCGTGCACACGACTACCAGGCATTTCTACGGGTTCGAAGTGATCTGGAATGCACCGTCTGCGGGAGACTTTAGCGGGTCGGTTCTGAAATTATTTAGATGAATATTTTCCTTGCTGCCACTTGTATAATTTAGTGCTAATTGATCGAATGCTTGAAGTTTTAGCGACTAGACATTAGGGCAATTATATCAGATTTTTTGTCACATCGCCCAAAGTTCTGCGTATGACTAATCCGTAACTGTAATTTGAAAACTTTTGTTTGCAGGTACGAAGTATGGACGAATGCCAATGTGTCATCCCAATGGTAATTGTAGACTTCGAAAATTTGCTCAAAAGGTAAATTCGGTTATGTACAATTTCAATTTAATGCTCATTTGTTACTTCAGGTTCAACGTAACCCCTATAATGTCAGGCGGATCCATGAGCACAAATCTGAAATTCTACAATTTTGACGTCGATAAAGACTTCTCTTTCGTAAGTTATCCTCAATTTTACGAGAAAGAAGGAAAGAAAGAAATTTATTTCTCCAAATTATTTCAAAAATAAGAAATTTTGACAAAATAACAGTAAATAAAACAATAGCACCACATTTTATGAAAAAAGTTTCGGAGGGGACAGACAACGGAACTTTTGTCCACTTTACAGTCTGTGCTATGATACTTTATTATGTATACTTTCAACATTTCGTAAGAGAGAATAAATTAGGTTTATTCATATTTTTTTTGCCTCAGAAAAAAATACTCAATAAAACCGACATTTGATAGGAGCACAGCCAAGCAAATTTATATTGAGCTCTCAGCGCCTAAATGGAGTGAACCCGAGTTGAAGTGAAAGTCAGCAGTGATTGAATAAATAACCAGCAAATGATATTTTTTTCTAAAAACACCAAAATGGAGTGTTTTTTTTTGTTTTCCCATTTTTTGTTGATTCAGACAGAAAATCTCTATGAGAAATTTAGGTGAGGAGACTTTTCTGCACAATCGCGATTTGTAGCTGTCAAAGGAATGGTAGCTCAAATTCAAAGTTAAAGGGAAAAGAAAAAACATCAATTTACTCTTACGCGGAATTGAATAACTTAGTTTCAAACGCAGTTTCAAACGCGTTTTGCTGTTTTGACACCATTGTTGATTCCGAGAAATGCATGGGTTCATTGTTAATTAAAAATTAATTTCAAAGATAACAAGACTGCTCGTATCAGGGCAAAGCCCTCAATGTTCCGACTGCCTTTTATGGTCTATGAAGCAGTAATAACTTGAAAAAACTTAATGTAAAAAAATAAATAAATTAAATTTTTTTTTAATTTGAGATTTTTTGTGAAAATTATCCCCCCAAACGCCATATAAAGTACAAAATGATAAATTTCGCTTCTAGTAACGAATCCATTATGGCAAATAAGCTTCCTTCAACCAATTTGGAACGATTTCTAAGACGGATTAAATCTCCGCTTACTCTTTAATAGCGCGAAATATATCGCGCGTTAATTGTCCCAAATTGGCCAAATTGCCAATCTTTAAACCCCCATAACTTTATGAAAAATGATCACAGGTGAAATATTTTTTCAAATTTGAGCTCAGGACAACAATACCTTTTGAATGATAAAAAAAAATTTTGTCAAAAATGGTTAGTTAAAAAGTCGAAATTTGTCTGAAGAAAAAAAAAACCCACCCCGAGCACAAATATTCCGTTACTTTCGTATCGAAAGTCGGGACAAAAATATTCGAGTTAGTTCTTTGTGCTGCTATATGCAACTGTTTTTTTCAGCGGGATAGTATTCGTCATAACTGGTTCTTCAGTTATGAAATTCAAGTCGTCAGGTTGAACCCAATTCACCTGAAAAGTTTATAAGTGTGAGCACTTCACAATTTTTAAGAAGGTTATTGTTCTGACTTTCGATACGAAAGTAACGGAATATTTGTGCTAGGGGTGGGTTTTTTTTCAGACAAACTTCGATTTTTTAACTAGCCATTTTTGATGGAATTTTTTTATATCATTCGAAAACCATTGTTGTCCTGAGCTTGAATTTGAAAAGATATTTCACCTGTGATTATTTTTCGTAAAGTTATGTGGGTTAAAAGATTGCCATTTTGACCAATTTGGGACAATTAACGCGCGATATAGTTCGCGCTATTAACGCGTAAGCGGAGATTTAACCGTCTTAGAAATCGTTCCAATTTGGTTGAAAGAAGCTTATTTGCCCTAATTGATTTGTTACTAGAAGCGAAACTTATTGTTTTTCATAGAAAAAATTTCAAAGTTTACAAAATAAAAATGTTTGTTTTCTTTTATTGTTCCGACTTTCGATACGAAAGTAACGGAATATTTGTGCTCGGGGTGGGTTTTTTTTTCTTCAGACAAATTTCGACTTTTTATCTAGCCATTTTTGACAGAATTTTTTTATATCATTCGAAAGGTATTGTTGTCCTGAGCTCAAATTTGAAAAGATATTTCACCTGTGATCATTTTTCGTAAAGTTATGGGGGTTTAAAGATTGCCATTTTGGCTAATTTGGGACAATTAACGCGCGATATATTTCGCGCTATTAACGCGTAAGAGGAGAGTTAATCCGTCTTAGAAATCGTTCCAAATTGGTTTACCGAAGCTTATTTGCCATAATTGATTTGTTACAAGTAGCGAAATTTATCCTTTTGTATTTTATATGGCGTGTGGGGGGATGGTTTTCATAAAAATTTTCAAATTTTAGAAAAAAAAAATTTCATTTTGTTTTATTACTTTTAATTTTCTAATGTTATTACTGCTCCATAAACCTTAATAGGCAGTCGGAACATTCAGGGCTTCGCCCTGATACGAGCAGTCTTGTTTCATTTAATGTTTTTATTTTGTTTATGTTATTACTGCTCCATAAACCTTTAAAGGCAGTGGGAACATTCAGGGCTTCGCCCTGATACGAGCAGTCTTGTTCAACTTTGCTTTTACAAAAAGGAACTTCCAATCCAACATTCTGTTTGAATAACGCCTAATGATCCGCGCAGAATTAATAGTACGCCTAATGGTCCGCGCATTAATGATCCTAGCAGAAAAAAAATTATCGTTCAAAGCCAAGTCTGACTGAAGCCGATTGTTTGAGTGCAATACAAACTTTAATAGCTCATAGACATGTAGTTCGTATATAGTTGGAAAACCGTTTACACGATTTTGTTTCCTTTCCTCAGTGATTTGACCACGTGTCGACTTAAATATTTGCCCCTTTGTACTATTTTGAGATATCCATTTTTGGCAGATTGACCTTAAAAATTTTCTGAAAGCCTATTTGGCGCCAATATATACTAATTTTGAGATTTTAGTCAAATATACGCTTTTTTTGGTCGAATTTTTTCAAAAAGTGCTTAAAACCGCCTTTTTGACATGTTTCTTAAATATTTCGCCTGCAGCGCAGAAAGTTTGGTCGAAGTTAGCTCTTTATGAGGATTTCGGAGAGCTCAGAAACTCAATTTGGTCGACCTAAAAGAAAAAAAGTACCTCGAGAAAATCCCCCTTGAGAAAATCCTAGATCCGCGCCTGTGAAAAATAAATGTTTTTCAAAATAAATTGCCAGTAAATAAATATAGAGCAACTAGATGCAATTTACAGTTTAGACCAAGTGAAATTTGTTTTTTTTTTCTCATCAGACCCCGGGTTCGGGAGACAACGCGCCAGGCATCGCTCCCCCCTTCATCCAACTGAGTGGTATCGAGTCAGGTGGAAGTTACAATGTGAAAGTGCATGCTTACAAGTCGTGCATGGTCACAGCACCCGATGGATCCACGTCTAATGAAATGTTTTACAGTGAAGATGTGTCAACTGAAGCTTATGTTGGTAAGTGCTTGAACCTTCAAATTGATTCTTATTCTTAGTCAAAAATCAGTAGCTGACCAGCTGACTAAACAGAACAATTAGATCCAAGAAAAATGGGAGATTTTCACAAATTTGCATGAGGAAATGTAAAAGTTTGAACTAGAAACTTTCTGTGTTTCTGAATCGATTTAGCTTGTTTCTATTTTGTAGCTCTTCCTGTAGCTCTTACAAAAAACTTTAGAAACAGCTTTTTTTCTTGCTTGTCTTCAGTGTGGAACAAATCTGGCACGTTTCGCGCCTTCGTCATTTCGTCCCAAATTTATTACTGGTCTTTGTGTAAAAGATATGAGGGGCAAAATTTGCTCCTAAATTAAGAGGGGCGAAATGTGTGAAGACTGTCACGAACGACTCTTCATGAATGAGTTCAATGAGTAAGGTAGCTTGATGATCAAATTTTAAAACAAAAGAATGTTTTTTTATCTTCAGGTGCTCATCCAGTGGTGAAGATAGACGCCCAGTCCATATCCCAGACGGAGATCCAGCTGAGTTTCGATGACCTGTCCAGTCAAGTGGAGGCAGGCACTACATTCACTATCTACCGCTACAATGGACAGAACATGTTGGATGCCACATTCAATCACGTGACCCTTGATGACCTGCCAATGAGAGATGAAGGTTACCACAAATAACTAACCGACTCTGCACTCTTGAAATTGTTCTCATATGTTTTATTGCGCGATATGTTTCATAATTGCGCGAATTTTACTCTCTTGGTTCTTTTGTACGAGAATTAAATTGAGACGGTTTATTCACAAGAGAACGGACCAATACGCGAGCTGCTTAGCTCATCACGGAGAAACGCTGTTGTGCCCTGCTTCTGGGCTAATAATGTTGCCTCAGTATGCAGCCCAGAACCCTCAAGCAACGAGTAGGGACCATGGTTGGCCTCGAACATCCGACCTTTCGATTGAGAGATTTAGATATAACCACGTGTGACCTCGAGAAATTATTAAGAGTCAACTAACATTCCAAACAAACAAAAGGAAAACAATTGCAAGAAGAATTTGTTTGTTTTTCATCAAAATTTTCTATCTTGAAGGCTATGCTCGTGGAAAAGTTTTAAAATGGCAAATTTATTTACTTTCAAGGTTGCAGGCTTAAAATTTCTAAATTAAATGTTGATTTGAATCGGCTTGTTTTCAGGTCTCGACCCGGCCAGTTTCTATTATTATACAATCAGTGTGCACCTACACAATGTCACAACTGACGATGACAGCAGAAATGCTCTGATCGAGGACTACTTGAACGCCACCCAGTCTCTGAGCACGTTTCATCTGGACTACCCAGCTGGTCCAGAGGTCTCCGCTGACAAGTCCATCAGTTTCTACTACTACAAGGAGAGATCTGCGTGCACTTGTGAGAGAAGCTCATTTTGTTTCTTTTTCAAGATAAGAAAGACCAGAACTTACTGAAAAAAAACTCTAGAATTCTAGAAAAGATGAATCACTCTTAGAAAAGCCTAAAAAAATTTTAGAAAACTAAAATACTTGCTATAAATTTCTGAAGTATTTCTGAAGTATTTTTAGAAGTATTCTGAAGAGTTTTCTGAAATATTTTTAGGCTTTTCTAAGAGTGATTCATCTTTTCTAGACTTCTAGTTCTAGTCGAGTTTTTTTCAGTAAGTTCTGGTCTTTCTTATCAATTTTTTTCTTTAAAACTATTATAGCCTATAATAGTTTTATAGAAAAAAATTGTTGCTACCAGAGATAATTACGTAAATCAAGTCATTAAATAAGCATAAATGCTTGTGTTTTAATTATAGATTTGGTTTTAAAAGCCTTTTTATTAGGCCAGGGGCGGATTTTAGGATTTTCTCTAGGGGGGGGGGTGGATTTTCAAAAACTTTTCGTTTTTCGAAAGTTTGTCGACGAACTTTTTTTTAGGTCGACCAAATTGGTTATCCGAGCTCTCTCAAAGCACTTAAAAGCCCCTGTTTCGGCCAAAGTTTCTGTGCCGCAACCAAAATGTTGAAAAAAAAAGAAACAGGTCAAAAAGGAGTCTTTAGGCACTTTTTGGAAAATTGTTACCAAAAAATTGCGTTTTTTCGGCGCACGCTCCCCCCTTTAAATAAGTATATATTGGTGCCGAAGGCGCCTTTAGAAAAATTTTAGGGTCCGTCAGCCAACATTGGATATCTGAAAATAGTTCAAAGGGGGGTACCTTTGGGTCGTTAAGGGGTCGAATCCCTGAGGGGGGAGGAGGGCGTCCGCACCCCCGCCCCCACCCCTAAATCCGCCCCTGTTCATAAGTTCTGTTCAACATGTAGCTAGAAATCCGCCTCTTGATTAGTCACCATTGATATCTCTTGTTCCAGATCCTCCGAATCCGTCTCAGATGTCCTCGGTTGATCTGGAAGTGGACGAGTTTTCCATCAGCTGGACAGTGGATAGTATGGCTCACATAGTGACAGAGTGTGCACCCTGGAACAACTCGGTGGGTATCTTTGGAACCCCCGCTTGTGTCAATGTCTCCCAGATGATTTACTTGGACGGAGAGTATCACGACATATTGCGAGATGTTAGTCAAAGAAGTTGCTTATTTGCTCCGAATTTCGTGAGATGACAAAAGATACCTATGATGATCTAAAGTTTCATGCCATAAGATCCCACGTGATCAAAGAAGTTACTTAAAATGTAATATTCACTATTCGATAATTCGCTGAAAGGATTGATAGTCAGCTAAGGTTACCTTATCGCTTTCTGTCAGCTAGAAGTTAAGTGAGCGCTTTTTCAATTTTAACCAGCTGAGAACAATACATGGAGCAGAAACAAAAGATTTGAAAAAAATATGGTACAGAAATTTAAATGGTGGTACTCTACAATAATATACCGCAAAACTTAACAAACCAGAGAAAAATGTTTTCTGCATATGCCTCTGAAATACGCACAGTTCTTTATAATAAAAAATAAGAGCTAAATAATAAAGCAAATTAAACGAACGATGATTAAAGCTATAGTCCCATAACTGTGATAGCACACAATAAATATAGATTCAAAAAGCAATTTAATGGTCAAGATCTTCTAAAACTTCACTTTTTTTACTTCCAGGACCATACAACCCGTGACTACACCTACACATCGCTCCCCTCCCCCAGAAGTGCCTACTGGGCTCAAGTGACCGTGGCGTTGACATGCCCAGATGACAAGATCTATCTGGACACGAGGGAGTATATAGATTTGGGCACATCTAGAATGCCTTACAACCCAGCTCACACTTTGTATAGTTACAGAAGCGAGAGCAGTTCCATGTTCAAAGGTGTCTCCGGATTCACGAGTAAGAGAATTATACTTGGTTAATATTATAAACAAGATTAATCATTGAACCGCTGCTAAGCTCTGGAAAAAGTAAAAGTCTTTTTTTTTCAACTCTATTTCATAACATCGTAACTTACACATCTAAATAATACATTCATTTGTTTGGCAGAAAAGAATTTTAAAATTTAACTTGAGCTTGGTTTGTAGTTATCTGGATGGATTTTGTTTTTAATTTTTTTGAAAATTTGTGGAGAGTTATCCTATCGTAATAGTATAAGTCTGTGGTAATTGTTTAAGCCTTAGGATTTTTACAAGCATTTCGTTTTCTTCCCAATTCAGTTTATTAGAACCCGTTAGGTTGCATACACGGTGGTTTTTGTTGATAATACGGTTCTTTTTTTAACAGAGCTAGCGCGCGTTGTACCATATTACGCACACTGCTTTTTTCCAGCTTAAGTTGCAAATAAAAGTTTTTTGGTGACAATTTTGCTTGAACGCATAGAATCTAAAATTTAATGGAATCTAAAGGATCTTACTTTTCAGCACGTTGTTTCGATTTGGGCACAGAACAATGTTTTTTTTAAAATTTTTCTCTCATTTTTCTCAATTTTTTTTTCTCAAGAGCTTAATGCTGCATAAAGTTGGCTAATCGATAGCATCTGTAGCTTTTTTGTTGGTGGCTCTTTTATTGGTGATGTTATTTCTAAGCCAGCGAGGCGCAGATACAAGGACAGAAGGATCTTACCTTCTAGCACGTTATTTCGATTTGGGCACAGAACAATGTTTTTTCTCAGTTTTACTTTTTCTTTTGTTACTTCACTTTTTTAAACTAGAGAGCTAGCAAGCGTAGTGTATAAGTACGACACTGCTTCTTTTTCTTGCCTAACTTGCAATTAAAAATGCTCGTCTGATGACACTTTTGCTATAATCACAATCTGTAGCATTGAAAATTTTTTAGCATCTAATCTCTGCTTCATTTGTGGCTTTTGTTTGCTGATTTTTAAGCGTTTGTGGCTGAGGGAAGAGCGTGAGGCTACCAATCTCAAGGTCGCAGGTTCGAATCCTACAGATACCAAAGTTGTACTAATTCGAGGCTTGTTATACTTCTTCTTATTTTATTTCATAGAGCTGCTTGTTTTGTCGTTTGTTCGCTAGCTTCGCCTATGTTTTAGTTTTTTATATCAATTGTGCTTGCAAAATGCTGTCGTTTCATTTGTGCTGACAAAATTTGAAAACCTTAGTATTTGCTGTATATTATAAGAATCTTTAAGCATACTTTTCAATAATAGACTCAATTTTTTGTAATTTAAATTTTGTGCGCTGACGAAAAAGTTCATCCCAATTGATCGCCTAATTTTTTGCAGTAGAAAGCATGGTCCAACTTATTATAAGTAACGCAACCTTGAACTTTTTTCTATACTTTAATATCCTTGTTAAGTATATGGTCTAGAATATCAGTGCCCGACTTGGGTTTAAACTGATTTTACAAAATTTCAAAAATTCAAATTATGTTAAAATTCGAAAGCAAATAATTTTTTTGAGCTTTTCAAACTTCAACCGATTATCTAGATGTAAGCTTTGAGTGACTAAAAGATGCTCTCCAGCTACTGGGTATTTATTAACGGCAAAGTGCAGCTTCGCTTCTGGGTTAACAATTTTCCTTGTTTGTGTTTGCGAATTGCAGTCGTTTTGCTTCAAAAAGTCCCATAATCTCGATTTGCGCGAGCATTATAAATTCAGTCGTGAAGAACCGATAAGAAGATTTTGAAAGTGGATATTTGATTCTTACTGTTGAATCGTCTTTAAACTGATTGTTTGTGAATGAGAACAGCCTGTTTCGGTACATAGTTTTTTTGAGATCTCGAGTAGCTGAAAAAAAATTCAAGTATCAATTACGCATTTTACTGAAGAAAATAAATTTCTCCTTACATTTTCGAACTTTAGTGGGCGTGGTGTAATAGTACGACTGTGCTTTTTTCAAAAGAAAGTCGCAAATCTCGGTGCCGTTTATAGTGGCACCTTAACGGCTTTTTGATAGCATGTGCTTTGACATTCAAAAAAATTAAACTAGCCGAGTTGATGCATTTTAATTTCTCAAAAACTCAAAAAATACTATTTGTATCAAACAGCATCACAAGAAAGAAAAATTGGTTACAAACCATTTCTAACTCAATAAATCTCGCACTGCTTTGAAATGCATAATTTATACATAATTTGGCTTCATACTTTCCAATTTAACACTTGCAATGCTAGTGTGGATGCCTTCAGTTTGTTATATTCCAATTTATTACTCCAAAATGTGTCTTTTTATATTTGGTGCCCTTTTGCTGCAACATATTGGCAATTTCTTAGCATATGTAGCCGCTTTATTTGTGAGTAGTATTCGGCGATTGTTGAGCGTTCATGGCTGAGAGGGCAGGGTTTGCATCCAATATGTAGCAAAAATAGCAAAGTTTTTGGTATTCAAAGCTAACTTCTATTTTTATTTCATTTCATAAAGCTACTTTTTTGTCGGGTTCTTGCTAGTGTTTGCAGAGCGCTGCTTCGGCTGTGTTACAAAATTGTCCTGATTACGTTTGAGTAGAAAAAGATCTCTAGAGATCCTCCAGCAGTTCAACAACAGTAGGTACAAAAAAAACTTATTCGGTTGCTTTTTATCGTACTCAAACAAGACTTATTTTTATGTAAATGGATGGACTCAGCAAAAGCAAATTTATTAAGGTGCTCACTCTGCTCTCACAAGTGGTCGTCTGTTGATAAACCAGTTATCAACCACTGTTATGGGAAAAAATGTTGCAAGTGGTACAAAGCGAGGCCAATGTCCAAGCCGCCTAGTCTTGAAGACACTTTTCCAGTTCGTAAATTTAATAGATTAAGAAGTGCCTAATATAGCGTCTTGACCTCCACTGGTATTTCGGACATATAGAGAAGTTTACGATGGGTATAGTTCATTTCGTTTGACCATTTGTTATGATTCATTAGAGTCAAAACCCTTGCCCCTGACTTTGAACTGTTGGCGTGCAGATGTGAGGCGCTAATTATTTTAATGAAAAGCTCAAATTATATTTAGTTGTTATTCTGAAGTAAGCTCATCCTTGAAGAGGTTAGTTGTAAATAATAAATAATGGTGATTTAAAACCTCAGCAAACCAGTAAAAACACTGATCTGATTAGGATTTTCGAGTTTATCAAACCCTAACTGAAACTTGCGAATTCAGAGTTTTAATGTAAGCTATATTTTTATTCTGTCACCCCTCACACGCCACTCACGGTAAAAAATTGAACACATTTATTTCAAAATAGCAAATTTAAAAGTTTCTCACATCGTTGAAAGTTTCTCTCTATTTGCACAGACGCCGACAGTTAGTGTTATGAAATAGTCTTCATCCATTCAACGCCCAGTGTGATTGAATAATACTTCTGTCAGTTCTATCAGACTTTGAAGATTTAAAATTGGCTCATGATTTCAGGAGTGCGGTTTGTATTTAGACAACCGCGTATTCAGACACTGTATTAACCAATCAGAATCGAAACAAGGAAGAAATGAATTTGATATCTTTCTTTGTCTCGATTATGATTGGTTAATACAGTGTCTGAATACGCGGTTGTCTAAATATTGCTACGTAACCATGATTTCTATAGCTACAATTTATCTATATAGAATGTTTATCACAACAATTTCAGTCAATTAACTCCAATTTTGGCTTATAACCGGCATTGTTTGTGCTTCAGAACCCTCAAACATAGCCCTCTTGAATGTGACCACTGGAATGCATGACCCCTCGACTGAAGTGGCCATATGGTTCAGTCAGGACGAAGAAGCTCTCGAGTACGAGACTGTCGCGTAAGTCACAACAGTCGACAACACTATCTTTGGCCTCATTTCAAGTGTACCATCATCAAAAGAAAACATACAAATTCAAACATACATTTCACTTAATGTTATAGAACTCAAGCGAAATCACTGCGCCCTTGTACCATCCCTCGATTAAAAACACTAAATATGTTTTCTCATTCTATGACATGTTTCATGCATGGTGAAAGACGCCTGTCGAAGTATCCATTAGTTTTCAACATTTACAAAAAGTGGTTATGCTGCTTATAAAAACCAGTTTTGTTTTTTTCCCCGCGCACGAATATACTCTTCAAGTCTGATGTAGGAGTTTTGCAAGGAGCGCATTTTGATGCTTTTCGAAATCGAATCGTCTTTTTTAAATTCTGCCGTTTCTTTAGAACATTTAATAGACCCTTAGTTAGAGAAAAAGTGCCAGTGATTCCATTTTGGACGAGTTTGACCAGGCGCGGATCTAGGAATTTCTCGAGAGGGGGGGGGGGGCAGATTTTCCAAAAATTTTGTCGACCTTTTTTTTATGTCGACCAAATTGATTTTCTGAGCTCTCCCCAACCACTATAAAGACGGAAATTTGAGTAAATTTTATGCGCCGCAGGCAAATTTTTGAAAAAAGGCGTTTTTAGGCACTTTTTGGAAAATTTCGACCAAAAAGTTGCGTTTTTTCGGCGCGCGCTCCCCCTCCAAAATTAGTATCGATTGGCGCCAAAGGCGCCTTTAGAAACAATTTAAGGTCAGCCAGCCAAAAATGGATATCTCAAAATAGTACAAAGGGGGGACCCTTTGGCTCGGCAGAGAGTCGAATCCCTGAGGGGGGGGGGGCGTCCGCATCTCGCCACTCCCTAAATCCGCTACTGATTTTGACCATGATTTTGTTTTCATTATGAAGTTAAAATGTGTTTTTTTTTTCGCCAGAACCTGGACTGAAGACCTCTCTGTGTCGCCTTTTGAGAGCCATAATCAATCCAGAATGGACACGACGCCATACCATGTCCTCACACACCTCTACTCTGGACAAGTCTACAGCATATCAGCCAGGGCCTACTGGGTCATTAATGGATCCCTCACTATCTATGGATTCTATGCTCCTGTGGCCATTGAGCAAACTGGGCTTTACCCACCTTTGGTCGAAAATGCACAGTCGGCATTCGGGGACCCTGTCCTTGTTTGTACATGTAAGTGATTGTATTTAACTTCTCGTGTAATTTTCGGGGGCATCTTGGCTCTTAAAAGTCTTGCTAACTTTTTTTCTGAGTTGTGTTTATTTTGATGTTGCCGAACGTTTTCAACTCAGTTAAAAACTCGGATTGGTTGAAACCGTTTACAGAGCAGAAGTCATGACATCAATTGAACTCGATCTTATATTTGATACTTTCTTGGAATTGAATTCCACAGTTGCCCCGGTAAAATTGTCGGAACTAGTGGCGTAGTTCTGTGAGTCTAGCTACTTGGACGACAGGGAGTGTGGGATCGGTTCTCAGAGTGGGCCACTGTTGGTTGGTGGCTTGTGTTGATCTGGTGTCCACACTAAGCGCTATGTCAATATGGTTGTGTAGTGCAAGCGAAATGACCAGGTTGTATGATGAGAGGCGAACCGGCCAAGGGTGGAAACACAGCAGGCAAAAGTCTCCGCACGGAGCGGTAGTTGGACAGCACTAGTGAGCGAGCACCTCCCAACAGCCACTCTGAGAACTGGGACTCTGTCCTAAATTTTATAGTCGTTTTAAAACAATTTTTCTGTTTTTATAAATTTTGAATTCAGTCTCAATTCAGTTTTAGATTTATCAATGTTTCTGCAGTTTAAACTTTAAGCTTTTAAAACTTTATAAATGTTATAACTTTAAAAATAGTTTCTCTTTTCTATTTATCTACATTGTTTGAAGTTTGAATTTCTTAAAACGATACAAGTATGATATGGGTCCCTTAAAAGAGATGGCCCCTGGAGAGTTTTTTTGGCCTGAAAATTTTACAAAACTCGGTTCGCATTTGTTTACTTATATCTTTTTTAAAAAGTTTCAACGAAAATTTAAGACCCATCTACACGTAGACTCTTTTAAGTTTTATCAAATGAGTTTTTTGTTATTCAAAACGTGCGTCTATTTTTCCTCCTCCTCCACCCCTCCCTCCCTCTTATAATTTTATGATGTAACGAGGGGTTTTACAAGGTTAACCATGAAGACTAAATATGTTTGTCATATAGCCTAATCAGTTCGCTTGCAAGTTTCGTAACATTCGGATAACGTGAACAAAATTTCACTATTAAAGTTTTGCAGGTAGGGGTAAAAAGGAAAAAGAGCCCTCAGTTTAAGTAATTCAAGCTGGAAATGCCTGAACATATTGTGAAAAGATATTTATTTACAAAAAAAAACAGAAACTTGATTTTCAGACCCGAGCGAAGTTGAGAATTTGGTGGCAATTGGCCGCAACAACCAGACAGCCGGACTGACCTTCCAGATCCCAGACAGAGGGGTGATGGACGCCTTCAACGTGTCGCTGAGCATGGGGGGTCGAGTGATCCACACTGCCGTGGAAACGAACTCTCCCTACTACACCCCAGGTGAGAGGAGAGCTCAGCTTAAGCTTCTTCCTAACCCCCCCCCCCCACCCCCCCTCCGTATCCTACACTCCTCTACACTAATCTACTTAATCCAGTGGATGAGACAATCCGGCTCTTTTCCGGTTTCCCACCCCCTTGTAAAATTGCCATTTTATGCTGTTCAAAAATTGTTCCTACGGCTTTTTGAATGAAAGAAAAGTCGTAAAAACTTGTTTATCTGTTCACGCTGACACGTTTTGATGCAGTTTATAAGAAGAATAGTCGTTTTAAATAGGCTTTCATATGTTGAATTTGAGAAAAAAATGAAGGGGAGAACTGGTGGAAAACAGCCGACAATCTTTACAAGGTTGTGTATGAAAATCAATTTTTCTTCGATTTTGCTAATCAGTCTACATTTCGAAGTTTAATAGAGTCCGACGAAAGTGTGTGTTGTGTGTGTGGGGGGGGGGGGGGGGCACAGAAAAAAGAAAGGCAGTTTTCAATTATTCTCATTTGCATCTACATCTCACTTACCATCTATTCATTCCATTTTTGGGGCGGAAGGCCCACATTTGAATCTTTAAATTTGAAAAAAAAACTTTGATTACTTCTTCATAATGCACTGAAATTAGCCAATGAGAGCCAAACCGACCGCTTTCTGAACAGACTTCATATGTTCATTTTTTCCGTCGTAACTTCTCGTGTTTACAAGTTTTTTTCACAGTAAAGTCTAATGAAAAGGAAAAATATGTTTTGAAAAAATAGGGGGAAGGGCGGGACCTATTTTGCCCGAGAAATGATTTTGAGAGCCACCCTATTTTGCCGGAATAATAATTAAGTTAGTTCAAAAGGGTCGCAACTATACCGCAATTCAGGGATGGCTAGAATTTTCGGCTCTTTTTCCTTTTCCCGCACCTCATACGAGCATCAATTATGTTCTAACGAGTGGTCTTACAAGGTTAATTATGAAGACCGAATATGTTTGTCATGGCCTAATTAGTCGGCATGTCAATTTTCATAACAATCGGACATTGTAAACAGCGATTTGAGTTATAAAAACTTGCATGTGGGGAGGGGGGAGGTATGGAAAAAGAGCCGAAATTTTAAGCTAAAAGTTGCTTTTTGGATCAAAAATATCATAAAATTTTTATCAAATTGGCTGCGGCAAATTGTTCTAAAGGATTGAGGGGGTTGAAATGTTTTCCATTTAGCTGAACTGTTATGATATATCACTGTGCTAGGTGGGTCTGTCGGGTGGAACTACACGGATGGGGGAGTGGAGATGAGGCCCTGCAGTGAGTTCGTGGTGTGGGTGAACACAAGGAGCCGCTGTGGTAATCAGTTGGGGGAACTCTGGTCTCTCAGAGGGCAATGGGACGCCGCATACACAGGTAAAAATTGTATGATCTCATTTTTACATAAGTTTTTAGTATAATTTGTTGTTTTTTATAAAGTTTCCAAGGAAATCGAAAGCATGTCTTCCTAAACCATTACATAACACTCCATTCAGTCTTAACTTGACTCGACATTGTCACCAGCTGTAGTAATCTTTATGAATACTAATTTTGAGAAGCGCTCGCAAAAAAAAACATTTTTTTTGATAAAAACTTTCGCAAAAATGCCGGAAAACGGGTTCAATTTTGATAACCATTTTTTGGCTGACTGACCCTAAAATTTTCCAAAAAGCTCCTTCGGTGCCAATATATACTAATTTTGGGGAAAGAGCGCTCCTAAAAACGCAGTTTTTTAGTCAAAGTTTTCCAAAAAGTGCCTAAACGCCTTTATGGACTGGTTTTTCTAAAGTTTACCTGTGGCGCAGAAAATTAAGTCAAAATAGGGTCTTCAAATTGGTTGACTTAAAAAAAGTTGACAAAATTTTCGAAATGTTTAAAAAATTCCCCCCTCGAGAAAATCTTAGATCCGCCCCTGCATCCGCCCCTGAGCCGGATGTTGCGCATTAATGCTATTGTTCAAGGATTCTAATGGTGAAAGTCAAGTATTTGATAATTCTTTTCAATTATTAGACCTAAAATTTTGTATTTACAGCTCCTAACACGCCTTTGATCAATTACTCGAATGTTCAATCCATCGGCGAGACTTCGATCTACTTGGAGTGGTCTATGAGTCAAGACACAGATGATCATTGTGTGGGTTCTCTCTTCACAATATACAGAAACGGAGTCTTGGTCACAGACACTCAGCGGAATCTAGATCGCACTGATACTGGACTGACTGCTGGCACCATTTACACGTACACAGTGTCTGCCTCCAAGAATGGCCAAACTAGTCCCCCCTCGGAAGCATTGCAAGCTTGCACATGTAAGTGGACAAAACATAATCATAATAAATCGTTTCCAAACGATGTCGAGTTATTTATATAAATGTACAGAAACAAATCTGATTCTTATGAGAGAATACCATTAGGCCAGCATGGCCAGTTTTCAGGAGTCTCAGATGTCTCTTAAGTATTGCTCCGATCACGAAGCTCACGTGACTTCTTTTTCCACGCGAAATGGGTGCTTCAAATGAATGCCAGAGGCGGTCGAGTTATATATTATTAAAAAAGCCCTTCCAGCCCTGATTCGAATTCGTATAGAACAACTGGATTGGAGTATTTGCTATTTAGACGAATATATGAGTGAACACGAGTCACACTTTTCATTGGTTCTCTTTTAAATTTAGAGTGAAGACTACGAGGGAAAGGACCAACATACGAGCTGTACAGCTCATCACGGCGAACCGCTGTTGTGCCCCTGCTTAAGAATTACATGCAATTTTTTTGGTTATCCTTCTTGGCCTGGTAATGTTCCCTCACCCTCAAGCAACGAGCACGGATCATGGTGGGCCTCGAACATCAGACCTTTCGATTGAGAGGCGGAGACGTAACCACTTCACCACCGCTCCCCTAATTTTGATATACGCTGATATATACAGGGACGGATCTAGGATTTTCTCGAGGGGGGGGGGGGCAGATTTTCGAAAATTGTGTCGACCTTTTTATTTAAGTCGACCGAGCTGATTTTCGGGGCTCTCCCAAATCATTAAAAAGACCCTATTTTAGCCAAGTTCGGACCCTTTGGATCGGCAGAGGGTCGAATCCCTGAAGTGGGGCATCCCCCCTCAGTCATTTACTGAATGAAGTTATACTGATATCCCTTGATGGTTTCTTCTAACCGAGCGTTTTCTATTTCCCCTACCTGCATGTAAAACGACAAAAAAAAATTAAAAATTTAGGAGACTTTAATTTTTTTTCGTTGTATTTTGATCAATGCAAACAATTATGATCGCTATACTTTCTGTGCTTGTTGAAAATTGTTTTTCATCGGCATTTCTTTAATTATAATTTACTTCTCTGCCTCTACCTTTTCTGAATATGAGACATGAAGTGCATAACCTTGTAAATTATTGATTGAAAAAAATGGAGTTTTTGTCTGATATGATGGTGGGGGAGAAAGGATGTCGGGAGGGTTTGTGTGAAAGGTTTCACTCATTTAGGAACCATTGATTCATGATCTTAAATGAAAACAATTTATGATTAGTTGCAGCAGTTGCCAACAGTGGAGTTCTGTTTCAGACCCGTTGCCTCCTCTGTCGGCTGTGTTGGTGTCGGGAGATGACGAGCAGTCTTCCTTCACAGTGCAGTGGGAGGAACCAGCCAATGGGACGAGGACTGGCTTCTTCTACAGCGACGGACTCTCACACAACAACACCAGGCTCCTCAACAACAACATCACGTGAGTAATGGGGTCACGCTGATGTCTGTAACAAATAGATGTAACAAAGATTTTTTCTTACGTTTGCGCCGAGTTTTCGCCTCAAATTCTATAGGTTTTGCTTTGCAATATTATGTTCATTTGGATTCATACTAAAATTGATCATATTTTTGAGATGCACATTTTTTCATCGAAATTTGTCGAGATGACCCTAATTTTTAACGATGAAGAACTAATGTGCCCATGATTTAGGCTTGCATGGATTTTTGGCTTTTCCACTTTCCAACCCCCCCCCCCCCGCCTAGTATTTTTTGCTCTTACACCCGTTCTGCTCTTAGACCATTCTGCTTATTGCTCCGCCTCATTCTTCTCATTGATCAGCTCTTGTTTGACCCAGTTCCGCTTAAAATATCTATTATAAAATTAAAATTCCCATTAGCATCTAGGACAAAACGTATAGAGACTGAGGCATCTAGCATGTTTAGGACTACGGTAATTATGAACGTAATAAGTAAACCCCCCCCCCCCATGCTGTGGAAGAAAAATTAACAAGATACCAAGTTAAATCATATAGGTATGTGGCACAGACTCCAGGAGCAGAGTTCAACTTGGACATCGTCATCTTCTCCTACCTGGACTGTCCATTCACAAACCGATTCCCAGAAGTAGAATTAATCTCCCCCCAGAGTTACTCTTTCAACCTCACCAAATGCACCGGTTAGATCATATAATGTGGTCTCTATATGGTAACAGTGTACATATTGCACATAATTTGCTAAAAAGAAATTAGAGATATTTCAGTTTTCGCATTAAATTAGAAATTGTAAATATCTTTTTCCACTTTTCTGAATGTAGAGTTTTTCTGGAAAAATAGTTTTCAGTGTAAATTTGTGAGCGAAGAACTCTGTTATGGCCGTATTGATAAAACACTTTCTGAAAAATTTAAGTTTTTTCATTAGTTAAAGAATTGCTCTTAATTATCTCGCTAATTCCAGCACCTTCCAATCCGTGGATAAACATGACCAGAAATGGAGACGAGGCTATAGTGCACGTGTACGTTCCTCAAGGACAGTTCGACAGGATGACGATTGAACTAAACGAGAACCTTGCCGAGTTGTCGTTGACCTCGCCTGACGGAACCCCGAATCCGACTCCCAACAACACTCTGTTTTCATTTGTGGCCAACAGTCCTCACAGTGACTCGTCCAGCTTCTATGACCTGGTTTTCACTGGTCTCAAGAAAGATGTTCTATATGAAGCATCCGTACGTCATTTTGAAACTTTTTGGGCTTTCACGAGTTGAGCGGTATTTTAATGCCCCTATGTTAGTTAGGCGTTTTAAGGTATTAGCATCATTTTTACTGAGTTTTGTAAAGAACGCCTAGGCGTTATGTAGAGATCTCTCAGCCCCATTAAATGTTTAGTGCCCCTGCGATAAGCAAGGGTATTACAATTGGGTACTAGACTTTTTCCCGTAAATAAATTTGTTCACTGGATCTCCAAGTTTAGTAGATCTCAGTTTCACCCAAGTTCGTTCTTAATCTAGAGTTACTGTGCTTAGACTAATGAGTTGCGGGGTCTATAGCTGAACAATTTTCAGAGGAAAATTGATTTTGTTTGTAGGCTTAATTGATTTCTTCCTAATATTTGTCGGCTGATTTACCTGGTGTTTTATTATTATCAATGTATTCATTGAAATTGTTTCATTCAATTCAAATCTGAAGAACATAACTGTTGTCTCAATTTTTGTTTTTAGAGTCGCTAAAACGTTCGGTTTGAAAATTTAAAATTTTATAGCGGTTTTTCGTTTGATTTTGTTTTCAATTTTTTCATTTGTTATGAAACCTTGATTGTCGATTTTTTTTGTCTTCTGATGTGGTACAGTAGCTGCAGCTGCAGCCACACTACAATAACCTTGGGGAGTGCGTATGGTATTTATGTATTTATAAGTTTGGTATTATTCAAGGTCACTTACGTTGACCTAATTGATTCTACGACTGAAGAGTGTGCCGTACTGCGTGACGGAACTCAGTCGAACGTAACGAGAAAAACAGATCTAAAAGATTCAAGTGAATTATAAATTTGAGATCTATATTTTGTTATACTTACTTACCCTGAGCATAGAGGTATCACATGGCGCAGCCAGCAGGATTGTTGTCCCAAGATAACAGAACAGACATGGGAATTCCAGTGTTTTGGACCTGAGCAAATTCGGATCCACCATGGAATTTTAAAATTTAGTTTGACCAATTTTTACTAGCAGTTACTGTAAAGGAGAATTTGAATCCAGAAGTACCCTTAGAGGATCCAAAAGCGGTGATAGAAGAACCAATGCCACGGCCTGAAACACCTAGAGCCAATGAGGATGCACAAGCCATCGCAGATCGAGAAGCGCGAGATAGATTATTAAGGGACAAAGTCGTGCTTGAAAATGAAGAAAAAAGGGAGCGAGGACCAAAGGTGTTCTATAAGGAAGTTCAAAAACGAATTGCTTCGAGATTTTTTTTTGCCCTAGGAACGGAGGGGAAAAAGAGATTTGTTCAAAAAATCCTCATACCGAAGTGTCAAGGCTTGAGTTTAGGGAAATGGTAGCTCTGGCAAAAACTTCATTCGAAGAAACAAAAAGTATAACATATGAGAGATACAAATTTTTCGCGAAAATACAGGAAGCAGGCGAGTCGCTAGAATTTTTCCATGCCGCACTGAGTGCGCAAGCAGCAAAAGCGGAACTTGGCACATTAGAAGACGAATTAGTTCGAGATCTGTTTATTTCAAAAATGAAAAACACAGCTCTACAAGATACGTTGACTTTTGAAACATTCACTCCTGACGAAGTTCCGAAGAGAGCGCTTATGTTCAAAAATCATATGCTAACACTGCAGGTACAGACAGTCTAATGGGATCACAAGTAAAGATAAAGCAAGAACCCATTATGGAGGTCAGCAATAGAGGAGGAAGTAGCAGGCGATCAAATAAAGAGCTCTACAAATGGATGACGTGGGATGCTAAAAGCAACACAAAATCTAGAGCCGATCAGAAACAATGTACAAGGTGTGGAAAACCTATCGGAGAAGGAAATCTAAGAAATTGCCCGGCAATGGGCAAAACATGCAAGAATTGTAACAAGCCAAATCACTTTGCTCGAATGTGTCGGTCACAGCAAGTCAACGAGGTCGCAGAGGAATTATCTAGTTCAGAAGAAGAGTGTAATCTCATCAGATGTTTTGATTCCTGCGATGACTTTCAGATCATGGTGGTCGAAGAAGACATTATGTCCGTGGACAAATAGAAGATCTCATTTTGGATAAACTTGAGAAGAGAAGAAACCAAAATGTCAGTACACAGCATGGCAGTCTTCAGAATGTAAGAAAAATCGACATTCGCAGAAATCCCAAATCAGAACAGATAAAATCGTTAAAGGCATTAGTCAGAATTGATAACCAGATCTTTAACATGACTATAGATACGGGAAGTCTAGTGTCGTTTTTAAACTGGGCAACAACTAAACAATTTCTAGAAGAGTGTCCAAAAACGCAATTCACACCGGCGGAAAACCAAAACTTAGTTGACTACAACAAACATTCTAATCTAATTTTGGGTGCATTAAAAGTCGACATCAGGTCAGCCGGATGGGAAGTGAAAGGGCTATCGTTTTTGGAGAACCATAACCAGTTGGGAGAACCTTGGCCAGAGACTGAACTTGATGAAAAGGTCGTAGAAACATCGATTGATATTTTTCATAAAGCTCTCTTCTGTTTGAAAAATCGGCTTTTGGATATGGCCGAGCCGGTTAGAAACGAATATATTCTAGAACATTCTAGTAGCAACACTGGCGGTGACGATAAAGCAAACACGTCATCCTACTGTTGCTATAGCAACCAAATCGGTTCAAAACGAACAACGATCGACCGGAACGAAAACGGTCAAAACTCACGAGTTTCAAACTCTGAAACAAGCACTTTTTGCAATTTCTCTCATTTAAATCAGTTGGCCAAGAAATTTTACAAAAATTCAGTAAAAAATTTGACAATGGAAAACAATGGAAACGCGGAGATCGATAAAGACAAGGTGGAGAACAGGAGTGGAAAGAATAAGGTGAATATTAGTGACATCAGACGGAGTGGGGGATACGATCAAGTGACGGAGGAAGTAAAGGAAACAACTTTCCAACGAACAAGATTGATAAAACGGGGAACAGGAGCTACGAACGAGGACAAAAGGTTCACAGACTCAGAAATACCATATGCTGAGTGGAAGATAATGCGGCAGCAGATTAAGAATAAAGACGAAGCAGGGACTTCTACATCGGCGAGTCTAATGGGTAAAGAGGGAGCGTCAGCATCAGCTGCATGCAGCGAAATGGCGGTGGACAAAAAAGAGAGATCTCAACTAGTTTCGTTTTGGGACCTAGTGGGCTTAGAAAGATCGGAAAAGCCAAAAACGATGTTTGAACTAGAGACACAGACACAAATGATCAGTCCTAACGCGATCGAGACTTGCGTCAATCAAGTGGAAGGAATGCCGATAGTTGAGGTGGACCTCACGGCGGACAGTCAGGACGACGATGATCACGAAGGGAATGTGGTTTCAAGAAGAATCAACCATAACTTCACAAAAGAAGAGCGAGGTGACAATGACGCGATACCAGGCGGGACAGATAATCTAGCGCAATTATTTGACCAAACACTACTCGCCGAATTGACCACGGAGGACACGTGGATGGACCGCCTCAGAAGAGTGATCGAACGAAACGATAGACACAGTTTCGAGCCGATGGGCCCATACACGATTTCTTTATGGAACCAGTCAAGCTTAGTGGACGACCGCATTCTCGTAAACGATAGGTTAGCGGTTCCTTGTCAACTCCGCACGGTAGTACTGAAACGGATTCATTGGGGTCATCTCGGCCAAGAGGCAATGCTCAATGTGTCGCACTACTTGTGGTGGCCACACATGCACAAGGACATTGTTAATTTGGCTGAAGAAGGTAGAAGCTGCACTCGCTATGGTAAGAATGCTAAATATATCATTCCAAAAATTGCTGCTAAACCACTACCACTGCTAACGCAAGAGTTACAATTAGATTACGCAGGACCGCTTGAAGATCTTAAGGGAAAGAAAATTTACTTATTGGTAGCAATAGATCGGTATTCAAAATTTCCATCGGTGAAAATTACTAAATTGACTAGGGGAAAGTCGTCAATTAAATTCCTCAGCACCTACATTGACACACATGGAATACCAGAATCTATTAGAACTGATCAGTTTTCTGGGTTCAAAGGAAAAAGAATGAAAAACTTTTGTTCCGAAAACAACATCGAACAAAAATTTTGCCCTGTGGGAGATCACTGAGGATGCGGTTTAGTAGAACGTGCTATTCAAACAATTAAAAGAAGATTAGGTTTTTGCTTTAAAACGAAAATGTATCTTCGATAAAGCTCTGCCTTAGCACGAAAATTCGAGACCTTAGATGGGCGAAACAAAACAACCACACAATTTTCACCGTTCGAAGCTCACTTTGGTCGTCTTCCGAAAACAGAATTTGAGATATTAAGAGATAAGTTTTAGCAAATTCTGATGATTTAAATAAACAGCACTAGGAGAGATCAGCACTCACGGCTTCGCAATTACGGAAAAGAATAGATCAATCCAGGGACTATGTCAAGATATTACCTATGGGACAGCAGTCGTTTGAACAGCAGTCGTTACTGGTAATGGATAGAGACCGGGCCAAAACATTAAAGACGCTGCTCGAGGCCAATGCAAGCTGGAATACCACTCGACGGGATGCGTAAGATAGTGATATCCGGAGATTGGTGGACAAAACGAGTACGATAAATCCAGACCTACGAAAGGAACTGCTGTACTCGTGGGAGAAGGGGTTTATCGAAGACAAACCGGCGGAGGAGCAAAACAACGCATGGTCACCAGTTTTGCTTCGCAAGGACGAAAATCGGAAGAGCGGAAAAGCTCTCACAAATCCGCTTGAAGCAAAGGTGACGTCGCAAACGCCATTCACGGTGAAGACGGCTAGTGGAGCAGTATATAGAAAAAGTGACATCGCACAGTCGAAAATTAAGTCACCACTGCTTTCACAATCCACAAGGAATACGAAATCCTCGAAAGAGGAAGAGGTAAAAAAACAAAAGAGGCGGAAAGAATGTCCGCTTACAGGAAACTCTTGATTCGGAGGATGAGGAGAGTTATAAGAATAAAACTGACGATACCAAAGCTACAGAGCGCTTCCAGGACAGTCCGGTAAGA